GTGGAAGTTGGGAAAACTCGAAATTGTATGAAAACACTCCGCCCTTCGGGCGTCGTGTTTCCATACAATTTCTCGTTTTCCCAATTCCACTCGTGTTGATATAACTGTATATCAACACGGAAAATGTTTTATATTTGTTAAATATCAAATACATTGGATGGTAGATACTAGATATCATATTTATATTCGGGCTATGCAAATATTTTCTAAAGGAGATTGGGATACTGATTACCCAATTTAGTGTGCTCGCCATTTATTTATTGTCAAGAGAAAAAGTTGTTCACTACGGCAGGACTACCTGTCACTTTTCTGATATAAAATTACGTCTATCCGGACACTGAGTTAGGTTATGGCCTATTTTTCAGTTTTTACTCCAAAGAACTTATTTAATTTAATTTAACATCACAGAAAAAAAAGTGTTTTTCTATATTCGACAATGTACGCCGCACATTTAAGACATTTAATAAAAAAAGTGACGAAAACATGATTCAAAATTACAGTGTGAGCAAACAGTACATTTTTGGACGTGGGTGCAGAACATGATTCTTCTGGTAAAGAACTTAAGAACATGATTTTTTAAAAGAACAAAATATTTACTACTATTATCTTGGCTATATTAGCTGCGTTATTCGCTAGATACTACAGTATAAACTACTGGCCGTGCACTACAAGTGCTTAAATTATTGTCTATTTTTATGCTAACATGTTTAAATGTAACTTACTATACAGAAATTTGCGAGTATTAATCAAACTCTTCAGAAGAGTTCAATCTGACAGCAATGAACAACATAAGCACATTGCGCATGCTCCAGCCATCATAGCCAAGCATGTGTCTTCATCATTTTGTTTCTGCTGTCGTCTTCTGTCTTCATACACATAAACAGTTTGTGGCTGTTGTCCTGGTGGATACTGAGCTGAGGTACCATATGGACCAGGTCCTCCGTGGCCATATGGGCCAGGTGCATAAGGGCCTTGACCAGGCGGTGGTGCACCATAGCCTTGTTGAGGATACGGTCCAGGTCCACTATATGGGGGTGGTGCTCCTTGTTGGTACTGCTCAAAACCAACATTACCTTGTGGTGGGGGATATGGAGTATGGTGAGGGTTCTGTGGAGGATGACTCATTGTGACAAATATGTGGTCTAACAGCGGTATGAACAAATCTGTGAACAAAAGAAATGGAAAAAAGGAAATTATAGGGAAAATATGGAAAGAAGGAACAAAAACAAAATAGACAATTTTCCAATAGGTAGTTAATTAAGGGATAATGTAAAAAGCCAAGTACATCGGAAAGGACATTGCAGCCAAATTATTGATAGCCTACAAACATAGATGGTAATTCATATTTCCAGTCTATACCGATTTGCTTGGCAGCTTGTTCCCAGTTTATGATTGGTGGAATAAATAATTATATATTTTTTCTGATTTGCACTTATGATACAATACAGCCTGTGAGCAGGCATTTATTTGCTTGTGGCAGGCGAGACAAATAAACACAAGCAAGCTAGATACAATATCAAATTGTGTTGGTTGCTTAACTAGGCTGTTTATAATACTGTGTAAATTTTATACAATTATTAAGACCTAACCAGGAGGAGCTGCGAAAATTGCAACTATAGGTCCTCTGGCAGGAATCGAACCTGTGACCCTGCTATTCCAGTGCAGTGCTCTAACCAATTGAGCTACAGAGTCCAGTTGTCAAGCTTTAACCACAAGTTCACAAACACAAACACAGACCGTGCGCAAGCAGAAAGATGCCTGCCGCGGCTGGGTTTTGAACCCGCAGGCCGCAACCTTCGAATTACTAGAATGATGTTCTACCAACTGAGCTACACGGTCAGACGGATTTAAAACTGGAAATTATGAACTATATACTGACATTATATATTAAATAATATCTTATTGAATTCTGATTGTTTAATTGGTTATGGCCACGTGATATTGAATAGAAAATTCCATTTCCCAAGAGTGCAATGGAATACGTTCCATTGCACTCTTTGCAAGTGCAATTGTACTATACGTTTTATTTCATTGCACTCTTTGCATTTTCGATAAATCGCATCCGTCAAAACGCTTCTCATACAAATCTATTAGTCTATTTTGGTGTTATATAAAACAAATAATGAATGTTTATTTGTGCAATGGTAAGAATATTTTCATTCGGTGAAAGATGGAATGTTCCATTCAACTTGGCTGTCGCCTCATTGGGATTCCATCTTTCACCTCATGAAAATATTCTTACCATTGCACTCATAAACATTCATTATTTGTATACTAGATACTCTTTCTGCTTGCGTGCAGTCTGGAAATTATGAAATACTCACTCGAGAACATTTTCAATATATATTTTGAGGTAAAACGAAAAACTATATATATATATATAGTTAACGAACTGAATTTAATCGCCTGAAGATTGCCACAAATAGTGGCATGAAACTTAAAGTAGCGAGAAATTGAAACATTTTAAGATAACAAATTAATTCGCTCTGCTAAATAATTTGTAGTATTGAGCACTCTTTTATCTATAACGAAAAACAAAACTGTTTATATATATATATATATATATATATATATATATATATATATATATATATATATATATATATATATATATATATATATATATAATTCAGTCAAGGTTTGAATGTTTGCGTCGCTACTCTGAGTTTCACTCTTTACGCGATCATCAGGCATGATCGCGTAAAGCGTGAAACTCAGAGTAGCGACGCAAACATTCAAACCTTGACTGAATTAATTCCGCTCTACTTATTATGGTATTGAGCGCTCTTCTACCTTACGTCAACTCATCGACTATTTTTTTGAATATAGTCTTCAGTATATATATATATATATATATATATATATATATATATATATATATATATATATATATATATATATATATATATATATATATATATATATATATATATATATACATATATATATATATATATATATGTGTAATTGTATGTGTAATTGTACACTCCGTAATATGTTAAGATGAAAATGTTCTAGAGTGTGTATTATATAATTTCCATACTCAGCGCAAGCAGAAAGATGTTGTCTGCCGCGGCTGGGTCTCGAACCGCGACCTTCGAATTACTAGATCATTTTGACTACTTTTGTTCGGTTTGGGATGGTCTTGCAAATATGTATTTCGAATCATATATGAGTAGAGTGCTCAATATACCGAAGTACGTATACAGCAAATAAAGACAAAATCAAATAAACCAAGTTTACTTTATATATATATATATATATATATATATATATATATATATATATATATATATATATATATATATATATATATATATATATATATATATATATATATATATATATATATATATATATATATATATATATATATATATATATTGAAAATGTTATACACACACACACCCACCCATCATACAGCACAAAATGTTATACACACACCCCCGCGTGCAGGCAGACCTCTCGCAGTCTAGTATTGGATGGTACACTTCAACAAATTTGACTAACTAGTCATATTTATTACTCAATACGTAACATTCTTCAAAAAAATATCCTAGTTAATTAAATAGCAACCTAGCTAGGTAGAATATTAACATTCATACGCGCATCAGCTGCTTGACACAAAACCACTTCAAAATAAAATATACAATATAACATATTCCTTTTAATATACATAAAAGCTTGTCACTTACCTATCGATAAACAAAGATTATTAATAAACTAAGATCAAGCACAACCTCACACTATAGAGTTGGTTAGATAAGAAGCTGTGAGATTTGCCAAACAAATTCTGTTCCCATCGGCATACTTTAGAGCTAGCCGAGCTAAGACAAACTTCGACAGTTGTCATAACACATTATTTGAACTATCGTAGTTGTAGCAATATTTTAGCCCTCACCTTAATCTAATTCCCTCCTTTGAAAAGCTTGTGTTATTTATCCAAGAAAATGATAAAGCAATACAAATTTTTAATATTAAAACGACGTAACACTGAATTTAATATTTCGCTATTTGTTGTACAAGCGCCGCCCGGTCTATATTATTGGTCCAACCTGCGAGCAGGTTGATTTTATAAATAGATGAAATACTTCATATAGTCTTATGTGTAGTCACAGATATACTTTTATCTTCGACCTCTGATCTTCAATTCGCCTGAGTAAAATATTGTTTTTAACACGAGAAGATAAAAGTCGTATCTTCAAGCCACCGTATAATGTTCTGTTTATTATATAGTATCAAGCGAAATATTGTGAAATTTCACGCTCAAAAGCAAATTGGAAAAGTCACGTGATCGATATCTTCACGTATTTTTCAGTCTTTTCAGTATCTCACTCTCTCTCACTCTCTACTATAGTACTAATATAATAAATATATTTATTTTTTTATTTGTGCATGCCTAGTATATCCAAGCAAAACAAAAAAAGAAAAAAATTATATCTTGAGGAAACCTCACGAAGCCGTCTGCTGCCAAAACACGGCCACTGGAAACAAAATTACCTTGCACTTGAGAAGAGGGTCTAAATTGCAGGTTGCATAAAGATGGCTTTTGGCTATTTTCATGTTGTTTAATAGGCAATAAAATCATAAGTCTAATCCAAATCCAACCCCCAATCCTAACCTGGGGTCTAAATCCTAACTGAGGCCCCAAAAGTCAACCACCAATCGACTCTCCTTTTGTTAACTTTGAGCACATCAATCAACGTCTATGATATTTTCTAAGTAATGACTATTGAAGGTGTTGCGCGAATACATGTATCTGAGGTGAGATTACCATTCATCGTATACACAGTCTTAAGAGGGTCCTGAAGGGGGGGGGGGTCCCAATCCCATTTCCCACCTGAAATTTTGGCAAAATCCCAGTCCCAGTTGGATTTTTATTAGAAATCCCAGTCCCAGTTATTGAAATCCCAGTCAATAAAAAACCCTTTATTTATCGGTGGAATAAACAGTTTTAAGACCTTTTAAGCAAGTGGCGGACACTTTATGAAATATTAGGGGGGGGGGGCTCGTGCCGAAGGCACGGAAAATTTTTAAATTTGAATCCCAGAAATGGCATTTGCAGCATTCTGAGACACGTATAATCAGAAAACCCAGAATTCCGGGCGCCAGAGTATGCCTGTTCGCAGGTAGTGCTGTGAATAATATAGTTAACAACAAAAATCATGACCAAAGACACCAAAAACGGATCAAAATTGTATTTTAAAATACTCAAAACACAGAAAAATTGGGAATCGACTCACATTACCTCAATCCCATTCCCATTTTTGTGGACTTCATTTCCCATTCCCAGTGGCCAAATCCCAGTCCCAGCAACCCAAATCCCATTTTCCCAGTCTAAAAATAGATCAATCCCAGTTCCCATTTTACCCCTTCAGGGCCCTCTCTTAAATCAGCTTAGCCGCTGTTCTCAAGAAACCGCCAAGCCCATTCAAGCGCTCCGTTTTCACCCCGCTCAGTTTAGAAATTGTTACGGCAAAAGTGACATTTTCAAACAATACACTCTTCCAGAAAGTACGTCATTTTGGCTATAGAGCCTCGTTTTCGTGTATGTGACATTAATTTAATAGTTGAGGCCTATAATAAACGTCTCAATAATGAAACGTACTTTCCGGAAGCGTGTATTTCGCTTCGGCGTGGTATGAACGCGACGGCTAATTGTGACTTTTCTGCGCTGTTTTCAAACTTAAACGCTCCGGCGTATATCTGCACCAAAACTAAAATCGCTATGGCAGTGAATTAGAATTTTGGCAATCTATTTCCTGCTTCCTCTGCGGCCGTAATGATTTCCCTAATCTCGTAATACACGCTTCTGGGAAGTACAGAGGCCGCGGAAGCATTTCAAAAGTGGAGGGGCATTGTCATTCCATTGGCCAAAAGGGGCAATTTTGTATATGACCAAAATCAAACGATTAATGTCGTTCACGAGCCGAACGAAATTTTTTGAAAATATGGAGTCTCTATAACGTCGGAAATGGCCATTACAGAGTCTTTACTACTGCAAAAAGGGCACTTTCTTTCCAGCAAGAGGACGTTCATTCAAGAAATACTTTTTTCGTTCTTTAAATGGGGAACTTTAGCCCAGAAAAAAGGGCACTTTATTCACCTTTAAAAAAAGTGGGGAGGGGGCCCCATCCCCCCCCCCCCGAGGAAGTACGTCACTTTGCCCATAACGCCTCGTTTTTTGTGATTGAGTATGTCACATACGCGAAAACGAGGCTCCATAGGCAAAGTAACGTACTTTCCAGGTTAGAAATCCACCAATTTGGTATTTGAATAAAATTGCACTGTTTATAGGCAGCCAATCAGAATTATATTATTAGGTGGTTGACAAAAACATTTTTCATGCAAAACCTAGGTAACACTTACAGTAAACTTTAGAGTATAAAAATTAATGTGTATTAAAATATTCACTTCCACGGTCATATATCCAACATCATCACTAAATCTTACATAAAAACAATTTATTGTCACTCAAGCAGTGTATTCAGTCATGCAGATTATTTCCTAAGGAATAAATTGCTTATTACTTTGTTATTTCAATGTTGATAACTTAAAACTATCAATTTCATACAAAACTACTTTATTTAGAAAGTTTCTATAACATATCACTCATCCCATGAGCCATCAGTGTCAATGGATACACAATTGTATGCTGCATAACGCAATTTCTCCTCAGCTGCAGTATAAGAAGAATAACAAGGAAGAAATAAAGTACCTGAACAAGTTGCAGCCTCAGGTAATGAATCAACAGGTGCAGTTGTTTTTGCAGCACACAATGTCATGTTTGCGGGTAATCTACGCCTGCCAGTCACAAATCTCAAAAATCGACTTCGATCATCATTGCTGAAATTTTCCATGGCTTTCCAAAAATATTTTACTCTCTCATCTGTCTTAGGCAAGTCCTCACTATAAGTTGTCTTGCGAAGATCTTCAACATTCACCTTTGGATTTCCACAGACCTTTAGTTCAAGTTCTTGCCATGTGAGAAGTCCAAGCAACGACACTGGAACCACTTTAGCTAAACCATGACGGATGGCATTGACTTGCTCTTCACTTTCATGCATTCTTGCAGTTTGAAGCAGCTCAGTATACTCAACACGGTTTTCATATTTGACAACTTCATCTTCACCATTTGAAATGAGAGGAACAATTGTGCCATTGCTTAAAACTGCTGTGTAAGTAAGAATATCAGTAAACTTCTCTTCAAATTTCTTCCGATCCATTTGCTTAATGGATTCAACCAGCTTCACCAATGCTGCATCAACTGTGACAAAATCTTCTAGCCATGAAACTTTCTCACCAAGCAACTGTTTCCATATAAACTTAGGAAATGATAACAGTAAGCTCTCTCTTCCACGCAGGTGGCCACCCATCAGCATTCCAAGCCATTCATATTGGTCAAATAATCGACAGGATGGGTTTGGAATGTAACCATCACGATAAACATTAGATGAATCGTACAGCTGGTTAGGACTACGGATAAATAAAGGCAATGGCAACAATGAATCTGCAGAACTAGGGCATACTTCTTCAGCAAGGTCACATAGAGAATCACGAAAGCCACCACCTTGATCAATAATACCTTCCGAGATAAACTTGCATTCCCACCACTGTTCATAGCGATTTGACCAACGGAAATCAAGTGTCACCCCACATTTCTCTGACTTCAATGCTTCATATAACTGACAAAAAATTGATTGCTTTCCTTCTGGATCACTTGCAGGGTTCTCCCGATGTTCTGCAGCGGTATGACGGTTCAGAACAACCTTTGGGATACTTGGAAGTGTAATACATGACTGTGATTCAAGGATAAGTTGATCAATCAATGTAATCCTACGACGTGAAAGAGGAAGCAACTGCCTAATCAGTTCCAGACTTGTGTAAGAGCCAATCGTAAACTTCCAAATTGGAAAGATGAAAGGAAGGACACTATCTAACAGAGCAACAAATCTCAACAAACTTCTTGCTCTATTGTAAAGTAGGTCAGGATTAACATGTTCTAACTTCGGGAAACGGATAATCTTTGTCTTATTCTTGAAAGTGTCTGCACTCAAACCAGGTTCTTTCTCATCAGTTGAAACAATCTTGATTCCATGGATGCGGGTATCAATTCCATCATCTTTGCAGTCCTTAATCCAAATTTGAATAATAGGACAATGTTGGGTCATATCTTCGAGTATTAGAACATCACCAGTTTTACTTGAATCTATTGCGACGTCATTCAGCAACTTCACATTACCAGTTTCTCCGCCATGTACTTGAAATCGATTTGGCATGTAGTTATCATCATTACTATTCACGTTTACAAACAATTGCTTGATTACTGTCCCGGGTTTCATCTTAAGACGTATCCAATGTTGACCTTGAGATCCATCAGATTCCCAATATGTCTCAATGTCTCCATCTGTCAATGCTGAAATATATTGACTTTGGGATGACACTTCAATTGATTCGACATACTGACTTAGATTGCCCAACGTTGCCTCCTTCTGAATGGTAACATTCTGACTAATGAAACGAGCCAATTCTTCATCAGCTTCCAGGCTCCAATTTTGAGGGGGGAATTTTAATTTGTTCATGGCCTCAAGGTCGGCTTGCCCATGTAAAGTTTCTGCATTCTGTGAAATTTTAAGCGAGTAGTAGGTATCAACTGCATATTCCCAGTTCATTAGAACAGGCTTCGTGCTTTTTTTCTTGGAATTCACTGTCGCTAAATCAACTTCGTCTTTAACTTTATTATCACGGGAATGAATAAACACCCACCCTGCTGAGTGATTGCTGTCCACGTCAAATTTCTTTAAACTTTCAGGCACAAGTCTTAGCCATAGACCCTCATCGTTCCAGTATTCCTCGCCGCTAGCGGTAAATCTTGTACTTACTTTGTAAGGAATTTCACCAATTTTTGCTGAGGAAGAAGATGGGGAATCTCTAATTACAATTGAGGTTGTCCTTTCACTTTGAAATTTGTAGTTCACACTACCGGGAACAAAACACAACGCGTCTGGTAGCTCTTTCCCGTCTCGTATTGATTCTACACACTCAAAAACACATCTGATCCGTGCTAGACGCTTCCTAGCGTGGTCTTTTGTCATTTTTAACTCAAAATCATGGCAAAATTTGTACTTTTTCCACGTAAACACACCATTTATGCTTTAATTCTAGCAATTTCCGCCAATTTCGTCATCGGAGCTCGGCCACGATGTTGTTCACGATTCTTTTCCGAATACTCACGATTCACGAATTTCACGAACGTCAGTTGGGAAATACAATATGGCGGGCCTGAGTGCGTACAGAGATCAGCAATGGCAGGTATAAAAATGGTCTTATTTACATTTCACTTTGCGTGAAAAATGTTTCTAAACCTTTAATGTTTATATTTCAGGGTACAAGGGGCGAGCTCGAGTTAACATTAGAAACATCTTGCACACTTTACGTCGGAAATTTGGCGTTTTACACAACAGAAGAACAAATTTATGAACTGTTTTCAAAAGTAGGAGAAGTGAAACTTGTAATAATGGGTCTTGACAGACATAAAAAGACGCCATGCGGGTTTTGCTTTGTTGAGTATCCTTTTCAAAATTCAAGTGAAGCCAAGATGCCAGAAACTGACATCTAGTGGGTATGAAGGTTGTAAACAGTTTTCATACCATTTCCCAGCTAAAATATTCCCCATCTTTTTTTTTTGAAAAAATTTTTTTCATGGCTTTGGCAGATTTTTGCTGGGCGATTTGCAGTAGAGTCCCGACATCAATATTAACTAGAGATGCATATTTCCTATGGGCTAATTTAGGCAATTTGGTTCAATAATTAGTGTGACAACATGCAGACGCCATTTTGACACGCTGTATGAGCAGCCCGCAACCACCTGGAGAAGATAGGGTTGCACGGTCAATCACGTTGAAAAAATAATAGGGTCGGCAGAAAAAAATAGGGTCGGCAGAAAAAAATAGGGTTGGTCGGGAACCGGAACCACAGTATTTTTTTTACGCCTGAGTCACAAAAAGTGAGTTGTTATATCTGAGGCTTCATATAAAATTATTAAAATTAAAAAATGTCAATTTCAACACCTCCCCAGGGGGTTCCTTGTCCAGAGAAAGTTTGCCTTTTGCAAAATCAAAAGTGGTAGAAAATATCCTTTTTAACCCTAAAATTGTGTGACTTGATCATGCGAGTCACAATGAAATGGCTGATCTGGTGTTAGACAGAGTAAAATAATAAAGTAGGGCACAGTGCAACATAATCGGTTAATCAATCATCCGACAAAAATTTGCAAATATTTTACAATTTAGCAGCATTTCGATGATCTCTTTTTTGTCTCAAAAATGACAAATTAAAGATAGCAAATGGAGTATTATGTGTGTATTCACTCTGACATTGGTACGTACTGTCTTTGATTGCTTATTTTGCAGCATGGGATCTGATTCTGTGCATGAGCAATTACAAGGCAGATACTAAGGATTTGTTTGCAATCTAATAAAATGGTATAATTTGGTATGCTTAAAGAATGGGGAAAGTAATTGTGGTGGACGAATAACATTTAAACATTGGGATATGGTTTCAGAAGAATATCCAAAGCAATTTTTCTTGTCAGCTAGACACAACTTGACAGTACGTAATTAGTTAAGGGGTAAAAGCAGAAAGTACAAAGGTGTGACCTTGTTGTATAATCAAGCATGTGCATTGAAGGTTGAATCGTTAATAAATTATTTCAGTCATTGTGATTAAGTACATAGAAACAAACAAGCATAGACACAGAAAAATACTACATTTATGTTAAATTTGTGCATGCCATGAGATAACTATAATAAATAGAGGGATATTTACCCATATACTGTATCTTACAATGGCATCACTTTAGTAAATATACATGAAAGTTAAAGGTTAAAGCGCTGCACCGGAATTGCAATCACTGACACCAGATGATTTTACTGGTCAAAGGGAGAGTGCTAGCCTGCTCGCAGTCCGAATTTGTTGCGCTGGAGCTTATTGGGTTAACCAAAACATGACATATTTATTGTAATAAATACCAACCGTTAAATGTGTCTATAAACTATCCATTTTCAGTGGCCATATGGGTGTGATTTCACCAGGAATGTTACATTTGAAATGTAAGCAAATGTGAAAATGGCAGTATATTGTTCACTTATGACTTTTAATCTAAATGTGAAGTTACCATCCATGTCACCATCAGATATATTCCACCTAATGTAGAGTTATCAAAATAGACCTAGTTATCCTTGACAGTACACAAGATATTACGAACATGAAGATGCAGAAAATGCAACAAGATATATCAACGGAACAAGACTTGACGATAGGATCATACGAACTGACTGGGACACAGGATTTATCGAGGGCAGACAGTTTGGGAGAGGAAAGTCTGGGGGACAGGTAAACATCTCCCAAATTCATAAACTCATTTATTTAAATAAACCAAAAATACTTCAGGTATAGTAGCCATTAAAATAGAGGTTCAGATTTTGACTACTATAGCACTACCCTTACCGTTACCCAATCGGAAGCATTTAATGTACCTGACCAACCAATCAAATGCGTATTAAGCCTGCATGCAATGCGAAATAGCGGTGTAGTGGTGATCAAATCTGAACCTCCCAAATAAGTACTGCTCACTGGTCATTGACTCATTTCAAATTGAAGTGAGTCGATGACCAGTGAGCAGTACTTATTTGAGAGGTTCAGATTTAGTCACTGGTCATTGCCCCTAAATTTTCACTTTGTCTTTGATCAGCAAATATTGTTGCTTAATAGAAATTGTATGACCGGTAATTTTTTGCTCATGAAAAATAGTGTAGACAAGTATTAAACAAGCAGGGTTTTTTTTGGGTACGGACCCTCTAATTTTCTTCAGGAACAATTTTGTAATTCTTCCAAAACTGAGGAGAAACTGGGAGGGAGGCGTAACATCATTCATCTCTGACATTAAATATATTCAATGCATTCATCTCTGACATTAAATATACCAAGTCTGTGGCTTTCAATAATTTTGTGTTTTTAATTTAAATCAAGGATCACACAAGAGGTTTTTGATAATACTTTTATTTTAGCTACGTTTCGGATAGTTTACTATCCGTCCTCAGGCTAACAAATGGCTTTCAGATTATCATAAAACATGTCTGAAGTGCATGAAATAGCATTTCGCAGATTCATTAGCGTTGAAATAGCATTTCGCATTCATTTGCCTAGTTCTGTGTACGATTAGACACCCCCCCCCCTTCGTTTGGGGCTGGCTACGCCCATAGAAAAGAGAAGCACAAAACTAAGCATGATAAAACCTAGACTCTAGTTTTGTTGGACCACGAGTAATGAAATAGGGTTGAGTTTCAGTTTTTATGAGATTAAGTCATGTACACATGCGAAGCAATATCACGACAATAACTTAAGTTAATAAGGGAAGAGATTATTTCGCTGACCTCAGAGTGACAAAACGTAACAAAGCAACGGTTTTACTGACACTAACTCTACTCCAACTCTAACCCTTACCCTAACCTAGCCCTACTCCAAATTTGTTTCTAAACCAATCTTGGAGAAAAAAGTTTTGACGAAATGTCCTCCTGAGGTCAGCGAAATAGTTGATGCCGACAATAAGCCGCTACGGGAATAATTTCGATATCGTGTTTCCATTGACGATAACTTAACTATTATTTTTTCTATTCTTTGCGTCCAAAGTCGTTAATAAACTGCAGTACCAGCCTACCAGGCCTTAAAATATCGGTCGGTCACGGACATAGTCTGACCCATTCGTCAAATTGCCCGACGTAGAGAGGAAACCACCGGACGTTCTGTCCGGGCCCTGTAAAACAAATTGCTGCATGCTCTTATTATTATTTCATATAGATACGTGATGAATACAGAACATCCTATGATCCTGGTCGAGGTGGAAAGCCTAAAAGAGAATCTCTAGAAAGTAGTGATTCCGGTCCGCCTGTTGTTCAAAGTAGCGCCTGACATTGACAGTGTATATACGAGGATATGGTCTTTATCTTCAATCATTGCCATGGCGTATTGTAAAAACGATGTTCCTCTGCTGATTCGCTAAAGTTATTGTGACAAGCAGTAAAATAGTAATATCAGTCGTTCTTCTGTTGCAAGAAAGCAATCAACTACATTAAGTCCGTTTGTGATTATTTAATCGATATTCTTACCAACTGCTTGATATCGACATTATCTGACCGTTTAGTTTCTTGGAGTGCCTCAGGCTCTTCATTATATCAATCTACTAAATCCTTACTTCATATTCTACTGTACATATTATAATTAATAACTACAACGTGATATGTTTAAAAAGTTTAACCTGCCATATCCTTTAAATGAAATTTTCATTTTTAGTAGTATATGCATGTGTATAATTATATAAAAAAAATTTAATATTCGACGTTTTAGAGGTTGTTCATGTCATTTTTTATCATTCATGCATGTAACCAGTGGCAGTGAGCTCCCTGCATAACTAGCTAGTATAGGGGCCATTCACAAAGGATGTCCGAGCCGAGGGGGGTTTGGAAAATCAGGACAAACTCGGACATAGGGGGGGGGGAGGGGGTTTTCAGCAATCCGGATGTCCGAAATTTAAAAAAAATCAAAAACAAATTATACTTTTTCCTCTATTTTGAACTCTCCTTTCCATTGTGAAATTGGCATTTTGAACACTTCATATTATCTAATTCTTTCCTTCAATGATGAATTCAACAGTGGCGTCAAATAAAAGCTTTCTGCATGTATAACTCTCCTTTTCTATACAATAAGTTCATCCCGTTGTTGCAGTAACACAGTTGTTTGTTTAATTAATAATTTATATGTTTTTGTATTCACATTTATAGTTATAAAAAAGTTCTAAAAGTAAAAAACGTTTTTTACTCTTGTCATATACAAGGTGACGTGAGTTTTTGCGAGGCATGGCGGATGTCCGGGGGGAGGGGTCACTAATTCAGACAATGCCGGACAAGGCATAGAGATTATAAATAACACTAGAGGAGGCATCGAGTTTAAAAATTGGGAACGCATCTAATGGGGGGCAAATTCAAGTCCCGGATATAAAATCGTGCTCTCGTTGGCTGATTTGAAACTCGTCACCAATGGGAACACGAATACACATCCGGGACTTGAATTTGCCCCCCAATAGTCGCGTTCCCTTTTTTTTACTGAATTAAGATTACAATGCCTCCTCTAGTGTTATTTATAATCTCTATTGGACAAGGGGGGAGGGGTCTGAAAATCCATCATTTGGCCGGTCATCCTTTGTGAATGGCCCCATACGAACTTCTGTCATTGAACTGTCTAACTAAACCAAAATGGCAGTTCTTGTGTGTAGGTTAGTGATTTCATTCCCTTCGGCCAATCTCGTTCCCCGAGCCTGCGATCCTCGGGAAGGAACGCGAGGCTCTGGAATAATCCGTTGCCGCGGAAGCCAGGAATCCTGGCTAAGATTGAACTGCACATTCCATTTCAACGGCCAATCAGATAAAAAAAGGTCGCCAGATTTGGATTGGATTAGGGTTAGACTAAGATTAGATTAGGGAGGTTAGAGGTGGGGTGGGGGTTAGGTTTAAAATTAAGGCAATGTCTTAATTTGAACGCTTTTTGGTCAAAACATGTCAAAGATCACTTGTATTTTTAGAATGATTGCTAAATTTAGAGAACCAACCGCATGCAGTTATCGCTACTTGCTGGGTGCGTGCAACTGCACGTGCTGTACAATTACGACAATATAAACAATACAAAAATAGTTGTGAAATCAAACTATTACTATATTTTTACAATTGGTAACTTGCTAGTTTATTTTATCCTACGTTACTTTTCGGTATATTTAAGTTTATATTGTCAGCCAAATTTCGGTTATAAAGTATAAAGTTTTAAATTTTGTAAATATATAGCGGGCTCAAATTGTAGTCATTGGTTTACATGCGAAACGAAGGCGCGCGCATTCAAAACCGGTTAGAACTGGTTTATTACCGGTTTGTCCGGTTTACTTCGTCCAGAATTTTTGGACGGAACAAAAACGGCAGAGCCTTATTTTCTACGCGAGGGGAAATCAGGCTCTGCTCTAAAAGTAAAGATACTTCAACTATATACCTCCGTTTTAGATTAGATACCTATACCTGAACTAGGACCGACCTACAGTTAGTCATGTGTAGTAAACGTGCTAGGATGACTGGCCTATATAGGACCGACCTGGAACCATAATTTAGGCCAAGCATCAGTGATGGTCTGAAACTCACATCCTAGGCAAGTCTCAAGTCAGATCCATGGCGTAAACACGTTTGGATAGTTTCACGACCAATTTTCGCAATAACATAGTTGAAATTTGAGTCTCAGTATATCGTCATACGGTCATCCTTGAATCTATGATGTATATCATCATTCAGGTGCACTTTTAAGCCGGTTTTCCACTAGCGAATTGAGCTTTCGGCTGGAACCATTTGCAACTAATTCGTTTTAGACAAAAGAATAAAGTCGATTCGCGCGAAAAAAATCGCTAGTGGAAAACCGACTTTATGTATGATGTACATCATACATACACATTGATAACCTGGCTATCACCCCACTCCCACTCTAATCCCTCCTAACCGGAGGCACCTAACCCCTCGCCCTGATGGGGGGAGGGGACGAAAATGTCTGGCCTTGTGTAACTACACCAAATAAAAATATCGAGTTCAATTAATGCAACCTGATCATGTTAAATTATATTTATTTACATATTAATATTTAAGCCAGTTAATGTAGCACCGTCAACATTGCTTATGTGTTTTCTTTCTATTCTATCCCAAAGAAGTTTTTCTTCACAATAAAACGAATGCACTGCAACATCGCATTTCTTTCATGACGAATATCTGAAGCTAACAGCTGAAAATTCAAACACACACAAACAATGTTAGAACTTGAAGACGAATTAAACATCCAATATGACTCATAGACAGGGTTCGTACAGGTCAGGAAGACTTAAATTCAAGGACTTTTCAAGGTCATGTACCAGGAAATTCAAGGACTAAAGGGCTGAAAAGAAGGCGTTAGAAATCAATAAAAAGTGACGTTAAACTGACAAAATCAATTTTTACAAAATGTCCAATTCTTAATGCTAAACAATTTCAGAAAATATCCACTAATATCCACTTTCAAGCACTTCTTTATAAACTCAAGGACTATGAATTTTTGTTTCCAAATTCAAGGATTTTCAAGTTTTGTACGAACCCTGTATAGAGGTTGTTTATATATATATATATATATATATAATATATATACGGATGAAACTATATATATATATATATACGGATGAAACAGACTGTTGTGGTTTTTTGAGGTAAAACGAAAAACTATATATATATATATATATATATATATATATATATATGAAGCATAAACTAGCCCGCCAACCCGTGGCTGATTCGTGCCAAAAAATATTTCCTTTGCGACATGAGAAGATTTGGATTAACTCAACTGAAGACAAAAGCCAGGGTACGGAATGCTCAGCGTTCTGATGAAAAAATCAGAGACAGAGGTGAAAAAAATATTGAACTTATGTGAGAACTATTATAGCCACACATTAGTTGAGTCCGTCATGAAAAAAGGATATGCATAGCCATAGGATATGTACTGTAAAGTATAATATAATCTATAACCAGAGAAAGATTAAAGGGAAAAGGTGTATAGAATTAAAAAAATATGTGTTTCATACCATTTCCAAAAGGGTTGGTCTCAGACGGTTTGGGCCAATAATATTCTACAGAATGAAGAAATATTCAAATATATAATGAAAATGATTGCTTAAAGATTCACCTTCTTTAATATAATTATATACAGCTATTGTGTACCTGTGCCTGTGTACGTTTCTTCCTTGACGTGCTTTTCCTTTTCGCATGCTTGTCAATGTTTTCTGTTAACTTCTGCCTCTTATTTTCTGGTTTTGAATAATGCTCCGACTGCGAAGGATTTTCAGTATCGTCTGAAATGGTTAATATTATATTCAGCAAGTGACGAGACTTTTTGCATGTTACGTAACACGCGCTCAAAACTAACGAGAATAATATATCACTACATTGGTTATCCTTCCGAATTTGTAATTTTTGTTAGTTTCTCCGTCGGCAAACAAGCTTAAGGTAATTCCGCAGTAATTGTTCCCGAAATGAGAATGTGCTGAAACTTCCCAGGCATGGAGTTTATGATATACTTAAAGTAAAATCACACAAAAAAGTCGGGGTCACCGAACTCATTAAGAAGATATGACAATCGCAATATACCACCTTTACCCCAATATGGCGCCATCTTGACACTCATTACGAGTAACAGCAAAATCACAACAGCCCGATATTTATTGACGTTTATAGCGCGGATTTTGCTTTAGTAAACCTATGTTGTAATTCTTTTTGAAAAAGTATTGTGTTTTGAGCAAAATGATACTACTAACGTGTACAATTCTGATCCACAAATGTCTTTTCCACATTTCTTTACATATCTTTCTTTGAGAACATGCATTGATAAAGGATTTTTTTTCAAGATCCAGAAATGATTTTTCTTTTAATTTCGGATATGAAATGTAAAATGCATTAAAGAAATACATTATCAGTTAAAAAACGGGGGTCACCGATCTTTTTAGGGAACTGTGGCATTAAAACTTGAAATACAAGTAAATAAATATACTACAGACACAGGAACCCTAGCTACACTTTTGTATGCCTTTTTTGAAAACATTGATTTTAACGTAATTCTTTGCACGAATGTAACCAAGTAACATAAAATTGTCATAAAATGATTTTTTCTTAAACGGTACTTATAATGGATGAAATTATAAGTTATAAGATGTGCGCAGTAAAAGTGCGCAACGCAAAACTGCGGAATTACCTTAAAAAAGTTTGTTTAGGATTTTACCTGTAAAATAATGTACATCAACCACCTATCAAGACGAATTATACCATGCAGGCATATTTCATGTATACTCTATTGTTATCAATGCTACAATCATGGACATAACTGGTTGAGACTGCCTTGCCCAATACATACGAAAAATTGGTTACACCTTATAATAAATTCCATGTCGAAATCCCCAGTCCTTCAATTCAATTTTGAGCTTATGTCATGATGTTAAGTTCCCTAATATTGAACCGGGGAAGAGGGGGTCACGAAATTTGTTTTGTCCATGTACACTTTTGAACACTTCGCAATAATGCGATGAAGAGTCTCGAAGGTTGTGTCCATGCAATTGTAGTTTAAAACACGCTATTGAAGCTGTTCGTTTGGATAGTTCGTCTTGTATTTACATATAAAGATGAATGAATGATAACGAGTCTTGGCAGGTTACTCCTCTCTAGCATCATACCTCAGGGGCCAGTTGTTCAAAAGTGGGTTAGCTTAATTCTTGTTAAACAAGTTCTTCAAAGCATTCTTCCCAACAGCTTGTTTTTAAACATGGAAAGGTTTTTCTAGAAAGCTTGTTTGAATCAATAGAAGTTTTTTTGACTTGCAGAAATACAGAAACAAAAACAGGTTAAAATTTAACCCAGGGTTAGTGCTAGTCCACCTTTGAACAACCGGGCCCTGGCTATATTATCCAGTTTTGGTTTCCAGTCCTTCACTCCCATCCAAAACCCTACTACCTTGTTAGTGCAGTATATGGTTATTTTCGAGGTCAATTTAAACGTGCATCAGTATATTCGTACGTTAAAGTGCCTATGACACGAAATTTCACCCCAAAGGTTTATGGTTGCATTGTAAAGATCACTTAAAATGACTTAGTAATTTCTTTTATAGAATTTTGGTATCTTGCCCCCTTTGCAAGATATTCAACTTTGTTTCATATGCAAATATCACCGGTGTGACATCACATTGCATAATGACATTTTGAAAACGCAATATTTACCTTGATAAAATATTTTTACAACAAATACAGAGGGTTAATTACCAGTTATGAAATTAATACATATACAACTTAAGGGCAATTTTTAAGTTTTTTTAGATACGTATTCGTCAAGAAAACTATACTTTTGTGAAAACTCATTATGTGATGTGATGTCACACCGGTGGTATTTGCATATGAAACAAAGTTGAATATCTTGAAAAGTGAGCAAGTTACAAAAATTCTATAAAAGAAATTATTAAGTCATTTTAATTGATCTTTACAATGCAATAATAAACCTTTGGGGTGAAATTTCATGTCATAGGCACTTTAAATTCGTAATTTAATAGGTGCATTACAAAAAATCAAACGTGTACTCACTATACTGTATTGCCGAACCTTTCTGTTCCATAATTTTACCATCATCTTCATCACTCGAGCTTGTCGCGTAGTCTGCGGCAAGTGACCCAAGATTTAATAATGTTTCTGCAGTTTCTTCACGCTCCGTGCCCTTGCCTAGAATATATACAGACACCTTAATCAACTACATACAATGTATTTTTTATTCGTGGGGTGCCTATTGTCATAGGTTATCTACACGGAAGCTGAGAAAAGTAATCAAAAGCAGAGCCTCCGTAATTCTTCATATCATGCCAACAATTAAAAATTACGTGCAATCTTAAAAAGAGCTACATATAGCCGGCCATCCCTAGAAAGTACACATAGACAACTTCCATTCTTTAAGATAAATCATATTGCATGGATAGTGTTTGTGATGTTACTCTGAGTGTGCAGCCACACCGGGCAAGCTGAAAAGTTAGCTTGGCCACGGTGAGAATCGAACCCGCGACATTTGGAATACTAGTTCAATGCTCTGCCAACTGAGCTACGCGGTCAAGTCGGTCAGTTGGCAGAGCATTGAACTACAATCTTTGACAATATAAATTGGGACAATCTAGTTTTCACACGTATTCGGTTGTAATATACCATTTCCTGATACATATTTTCCCCCCTCCCTCCCCCCACCTGTTTCAATGTTGGCGCCGCGCGTCCAGACATCAGATTTTTGTTGGCCCAACATTGAACTGGGGGAACGGGAGCGCTATTCCTTTAAAATTATATGAAATTACAGCAGCTGTCCCATGGTTTCTGGCAAACATTGTAGTATCCCAAAGGTCGCGGGTTCGATTCCCACCGTGGCCAAGCTAACTTTTCAGCTTGCCCGGTGTGGATGCACACTCAGAGTAACATCACAAACATCATATTCACCTAATACATAACACCAACATACACAAAATAATCATATTGGATAGTAATCGCAATCATAAACTTACTGTTTACGTCTAACAAATTTCCATTCTGCAAGGTGCATTTCTCACTTTGTGTCTCATGCAACAGATCAGTGGTTGGAAGCTTGACATTTTCTGACTGTGTCAATGGAACAGTGTTTCTTCGTTGAGTATTTCTTCCTCTTTTATAATCTCTTTTCCCTCTCTGTTGTTTCCAACCTTGTTTCCTGTTGTACCTGATGTGAAGCAATCAATAGTCAAAATAGAGTAAAGATGCATGGGTGGCGGCAGATAACAAAGTATATTCGCCGTTTCCTTGCACATTGTGTATTGTATTATACATTGTGTAAACTTTAGAATTGAAAAATAGATTTTAATACTATATATACAACCATTCCTACGAAAGCTGGTCCAGTGGCGTCCAATAAAGGGTATTAATTGAAAGTTTAGGTTTTAAGTAAACTGTTTGCAACTTTTACATTAATTTATTATACGTGGAAATTAGTCTGACGCGTGACCAAACGACAAAAAATTAGCAGTCATGCATACTTTGTTCAGACATTCTGATGACCGATAGTTTATCAGTACCTAAATTCTTTTGTTGTTAATATTTGACCACTTTCTATTCTTCGTTGTTGCTCGGCTTCTTTTTTTGCCATATTTGTAACTGTCGGATAATTCCTACATAATATGAATAAAAAAATCAGGTCAACTTTGAAATCATATCCAGTTTTTTGCAGTCAACGATAATCAGGTAATTTTGCCAACAATTTATCATCTTCAAGCTACTGATGTATTGTGTTGGTGTCTATTTAACAATTATTCCCCGAAGGCGAGGTGATTATCGGTGAATAAAAACCGAGACGAAGTCGAGGTTGTAGTATAATTTCATGCCATAGGTCATTACAAGTTTGGGAAAAAATAAAAAACACACATTTCTTCGTCATTTAATTGACAAAACGGCTTCGGCCGCTATTTCGAAAATCGCTTTATAGGTGATTATCGCGTTATAATCACATCAACGACAACCAATCATCGTGGAGAATTTTCAGTAATCACCTATGTAATTATACTAATTACAATTTTTGATTAGTCTGTAGATTATTTATTGTTGTTCATATATTACATTCGAAGAATTACAAATATACCGATTACACAGCTAATTACATTACAGTCACATCCAGACAGAAGTTAACCTACAACAATTTGGAATCTAACTGTATTGACGTTACCGGCCTAATCAGGGCCGTACACAGCGGGGGGCAGGGGTGAGGGGACAACTGCCCCCTAGAGAAAACTATGGGCGCCTTCCATTAACACGGCCAGACCGCTCAGAACGGTTAAATTGTTGAATGGCACAACAAAACGTTTGGGCTTCGGACCTATCTGACTGGAAAATTTAGATAAAATTAGAATGAGGCCCACTTTCGCTAGATATTTGAGAAACACAGACCAGATCTTTCCATTGATACAGAGAGAAAAATTCGGGTCCGACCGGTCAGGCCATTAAATGGAAAGCGCCCTATATTTACGATTTTCGGCATATATAGGCCTTACATAAAGGTCCTGGTGAAAAAATCCTGCGTACGGCCCTGGGCCTAATTTAAAAAATAACTAATACCTTTTTCTTTCCTCCCTCCATTTTGCTATTTGTTCTGGTGTGTCTAAGACAATTTTCATATTTCCTTCCCTATGACACTACATCATAAAATAAATAATATTTTATTTTAGTACAGGTCTTATTTCAAATATATTTAAGGCGCTCTTACACATGGTATTGCAACCAGCGCCCTGCTTGCTACAATCGCCAAATTCCAATAATCATTACACAAAGTACAACGTGATTATACTTTGCATAACTCACCCTTTAACAAAAATGTTTCGAGACTCCACGATCAAAAAGTGCACCTTTACGTGAAAATCTGAGAGTATATCGCAACAATGGACCATAGAAGTGCTGACGTCATGTAATTTTCAAACAATGAATTATTGACGTAAAAGTATCCCACAATGCACTGTGCATTCCAGAAGTCCTCTGTAATTCTCTGCATTAAAAATTGCGTGACGTAAGGACTTCTAAGGTCTATTGGAAGTCACATTGCATAGCGCATATACATTTAATCTATGATGCAACAACGACCTTGGAACATCTTTTTAGAAAAAGGTGCCATATTTAAGGTAATTCCGCAGTATTGCATTCGGCACTTTTACTGCGCATATCTTATAACTTATAAGTTCATCCATTATACGTACCGTTTAAAAAAAATCATTTTATGACAATTTTATGTTACTTCAAAACATCTTTGGTTACATTCGTGCAAAGAATTACGTTAAAATCAATGTTTTCAAAAAAGGCATACAAAAGTGTAGCTGTAGTATATATATTTACTTGTATTTCACGTTTTAATGCCACAATTCCCCAAAAAGATCGGTGACCCCCGTTTTTTAACTGATAATTTATTTCTTTAATGCATTTTACATTTCATATCCGAAATTAAATGAAAAATCATTTCTGGATCTTGAAAAAAATCCTTTATCAATGCATATTCTCAAAGAAAGATATGTAAAGAAATGTGGAAAAGACATCTGTGGATTAGAATTGTACACGTTAGTAGTTTCATTTTGCTCAAAACACAATATTTTTTCAAAAATAATTACAAGATAGGTTTACTAAAGCAAAATCCGCGCTAAAAACGTCAATAAATATCGGGTTGTTGTAATTTTGCTGTTACTCGTAATGAGCGCCAAGATGGCGCCATGTTGGGGTAAAGGTGGTATATTGTGATTGTCATATCTTCTTAACGAGTCCGGTGACCCAGACTTTTTTGTGTGATTTTACTTTAAGTATATCATAAACTCCATGCCTGGGTAGTTTCAGCACATTCTCATTTCGGGAACAATTACTGCGGAATTACCTTAACACACTCCATTTTCTACTGAGTGAGAGTGATCTCTATACTAACCAACTACTGTGCTTATACTCCAGTTAATAAAATGCAATCAATTGAATAAGATATATTTTAATCACACATGTATATGTAGAAAATTTTTACAAAGAAGGCGGGTAACAAGGGAAAGGAAGCAATGCATGTAAAAGATCTGACAGCACGATCCTCGTTTTCATCTTATTAAAAATCAGGCTAAGGTGGTTTATCAGTTAACCGAAAAACGGTTTCCTTTGAAGATCGTGGCTTATAGTTTTTTCATATTTTAAAACCGAAATGACGAAAAATCCAGAAAAAATCGAAAACTGCATGGTCTGACACGCACGAAAGTTAACACCTGCTTACACATTCGTTCAAAAAAACATTCCTATACAAATTGGCTGGCGCTTTAGATTTTAGAAACGAGATCCAATTTACATTAGTATAATTGTCAGCATGCCGGAATATAGCTATACTGACATTAATATCATTATTCACTACTTTACATAGTGATCTCTGTTTTTAATGGTAACATAATGTGTGGTATTTGCTGTTTTAAAAGATCCGTTATGTCAGTTTTATCGGGCTTTCATTTCGCTTATATCAGTTTCAGTTAGACCTCAGCCTATTATTAAACGTCATATTAAACATTCTTGGGAATGCTCCCCCGAGAAAATGTTGAATATCTAGACCTTTAGCCTGCTCGCAGCCCGAAATTTCAGGAAACCTGGAAATACCAAAAGTTGCAATTATTAGCTTCATTAGCATATAATTTACTAGCCTGCAAGGCAGGCTCTTCGGTATTTGGACCCTGCCTCGCATATTACCTAAAAAATCATCTTGTGCGTGTTACACACAATCAGGGGTGTATTACACCCCCTGTCGCTACGGCCTTGTGTAACTGTGTATGACACCACTTCCAGATTTCTCTCAACATTCTTTCAAAGTCATTGCAGATAATTTTCTATCGTACCTGTATCTCGTGCAGCTTTAACGTTTGTCTTGAAGCAATGAAAGAACAGTTTGGAAATTCACACTAAAATATAGAGATGATAACATATATCAGGTAACATGAGAGCCGGATTATTTCGCCGGCTATACCTTCATTCTGGGCAAGCCAGTGCCCTTCTTATAACGATGTATTACTTATTCAAATTAAGCGACATTTATCACAAAATTATATCAGAAAACGCATACAGGTGTATCAGGAAATTAGACGTAATGGGAATTAGCCCAACTTTACATTTTCTAGATGAAAGTTGATTAATATGTCCCAATCTCGTTCCCCGAGCCTGCGATCCTCGGGAAGGAACGTGAGGCTCTGGGATAATCCGTTGCTGGAAGCCAGGAATCCTGGCTAAGACCGAACTACACATTCCATATCAACGGCCAATCAGATTTCTCCCTGAAACGGATTATCCCAGAGCCTCACGTTCCTTCCCGAGGATCGCAGGCTCGGGGAACGAGATTGAATGTGTCCTTGCCGAAGGATCTGCTTGGACGGGCCCTGGATACGAGCTTGCCCCTAGTTCTGAAATTAAATTGCCTTGTTCAGAAACATTCTCATTTTGCGTGCGTGAAACTTCGAAGAAGCTGACATTTTACATCCGTTGCTGAAAGAATAAAATACTGTCCAGAAAGATCAGATACATCCTTGTCCCCAGCCAACGTTATGTTGATATAACACGCGCCGTACAATTTCCGCCTATTTTCCGTTTAATGCACTTGCTTAATTGAAATTTGCTAATCGGAGTGGAAATACCAACAATCGTCCAAACCAACAAATTGAAATTCGCAAAAACAGATCGCGAAAACGACTTTTCATGAGAAGTGTTTTCAATAAAAGGCGGTTACGGACGGTGTTCCGTCGCCTAATATGCATCTGAAGGACATTTATTTCTTTGTATATTTTCAAAATTTATATCTGGCTTTTATCTGGAAATTTTGAGGACAGACGTCTATTTTTGAAATGCAGCCTGCTGTTACATTGTTTCTAAAAACATTCGTTGCAAATTAACAACTCTACGTAAAGCTCTTCGTTTGAAAGACAAATTGGCAAAGTTGCTCTCTTTCTGTGCCATACGAGTGGGTTGAGCACTCTGAAGACTGATGCAAAGATGCCTTCTTCTGTTGTTGGGGGCAGTTCCTATGTAATTGCTTGCTCCACCATCACCAAATCTAACAGGACTGCTCAAGTAGGTGAAGACGTTAGTTGACCTCTTTTTGTTCACCATAGATGGATTGTTGAGACATCTGACACGTTCAGTGGTATCCTCAGACGAATCGTCTAAGCAAAGTCAATATGCTGGTATGTTTCATGTCTATTCATCTGTTCAGCATATTCTGTTAGCTGGAGGAGACAAGGATGATAATGTTCATAGACTCATGCACCCAATCAATACTTTGTGTGATTAAAGAGAAATGTTGACTTCAAAGCGGAGTTCCCAGAGGTCAAAACTGTGTTTCTAACTCTACATTTGGAAAGCTCCTGATGAGAAGAACAACTCTACCGTACATCTGGCGTAATTCCCTTCTTTAGAGCCTTCACAATAACTGCCCTTAAACAGTCATCCAACACCATCTTCATCTTGAATACCACGAAATCTCAAATTTAAAGCCAGATCTTCATCTTCTAAGAACGTGGTTCTTATAGCAGTCAAAATTACGCTTAAAATTGAAGAGTAAACTGTCAATAACATGGTTGACCTCACTGTCTATGAACATAATTTAAGGTTAGGAGACACGTTGCGCGTGTCATTGACAAAAGTTGAAATTGCGGCCTGTGTTTTCAACCAATTTAGCTCAACTTCTGACCAGTTATAGCACAATAAATGTTGAATCAGTTAATGAACATAGTATTTCACCATTTTCGGACGAAGAAAAAACGCACTCACTTCACGCGAAAAGTTTTGTTAAGCTATGCCTATATGGTTTTAATCAAATCCCTCCAAAGTAAACTTCATGGCAAGTCAAATGATGCCTTTACAAAGGTGTGTGCGGTAGCTATAGATTTTGTTTTTTCTTTTCGTGATATATAACTTGTTTTGTTGTCCGTATAAGTTGTTTTGTGTTCGAAGGGCAATAAGTAAAAAATGAAAAATGAAATCATATTGCAGCTACCACATGTTTGCATCCCTGATTCTCATGCTTCTTCTGTGAAAATTTGAAGAAAATTGGGCAAAACCCAAGCTTAACAAACGTTTTTGAATCTAGCATTTTTGCTTAAAATTTATCACGCAGAAGCGAAGGTGGGTTTTGTAGTTTTAGATCCTACTTAAGGCACTGAAGGCCGCATGCACCGCTGTAGGTTGCTTGATACTTCGACAATCACCGGGCAAAACTCCGCAAAACGTAGCTGCTGTTATGACCACCCTGAGTCCCTGATATTGGAAACCAAGGGCTTACAATGTCTTTTGCTGTCAACCCATGCCCGTATTTCGCGCAAAAATAATTTCAATCAAGTTTCAAACGTACATATCTCGAAAAGTTTTCATTTTATCAATATTTAGTTTTCCCCATATAAAAGATTTCGGTCATACGTCATATAAAAATACAAAAATGATGATTTTTCACCTTCCCTCGTAACCTTAAAATACATAGCCAGGATGTCAAAACTGGCCATCTAAGAAAATATTATGGGCGTGGGCACTCTATGAGGCACTTGATTCAATGGGTATGGTAACTGGCAAAGAAAAATAGTGCTTGAAATCAATTGTTGTATACTCATAATTCAATAAAACAAGACTTCTGCTCAGGCGTTCACACTGGCCTGAAAATGGCAACTTTCGTGGTAGGGTGTAATGTGTAGTAGAGAAGTAGATAGGGATACAGTAGGTCTGGACCATATAAATACAACCAATAAATACAATCATGATCAGCAACTATCAACCATAATATACCAAGACGCCGGCTCAGGCGTACCCTCCGGCTACGGGCAACTCAACCTGACAAGCCAGGCCCACTGTAACTATGATCATCAACTATCAACCGTAAATAATGATGGGCCAGCCAGGCCCACTGTAACTATGATCATCAACTATCAACCGTACGTAAATAATGATAGGCCAATAATAGCGAAGAAATTATATAGTCCTTGATTTTTAATGCCATTATATGGCTAGTTTCATGAGGTGCTAAAAAGTTCATAAACATTGACGATAATACGCTAAAAAATACGCTAATTTGCTTCCATTTATAAGATAAACTGATCCCAACCCAAAGCCCTTCTCTAACCCCAACCAGTAAACATCTAATAAACAATTTGAGAATTAAAAAAGTCGGGGGGAAAGTTGGATCTTGTTCCAAAAACAAATTGAACCGTATCACGTTTCACTGACTTCGCCGCACGGGCGGGGCGCACGCAACGCCACCTCGCTGAATACAATAAAAAAATACATTTTTATAGTAATATACTATATGATGATTAAATGGAAAGTAATTTGGCACATATTAATGTAATTAGGTGCAAATCTATAATTATGCAAATCAAACCTTAAACTTGTCCTTGTTTACATTCCACTTTAATCCACTACATTGTATAAATTCTCTGGGTCCAAATTTTGGGGTTTTCGAGCCAGTTTCATAAATTCAACAAGCAAGAGAGTCCAGAGTGCAACACAACATATTTTCCATGGGAAACCAGCACAATTCTTTGAAAATTCAACGAAACTGTGTGAAATATATATTAGTCGCTCAGTGAAAAACTGCCATTTTGAAACTGAACCGAATATGTCACTGGAGCACTCTATCCTTGGAGTTCGGAATTTTGCGCGTGCGTACAAGGGTATGGGCTAATAAACAAAAAATGTACCACAAGCATGGCATGAGCTGGCTATTACGTACATAAATACAAGCTTGTTACTATAGTATCTAAATCATGGAACCGATGGGAATCGATGGCATTTTGGCTTAATTGTTGCACCCTGAGCCTGCGATGAGCTAACGCAAACTCCATTTCTCAACAACGAAGAAAACAGAAAAAGAGGGATTTAAGACACTTGGCCTACAGGCCAGTGTAAAAAGCTAAAATATATTAAAAGCTAAAGTAAGCAGCAGCTGACAACATTTGAAATGAAGAAATATTAAGTGCATAACCTGGGCCACCAGTGCAAATAAGAGATATAACTGTTTATTAAGTAGGTTCTTGCTTTTTTCTATCTTGAGTAGTCCACCAACATGTCTCGATCACTGTGTCATTTAGATTTTAAATGTTTATAGAACAAACAGATTACATTTTGCAGTTGCCTGGTACAGAATGATACACCAGTTGGAGTTTGATTGCAGGATCCATTTTCATCTCCAGACTACTAGTTTTGGTTTGATCAGAGATTGGCTACCTCGATCCATAAAAATGCGCTTAAATAACTTCCATCAATGGAGGACAGAGTGACACTTGCCTTGTCGCTTTTGTTTGAGATGGTACCAGGACCCTATTTGTATACTGGCCCTCCTTTAAAGTTGGGGTATATATCAAATATAGCACTGCTATAGGGGCCCTAGATCAAAGGAGAAAACTCCACAAAAATCCTTACCACAGTTTGCTTCCTGAAATTAAGAATTTTCATTAGTCCAGAAAAATTGGATTGGGCCCTCTTCATGACTGTTCATTGGGGGCATTAACCCCCCCCCAGGCACAGCCCAGTTTGTAATTCAAGCTGCAAAGCAAGCTTATTGTAAACAATTCAATATAAAACGGATTTAAAACATTTATAGCTAACCTTTATATGAGTCTTTAAATGAGCACCAAGGATGTTTTCATCTTGAAATGACTTTTTACAGGGTTCACATTGAAATGATGACTCAGACAAGGAGATAGTGTGTTTGACCTGTAATAAATGTGCTGGGTGAAGACACATAATACAGCATCACTTGCACATGAAACTGTATTGACAAAGTAATTAATTAGCAAATTATATTTAGTAGCATTTTTCATAGCTGTAATTCCTGGTTAAGGAGTTTAAGGAGTGTTCATTATTTATGGTTTGGGGGTGTAAAATCATAGGGAAGCAGCCTAGACCTAGACCTTCTAGTCTTATTTATATTTTTTAGTATTCAGCGGTTTTTCACATCAAAAGACTGGGACTAGGTGATTTGGGGGCGGGGCGGAGGAACCAAGCCTAGAAGGCCTAGTTGATTTCCCAACAACAAGGCAAAAACTGCCCTGAAACTGCCCTGGTTGCGAAATGCCCAATTATTGCGTTCTCAAACAGAATTATTTGCAACTTAACGGCGAATTTAAACCGATACAGGTAAAATAAACTCATTTATAGTATAAACTTACTATTTTTATTTGTATACACGTCTAGAAAATCGGGTTTTTATCATAAAGTTCGAAGCAACACTATTATTTAATATGTTGACAAGGTGTAGCGAAAGAACAAAATGAGTCAAAATATATACCAAAACTAGAATCTTTCATGAAATTTTGTCTTATACACAAGTACATTAATATATATTTTCTCAATTTTGGCAAGAAGCAGTCTTGTGTTTGTAAAATATACAAAATATAAAACGGATACATATAGAGAATAATACATGGGTGCGCGGGAATACCAGATTTATTTCGAGTGTTGAACATGATATCTCACGAGTGAGCGCAGCGAACGAGTGAGATATCATGTTCAACACGAGAAATAAATCTGGTATTTCCAAGCACCCATGTATTTTTCTGTTTATTATATAAACAAAATTCAGTGAAAAACAATAAAACGTCCGTGGCAATGCGTTTTACAACAAATGATATTTTCACACGTAAAAATATCGTATTTTTTACGTGTGTTTAAATACGATTTTTCTCAGTGGCCAAAAACTCTATATAACACTTATGTTTATATAATAAATATTATTAGCCCGTACAGTACTGTATATAAAAACGTACATTGTTTATACAAATGGTATATCTGTAATATTTGAACACTAATTTCAAATTCCTCATTCCCAATTCGCAAATATAGTATTCAAAGCAAAACAGTAGATTGTCTTGCGAATAAAAGAATTATTATTTTGTGCCGTTTCGCTACACCTTGTCAACATATATAAATAGTGTTGTTTCAAACTTTGTGATAAAAAACCCGATTTTCTAGACGTGTATACAAATAAAAATAGTAAGTTTATACTATAAATGAGTTTATTTTACCTGTATCGGTTTAAATTCGCTGTTAAGTTGCAAATAGTTCTGTTTGAGAACGCAACAATTGGGCATTTCGCAATCAGGGCAGTTTCAGGGCAGTTTTGGCCTTGTTGTTGGGAAATCCACTAGGCCTTCTACATTTTCGCTTGCGTCAGGCTTGTGTCCTTCCTCCGCCCCGCCCCCAAATTACCTAGTCCCAGTCTTTTCATGTGAAAAAGCGCTGAATATTAAAAAAATATAAATAAAAATAGAAGGCCTAGGTCTAGGCTGGGGGGGGGGACAAAGTTTGGTGTTTGTTTGGGGGGTCAACAGAGTTTGAGGAGTAATTGAGGGGGGTCATGAAAGTTTTAGTTTTGGCAATGTTTTGACCTCTTTAAAATATGTTGTTATAGCACATGAAAAGTTTGAATTATTAAATGCCTACAAGTTTACAGGAACTTTTGCACTAGCTATTACTAACGTCATAAAATAAAGACTAAATATTTAACTGATATTATACATCAGTTAAATATTTAGTTTTTATATTTAGTCTTTATATGATATTATATTTCAATGTTTAGTCTTTATATGATATTATATTTAAATGTTTAACTGATATTGTACATAAAATGGGGGTCAGGTGAGTTTTGCTGTTGCCAGAGGGGGGGGGGGTCATGCAGATATTGAGAGGGAGGAGGTGTGAAATGTGCGCCCTCCAAAACCATATATAATGAACACTCCCTTTTAGGTAGATCTAATCAATGTATATAAATTTCCACTTGATATTTAATTTCCATCTACAAGACCCTCTATAAAGTAACGTACCATTTCATAATTTCCATGACTTTCATTGCAGTTACTATCCAGATATCTTTGAACTACATTGGGTGCTTGTTTAGATGCTTGCTGGAAACTATAGCCATTTAAAACTCCATTTGTTGGCCTTCCAAAATATGAATGTGAGCCATGACCGCCATGTGGCATTGGTGGTGGTACGAAAGCACCAAAGCCAGTATGAAATGGAATGGTTTGTCTACCACCATACTGAGGCGGTAGGTGAAACTGAGATCTGGGACAACCATTCATAGTAAACTGTGAGAAAATGACGGAATGACCACTAGTTTATATTTGATAGCCATGAGGGTTTATATTTTGGCCTCACGTTTGGACGTTTATGGCGTTTGGTCAGTGCGTTTGGTGCACGTGCACGTGAATATTTGAGCCTGCGCTTACGTTCACGGGAAAAACAATATTTCCGCTATTACTTGGTGTATCCACCGTATCACTATTCATTATGAAGCTGCTTGGTCGCCTGAGGTTCGGCATGATATTTTGTTGAATTTGGACAATTTTCTCGTAGGAAAAGTAGGAAAAAAACTACTAGTATTTTTGTATTGACTTTATTTGATAGTGCTGGGGTTTTTTTTATGGCTGGACATTGTGAACACTAGTATATTTATTACAGTAACAACCTGTGGACATTCGGCACATTTGGCAACATATGTGATTATAAATGTGAAGAAGTATTTATCGAAAATGTTTCGCCGCGTGCGTGTAATCTTTGGGATTCGTTCAAATTCAATTTTTGTGTTGCTGTATTTATTTGGTGTAGCCTTAATTTTCTACATTGGACTGTATTCTGCAAGTACTGTTGTTGTTGAAAACTCTTCTTGTGGATGCACTTGTGTCAACACGACATCGACATCTGAAGATAATAAAAATTGCTTACAATCAAAAATAAATTCTAAAGTGAGGCGTACCGAGACATTTTTGTTAATAATTGTTTTGACTGGACCCAGGAATATTGAACGAAGGAATGCGATGAGATTGACTTGGTTGAATGTGACAAAATTTCCATCTGTCAGCAGAAGATTTGTTATTGGCACGTCTGAATTAGATAGCAATACAAAGGAATCACTTGAACAAGAACAAAAGTTACATGGAGACATGTTATTTTTACCAGAATTTAAGGATGCATACAACCAACTGACTAAAAAGTTATTGAGTGCTTTATTATGGATAAATGAACATATAGACTGTTCCTTTGTTATGAAAGTTGATGATGATACATTTGCTAGACTGGATATCATTGAGCAGGAACTTAAAATAAAATATCATCTGATTGATAATTTATATTGGGGTTTTCATCGTGGTAGTTCAAGAGTGAAATACAGTGGACCATGGGCTGAGCCTAAATGGATTCTGTGTGATCGATATTTACCATATGCCCTTGGTGGAGGTTACATTGTATCAAGGAAGCTAGTTGAATATATTTCTAATATTTCATCTCTTCTTGTTCTATACAATAGTGAAGATGTTTCCTTAGGTTTGTAATTGATTATCTATTGATGTAAAATTCATGGGTATCAGTCAAATGAATGAGGGGTAGATGAAGCACTTAGCCACAAATATTGCAGTCTTTTTAATATGTCTCATAGTGAAGATGAAAGAAGTGGAAAATTATCATTTCAAATTAGAGCCTGCAGGAAATCAGTGGTGGATTTATATGGGGTGCTATAGAAGATACAGAGGTGCTATAGAAGATATAATTATTTTAAATATCCACTTTAATTAAACCAATATCAAACCAATAATAATTAAACCAATAATTCAATAAGTTGATCTTAAGATCAACCCCCATTTTTACCAGTTATTTGTTCATGTTTATTTTGAATTGAAACCTTTCTAGGCACTTGGCTCAGTCCAATTCAGTTAACAAGAATTCATGATCCAAGATTTGATACAGAATGGCGGTCCCGTGGTTGTAGGAATGCTCACATTGTTAGTCATAAACAATCTATAGAAGATATGTACAATAAGTTTAGAATGTTGCAGAATCATGGGAAACTTTGCATGAAAGAAGAATTTCTTGCACAATCTTTTATTTATTCTTGGAATGTCCCACCATCACAATGTTGTGAAAGAAAATATGGCATTCCCTGACATAATTACTATATTTTGATGGCTATTTAATTTTAATACTTACAAATTAAATTAATTTGCACAATATATAAGATATGTACATTCGTAAAAGTAATTTGGAAGTCTACAATATTTGAGGGGCAATTACCATTCCAGAGGTGAAACTAAAGTATTTTTTACATGCACAGTTCCAAGAGCATGCTTTTGTTGGTATACTTCTATAATTAGAAGGATTACTACAGTTTCCCATACAGTCTCATATATACAATTGTTACAATAACATCAACTTTTGTGAATGATCTCTTACTATTAATATTCTGTTATTCGTTGAATGGCGAAGCTTGCCTTGACAATGGGTCGTTCCAGAAAAGATCCACACTCCCCCCACGGAGGAAGTTTCTGCTGTCTGGAGGGGGGGAGGAGAAAAAATTGTTTCTGATAATAGTAAATGTATTAGGACATCCAAAGGGGGTAGGGGGGTTAACTTCCAATTTCCTCCGTTGGGGTGGTATGGATGTTTTCTGGAATGACCCAATCATATGCATGGCCATCAATTTTTTTCTAAGGGGCCATTCACAAAATATGTGACACTGTTTTTGCCAATTTTACCCCTCCCTACCCCCTTGTGACAGTGTGTGACAGCTAGCAGTACACCCCATCATAAAATATGTGACTCTGAGCCAAACCCTCCCCCCCCCCAAAAAAAAAGAGAAAAATACTCACAAAACACAAATTTAATATGCAACAACAAATTCAAAACGTTATCTATCAATCAACACTATTTCAATACCTTATTAAACCTCAGCCTAAACAGTTTCCCACTCAGGTTCTCGTGATTCGTTGAATAAACGAGAGTGCCGTATTCCATGGCGATGCCAGGAGTATTTTTGATAGAAAACATTGATTTGTCATCTAATGGACATATATTTGCAAGCACGGTCTTGTTTTGTTATAGACCCCAGGGATAAACTTTTCCCTATACGTCTCGATATGTCACGTGACACTGCATGTGATAGCCCTCCTTCCTCGTGTGACACTATGTGATTCCTGATCAAACACCCCTACCCCCACGACCGTCACATATTTTGTGAATGGCCTAAGGCAACAATTGAGCAACACTACAAATGTTTGTGATGTTACTCTGAGTGTATATCCACCCCGGGCAAGCTTGAAAAACATGCCTGGCCACGGTGGGAATCGAACCTACGACCTTTGGAATACTAGCCCAATGCTCTGCCAACTGAGCTACGCGGTCAGGTCGGTTCGAGTATGTGATATTTCGGAACGAGTCTAGTTCCTTTGATATCAATGCAATCTAGTAATATGATTTTTTCTGTGTTGGTATATCACAGAAATAATCTGTGATTATTTTCTAGTAACTGAAAAAATCATATTACCAGATTGCATTGATATCGAAGGAACTAGACTCAATTCCGAAATATCACATACTCGAACCGACCTGACCGCGTAGCTCAGTTGGCACAGCATTGGGATAGTATTCCAAAGGTCGTAGGTTCGATTCCCACCGTGGTCAGGCATATTTTTCAAGCTTGCCCGGTGTGGATATACACTCAGAGTAACATCACAAACATATTCACATGAGTACATCACACCAACGTGGCAACGCAGAAAAAAACACTACAAATGCTACAAGTTGACTCTCACATAATTTGTAACTTGTCTTGCATTGTAATAAAATGTTAAATGAGTGAAAACGAGTGAGCAAATGGGTGAGCTTGAGCTATTGAAATTAATATAGGTTTGAGCTTCCATCACTAACATCTGCTGTACTCATTTATGCAGTTACTTTATTAGAATATTATTTGCCTGGCAGTTCGTATTTAATACACATACAGAATCTCTCTAATAAGCCCCTCTCAAATAAGCCCCCTTTTTGTTGAAGAAATTTATTAAAGATTGGGATTTTTTTAAACATGTGACTAGGCCTAGACTCCAGCGCGTTTTAATTGGTTTTCACCAGTATTGTATTCTTGTTTCCATCAATCTCGTACCGACTACCCAGAGCCACTTTTTGTTCACTTTTTAGATAAAACTACGAGCACATTGTGTTTCCAACTTTCCATCTACCAAACTGACGTTACGTCATTTGATCAATTTCTAAAGGTGTTCTTTGTTTTTTTTTTATTAATTTGGTTCGGGTTAGGGTTAGGGTTATGGTTGCGGTTAGGGGTTAGAGTAGGGGTAGAGTTTGGGTTAGTTACATATTTCTGATTAAAAAATCCCATTGCTAAAAATTCGAACGGGTGAAAACATATTCATTTCACAGATCTAAGGCTGGTGTACTTTAATTTAGGGTATTATATTGGTGTCATGATCTCTAAAGATCTTAAATGGCAAGTTAGTCCGGGTTTATACTACCTGCGTTCGACCAATCTTAGAATTTTCGTGCGAGGTATGGCACTATAGCTTGGCGCAGTACTTGAGCGACGAGATCGAGAGTATTCAACGCAGAGCCCTTCGTATAATCTTTCCTGATCATCTCAAATATGAAGACGTGTTGGTACGTGCTGGGGTGGTGTCACTGTTCCTGTGGAGAAAGACCATTTGCGAGAAACTTTTCGATCAAATGTGTGATGAAACAACCCATAAACTCCATTCTCTCGTTCCCCCAAGACATAAAACAGGATATTCTCTACGTAATAATAACTGTCTTTCAATACCAAAGCATAGGACAAGTAGGTTTGCTAGTAGTTTTATTATGACCGGTAGTAAGGCCTACAACTCTAGTTTTAAATAATAATTGTTTAGCTACATTCTTACCTAGAACTATCAAAATTTTTATTAAGGGTGGAATGACCCTCAAAATTTTTTTTTTATATTTAAAACTAGAAATAAAGTTTAAATGGTATATTATGAAAGCCCACAGAAAAGTATTTACATTTATGTGAGTTTGACATATGCTGTTGCCATGGTTACCAAGATAACAGCTCGACACGCCTTGCAGCGGACCATTGCGCCAACGATGATAACTCGAAAGCAATTTAAGATTTGTCTACGAAACTTTGGGAAAATATTAAGCACTACTAGACCCATGCAATGAACTAAAAGATTTTAAATCAGATAAATAGTTTCTAAGTTCTGAATGAAACAATATGTGTGCCTGAAATTTAATCATGATCAGCATGAATTTTTGCTTATAGCACAAAAAGTATTTGACCTAATGACTTCATTCTAGTTCATTGCATAGCTTTTGATGAAGTAAACATCCTCTGAAAATTTTAGCCAAATCTGTTAAATTGTTTGTGAGATATCATTGTTGGCAGATTACAAACCTTGCGAAAATTGTTTATCGGAGAAAATACAGTTTAAACTTTTCATACTATGTAATTGGCTACCAAAAACACTTCATGTCCCTAAAAGTCAATAGAACTCTCCAGCACCATACTTTACTCCCTCCCCCTGTTTGTTTTTGTCACACTTTTGTTTTTTTCAGTCCTCTCATCACTTTACGCCTCTTTTTAACTTCGGGCGTGGATTTGTGTTCTGCATGCGAAACTCTCAACTTGTCTTCAAGTTGACAAGCCACTTCTGTATACTTGCCAGGAGTAATATCCAGTAGTTCACTGGAAAAAGTTCACTGATTGCCTCTTTTGCAAAATGTAGTCAGTGACTCAGGGTCTCAACTTCAAGAACTTTCCCGGTATCCATCGACATAACCGTAACACACCAGTTAGATGATGAATGTCCCCTTCGTTGCCAGGTACCGTCACATCAAATACCACAGTCTACAGAATTTGTTCCATCAACATCTTCATTTTGTTGCAAAACACACACTTCTTTTGCAGCTGCTTTCATGCTCTTCTTAGCAACTGTCTTTGCATGCTTAGCAATGACACGAGATGACTTCTTGAAAGACTTTGGTCTAGGTGGTGGTGTCATGTTCATGACAGAGCAAACCTTTGACGCACCAGCATGACCATTGCCAATCATTCGCATTCCATACACTAATCGTCAATTTACTTCAAAACTCTTTTGTTTTTCGTTTTGAAATCCAAGACAAATGCATCCATTTGCAGTGTTGGCAAGTGAGGTGGAGTTTAGAAGCACAATCTTTACGTTTGATATTATTTTCTTCCATTGTGTTGTATACATTCTGGGAAGCTGACAAATATGGAAAAAACATTTCCAATAAGTTCCATATCACAAAGCCTGAATCCATAAGTGCCTTGAGAACTTTTTGTTGAAGGTTTAGGGGTTCTTTTCTCACTGGAATTCTGCCGAACACGAGGCTGAAGCTTCCTGTAGGACACTGAAATTCCAGCTGGAATAGCGCCCACGTTGCCCTCATCAGCACTCAAAGAAACCTCGCTTTCCTCGTTATTTTCTTGCATTACTGGCTCGCCCTCTTCCTCATATTCAACACGAGAACGTTTAGTATGTTGATTGGCACAAAATTGGCGTTTTTTACGCTTCTGTGTAGCAAATTTTCCCATTTTATTTTCGCAAAATAACTCTCGATCACAATGTTAGAAAGAATGTTTTTTTTTTCGTCTGCGCGTTTCGTAGGGGGCCTGGGGAAAAGCTTAGATTAGAGCCCAGCCTTCCCTAAATACCCCACGCTTTTTACCGAAAATTTTGTAAATAAATTCGCTTTTATAGGCAAAAAACAAATGGTAAACAAATCTGTTTCCATAGCAACGAGTGAACATCCAGTAAAAAACCCTTAAAACTAGAAGTTACTATCGCAAGGGAAGTGCTGCCTTACGACCCAAAGTCTAGGGATTGATTATACCAAAAAACTTCATTTATTTAAATTGCCTTATATATACACTGTATGTATGAATTTATTTTGTTTAATAATGCAATAATTACTATATACTGTAAACTGTACTTCGGATTTTCATAATTACACATGTGATTGTTGGTACCAATGTTTTAAACCGTCTTCACTTGTCAAAACGTCCAGAAGAACACAATTGGGAAGAACAAACATATGTCCTTTAACGTGATATGATTAGTTTCTTGCAAGTTCTCACATTCTTTCCAAGTAATACTGTATTTTCGATTTGGTAAACAAGACAGTGCCATTCAATGTTTTTTGTCCAATATGTAGATGTTTCGTATTTGTAGTGTACAGGTAGTGTCCATTGTTGGCCAACATAGGTACTGTATGTAATATCTTGACATACAATGTTCCTGACATCCATATGGTAGATTGGAAACAAGTAAATTAATTTAATAATAGATGGCAGATTCCATATCCTATTACATTGGATGTGACATTGGACAATCTTGTAAATCAGCATTCTTGTTTTAATAGAAGTACACTTCTGTTAATCCAGAAGCTCCCATCCATTTTCATTATTTTGGCTGTAACAACCATTTGGTTTCATCCAGCAGTTAACATGGCACCATTCACATCCGTCAGAATTGCAAAACTATAGAAAAAAATAATTGGTAGCATAAGATATTTATGTGGAAACATGGTAGCACATAGGCAGGGGGAGGGGTTAATTAAACAAACAAAAAACTTACCCTTCCTTTGTCTTGCAAATCATAATATTTTCATACATACAGTGATAACAAGGAGTAAAATAGTTAGTATATAATAAATTAAATTATTTAAAAGGGTATATAGTCAAAGTACATACCAAACTGTAACTGGGATCCATATATGAAATCCTTCTCTTACTCAAACTCAATAGTCTGTTGATCTAAATGCATTGCTGGTAGTCTGTGCTAACTGATCTAGCCTGTTTTCTTCTTCAAGCCTATATTGTAAGTTAGCGGATGATTTCAAGCTTGTTAATCGTTCATATGTCATTGGTTCAATGACACAAGATGCAAGTGATTTTACTCTGCTAATAGCAACATAAGAAACTCCAGCAGTTCTTTCAGATTTGCCGATATCTATCCACGCTTTTGGAAGTGTAAGTCCTTGGCTCTTGTGTATTGTTAGAGCCCAAGCAAGCCTAAGAGGTAACTGTTGCCTCTCATGGAAACCTATTTCTGTCTGTGATGTGACAGTGATTGGATATATTGGGATACACAATGGTCGGCTTTCATTAAAAACAGGTCCTCTATAGTTTTCAAATTCTACTATTACCGCAATAGGTAAGTCAGGTGGTTGATGGTTGTTCTGATAGATAATATCAACAACTGTCCCAGTAGCCCCATTGCAGAGGCCAACACTTGACCACAAATTCATGGTTAACATGACCCTGGCACATTTTGCTAGAAACACGACAGGTTCTAACCCAGACATATCGTCTGAGGATATCTTTTTGGCCAATGCTGATGAATGGCGAGCATTAACATGAGCAATTGGATGCTCAAGTTTCATTAGCTGCTCGTGGTTGTAATTAGCAACTCGTTCATTACTATAAAATAGTCTAGTAGAATCTTCAAAATCACATAAATTAGTGACATTCGATGGTTGACGTGTCAGAAGTAACTTCCAGTCATCAACTGTTCAGTCACCTTTGCGAAGTCGTAATAACAAATCTCTGAACTGTACTTGCTCAGATGTCATACCTTGCACACGTTGATTTACAGTGAGTTTAACAACTCTGTCAAACATATGATATGCTTGATGACCTTGTTCACCAACAGCATTTGATGGTCTAGCATGGTAAAGAGGTTTATCTGCTACTGGTGGCAATTGACCTGGATCACCAGTTAAAATCAATGATTTTCCTCCAAATACTTTGTCATTAGAACCAGTTGCTTGTTTGCAACGCTTGTCTATCCAACCAAAAGTAACTTGGCCAAGCATAGAGTATTCATCAATAATGATGTATCCAATGTTATTAACACTCTCTTGTAACCTACACAAGCTTTGTCCTGTTAGGTCTTTGTTACCTCTTGCTCCTATAGGTAACTTTAATAGAGAATGCACAGTTACACCTCTAATGTTATAAGCTGCTTTACCTGTGGTAGCAGCAACAGCACATTTACTTTGCAAAAGATTTCTAATAGCATTAATAAGGTAACTTTTACCAGTTCCTGCAACACCATTTATAATGAGACATAATGGCTCTTTTTCGGATGATACATCATCAAAATGAGACTTAACAATATCATAAGCAAGTTTTTGCATTTCACTAAAACTGTTGATGTCAACAACATCATATTGCTGATCAATAGTGTATTCCTCTTTGTTTGTTTTTATCCATGTTGGCATTTCTTGGATTTGTTGTTCTGAATAATTGGCTCTGTCACGATGCCAGTCATATGTGGACTCTGGTGTTTGTTGAGAGTTTTCAAAAGGAGTATTAAGGTCTGATAATATCATCCACTCTTCTCGAGTTGTCTCCTGTTCTTCAGAAGGTTCATCTTCTGATTCTTGACTTTGAATGACAGTTTGTAATTTGTCAAACCAGTCTGGGACATTAGACTGCCCATAAGCCGTTTGTAAAAATTCATGCCAACAATTGATCAGAACCTCGTCAGTTGGTTCTTGGTCACCCCATGCATTGTTTTGGGTTGTTCTCCACGGTTTATACCTCAAAAGTTGATATTTACAATATAGGCCAAAATTTGGACCTTTGGGATTAGGAGAATATGTTGGAAATATTCGTGGTATAACATTCTCTGGCAATTTTGTCAGTTCATTGTTAACAACTTTTTATGTTGTAGCAAATTGAACAAAGTTCATATTTATTATATTTTGTGAACTGTCATACTGTTCACGATTAGCATACACATCAAGAAGTGAATAATCGGTGCATGATTCACCCTCGTCAATACTTGCAGTATCACGCACTCTCCGTGAACCATTTAGACTAACTGGCATCACTTTAAAGGATGAGCTATGGAGTTTTAAAGACAACAAATGATGCATTGTCTCTTGAGCTGCATAATCTCTTTCACCAAGAGATTTCATAACTACCTTCTTAATAACTCTACGAGGGTCAGTATTACTGTCAACATTTTGCACAATAGAATTGAATGCCTGTTTCAATATAGGTGATCGTGGCTCACCTTTAGCTGCATATTTTGTGAGATATTCAACACAAGCATAGTGATCAATAACAACTTGAATATCACAGTTAGCTCTCCATCCCTGGAGCTGAAGTTGTTGATGGTTATTTAACCTTGAGTCGTTTCGTTTCGTCACAATTTTAGCTCGATAATGCTCATTATCACCTGAAGTGTGAATTTTTTCAAATTCTAATTTTGTCTTAGGACAAATATCAAAAGGGAAGTGAAATCTACATTTCAACTCTGTTTCATTTGACTTCTTTCTAAGACAATAACTTGTACTACAACGAGTGTGTCGTTGAACCATGTTTAATAGATCCACATAATCTGTTTGTTTTTCATGCTCAGGAATGTCAGAACTTCTTTGACATGGATGAACCTCAGGTCTTATCCACATGTCCTCATCTGGTGGATTAGGATTGACGGTTGATAGTAACCAATCAACATACTGACATACTGTGTCAGCTGCTTTCTGACCAGCTTCAATATCCTGGTCTAGTTCAGTTGTGTCAGAGCAATCATTTTCATCTTTAAATTTTTGAGCTAAGAAACCTTTTAAAGCAGTCTGAGTAAGTTGACATAAACCTGGGTCGTTATTTAGTTTAGCAGTACCATGACAATGGATACTACCTCTACCTTGATATTCATATCGAAACCAGTGCCATTTTGCACCAAGTGTATCATAAAGCTAGTGTTTTACAAAACTTTCTAATCTTTGTGTGAAAAACCAATCTACAACATGGGGATTGTTGATCACATTCTGTCGTCTTACATCACTGGCAGAGTTCCCAAACTCATTGTCAGTATCCGCTTTAAATAAAGCATGTAACTCAGGCCAATGCATATCTGCAGAGGAAAAAGTGAAAAATAATGTTGGTGCTCCAACACTACTTATGATAGCTTTGAGCTCCTCTCTTACTCTGTTCCAGTAAGCATTAGTACCTGCAATATTGCCAACATATCTCGACACTTTAGACATAAATACACTAGCATTGTTACTGGCAGCCAGTTCACGCAGTTCATCAATTGTGAGATGAGCTTCACCTGGGTTCTGTTTGAGGAATATTCCACTTTGTTGTAAAATTCGTTTTCTTTGAATCATATTAAAAGCCCAATACGAAAATCTGGGGTGGTTAGCAAAACGGTATACCCATTTACCATCAATAATTTCAGCAAATTTTAGAAGATGCTTTATTCGTTCCTGAAGAGGAACATCTCTCAGAAGTCCTTGATTAGTAGGATCACCTTTCCCATCTGGAAATAAAGTTGGGAAAGCCATTGTGGCCAGATGTGATACCTGATACTCATTTAATGGCTCATTTTCAGCTGAGGGCCATGGCATTGGCTCATTTTCAGACAGCTGATTTCTAACAGCTTCAATTTCCTGTTGTTGTTGTTCGCCAACAGGTAAAAAACTACTCATTTCAGTAGAGTCATTATAAACAATATCCTCTGATGGATTATCAGTAGGAGGACCTACATCAGGAGAACAATTGTCATCTGAGACTATATCATCATCAGTCTCAACAGTCATAAGACCTGGTGGTACACCATTTTCAGGTAAGGAATTTAATGCATCTTCATTAATTAATAACTCGGAATAATGTGGATTATTATTGATAAGCCAAACTAAAGCATTGTGCACTTTTTGCTTTCGCACTGTCACATCTCTGAATGTGTTTTCTCTACCTTTGGCCTTGACAATAATAACAGCTAAATCTTTAGGATATCTTGGTAAAGACATTGCAAGTTCTTTGACATTTTGTGGCAGGTTAATACAATGCCCTGAATAACCTCGTTGACCACCAGGTTTAATATAAACTCTCATGATGGGCAAAGCACGAGCAATCAACATTTCCTCAATCTGAGTTAAATTTTGCAGTTCATGTGGAACACATGAAGGTGTCATTGAATTTTCACAAGAAAATTTTTGTGGAGATTTTTTATCTCTAAAGCATCGTGAACACACATAAGGTGTCTTTGGTTTGGATTTTAAGGGCCATGCTTCCTGACATACTGTACACTGACTGACAATGTATTGCACAGACTTATTAAACTTATTAATGTTAGCCTTAGCCCAACATTGCTCTTCAATACCGCCATTATTGGTGTTGTCAAACATATTTAAATAATCCTGTTGCGACACTTTTTTTGCCCGCTTTTGTTTTTTACTAAGTCTATCTTTCTCGAGCCTCATTTGTCTGTTGGTGTCAGTTTCCTCTGACCGCCTTCTTTTTTTAGACTCACTATACTTTTGAAGTCTAATTAGTCTGTTCGTGTCAGTTTCCTCTGACTGTTTTCTTTTTTTAGACTCACTATCCTTTTGAAGCCTAATTTGTCTGTTGGTGTCAGTTTCCTCTGACAGCTTTCTTTTTTTGGACTCACTATCCTTTTGAAGTCTAATTTGTCGTTCGCTGTCAGTTTCCTCTCAGCGTTTCTGTTTAATAGACTCACTTAATTTTTGAAGTCTTATTTGCCGTTCAATGTCAGTTTCCTCTGACTGCTTTCTTTTTTTATACTCGCTAGCTTTCTTAAGTCTAGCTTGTCGATCTTTTACACAGTTACTTTTACATATATTTAATCTCACAGGTACAATTTCAAATAAATTGGCATGTAACGACATTGAAAGAGAATACAAATATTGTTCCAACTCTAGAATATTAGCAAATTTCATAACCACAGCAGTGCCATTAGGATCAGGCATGCCACTAGAATCTCTGGCATGGGAGTCAAATAAATAGAAAAAATCTATTTGCTTTATCAATGCCATCATATAGCCTTCTAATATCAAAATAGTACAACTATAATTTGAAAACACATTCAAAAGTGCAGTGTGAATGTCATAGTAGTGCGACTCAATTTCTCGGTTGGTTATAACAAGACCTTGAAGCTCTTTTCCATAATTTATAAGCCAAATTTGGTTAAATTCATTTTTTGCCTCATTAGGCACCACAGAATTGTGCTCTACCCCAATGGATAGATCAGTGTTACTTTTTGCCACAATGGGCAGACCAATAATTATACCTTTTGGCTCAATGGGCTCTACCACAATGGGCAGATCAATATCTTTTGCCTCAATGGGCTCTACCACAATGGGCAGATGAATAGTTTTTGCCTCAATGGGCTCTACCACAATGGGCAGATGAATAGTTTTTGCCTCAATGGGCTCTACCACAATGGGCAGATGAATAGTTTTTGCCTCAATGGGCTCTACCACAATGGGCAGATTAATAGTTTTTGCCTCAATGGGCTCTACCACAATGGGCAGATCAATGTTATTTTGTGCCTCAACGGGCTCTACCACAATGGGCAGATCAATGTTATTTTGTGCCTCAACGGGCTCTACCACCATGGGTAGACTGTTATTATTTTGTCGTACCACCACGGGTGGACTGTTATTATTTTGTCGTACCACCACGGGTAGACTGTTATTATTTTGTCGTACCTCCACAGGTAGACTGTTATTATTTTGTCCTACCACCACGGGTAGACTGTTATTATTTTGTCGTACCACCACGGGTAGACTGTTGTTATTTTGTCGTACCTCCACAGGTAGACTGTTATTATTTTGTCCTACCTCCACAGGTAGACTGTTATTATTTTGTCGTACCTCCACAGGTAGACTGTTATTATTTTGTCCTACCACCACGGGTGGACTGTTATTGTTCTGTCGTAACACCATGGGTAGTTCAACGTTATTTTGTGTATCAAAGGGATCCACAGGTGTTGTAGTTGTTTTCGCATGCACTACAGATGGTAAATTACTTGTATGGATCACAGAATCGCGTATCTGGTAAGAAAACATGTTCGTACAACTTGAAACACTTACAACTTTCGGTAAGTTATCTACAGATAAAAATTCGACACCAGGTTCTAAGACAACAAAGCCATTATCCAGAGCTTGCAAGTACATATTGTCTCCTTGTAGTAAGACATTATTCAATGTTGTTTTTGACCAATCGATCAGTGGGATATTTTGGGCAGTTAAAACTGCAGATAAACTCATAAAAGCACATTGTTTGCCTCTAGATTGAACACTAAAAAGGTCATCGCCTTGATGTATTTCAGAAGAAAGAAATAGAGCCATACTTACCTAAATTTTTCCGAATATATTCGATCTCTTGCATAAGTATTTAAAAGCTTGAAAAATCTTGAGCACATGTAGAGAGCACATGGAGATGCGTGCGCAATACAAAATAAAGTTTGACCGCCCCCTCGTTTAAAAAACTTCCTGAAGCTTTTAATTATTCCTCCCGGAAATCATCTTTACAGACAGAAGGACAGACACAAATCGAGATCTCGACAATACATAGATCGCGCGAAAGACTGGGTCGAGTGGACTCTGGAGAAACCACCGCGTGTCAAGAATAGTGTGCTGCCTCGCTGCGCTCGGCAGCAATAAATACATTTTAGGCATAAAATCACGGAGAAAGCAACATAGGAGTATATTTTGATGACATAGGCATTATATAAAACCAAAAAAATTTTTTTAATTTTTTCAAAAATTTGAGAAAAATTTGAGGGTCATTCCACCTTTAACAACTTGTAAATAAGGAGTGTTTGTAGACATTTTTACTCATATGCATGTATACCAGAGTAATTCAGTTTTTGACTGCAAAATTGGTATTTTTTAATAAATTGAATTGAAATTAGTTGTGGTAGTAATCATGTGTTTATAAAATACTCCGCCGTCCGTCGTCCACGGACGTCCGTCCGTCCGCCGTCCGTCCGCCTTTCTTCACATCTTCCACACTGAGCTATAATGATCTTCCGAAAATGACATCACGTCAGTTTGGAAGATGGAAACAAGTGGCCGGACCGTTTTGATTCAATATGGCGACCGAAAAGGAATTTTAATTTCTGTGAAAATGAGGAAATACTTATTTAACTAGATAGAAATCCTTGCAAAGAAGTAACCAATCTGCCAATGGCAAAACCAGGAATGAGGGATGCAGAGTGTTCAATTTTTATTGCAAATTTAGACTCTCGTGTTTCAGAAGAAGTATTGTGGGAGTTGTTTCTTCAGGTAGATTTTGACGACATTTTTGTAGATCAGTCATCAATGTGCCAATGTGGTTTTGAATCTTTTCTATAACACTGTTTTAAAAAGCATATAATAAACATTCACACTGGAATTGAATAAGGGTAAACACGAATGTGCATTGCGTGAATGATGCCATGAGCCCATGACTATTAAAGTTTGCTGCGACTATGTCTACAGACCTGCTATAAACTCTCCCTACATAGCCGGGAGTCTCCTGGTATTTAATTTAATTTAATTTAATTGCTTTTCCATCATTGTGTGATATAGACATAAACACATACGCACCCACACAACGCAAACACAAACACAAATACGAACACACTAAACTGATGGCTGGGTAACCACAACAGCCTGAAAAGCCAATTACTGTGGGCCCAAAAGATTAAAACACAAACATATATACAATTAAAACGCCTAAAAACAGCAGTTCACTGGTTCGGTTAACGTTCTTGCACTGTTGCATTTCGGGCAGATAGTTTTAAATGTTCTTGGATCATCACATATAGACTTGTGATCTCCTGTTCTCCCGGTAGTGAAAAATTTCTCCCGGTATTGGCAACTGGCAATTATCCTGATTTCTTGTCGATTTTATTGAATTATCTACGTACGGATGCGTTTCTGCGTACGGCGAGAAATATCTACGCACAGCTGCGTTTCGTTTCATCCATTTATTGTAATGACTTCATTTTAGATTCTATAATGTTTGGAAAGTCAAAATTGAAGTATTTATTTGTTAATTAATTAAAACACATCTTCATGTCGTATTTTCAGTCCAAGATAGTGCCCAATTAAACATTAATAGTCAAGGGGCTTCTTGTGCTGCGAGTGTACCTGGCATACTTAATCGATGAAATACATAATCGATGAGTATCGATATCAATCAATACCAATCGATATTTATCAATCATTGATATTGGAAATCGATGAATAATCGATGGCTTCTTTTGGTGTGACTTTCATCGATTGATCATCGATTTATTATTAATTTTCATTGATGAAAAAATCCCCTGTTAATATACATGCAATCAAACAGGTAACGTCGTATTTTAATTAATACGTACTTTAATGTCGTAAGAAACTCAAATGTGAACGGAATTCAGTAACAATGGATTAAATTAAGTTTTCATCTAGCTATAATACAGATCAAATACATGTGTACATTCGAAAAATGAGAACAGATTTACTATCTAGCTTGAACATCCCGGCACGCGGCGATTATTTAGGATATAAATTGATAAAAATCAAAAGCATTTTGTCGATAAAAATCGATAAATATCGATGAAAATTGATGAATATCGATAATAATCGACAAAATTGGCTATAACTTTTTGTGACTATCGATTGGTCATCGATTGATCAATGTCAATCAATATCAATTAAGTAATTAACATCGATTACCATCGATTGATCGATTGGATTTCCGATGATCGGTTTATATCAATTAAGTACGCCGGGGAGTGTAGCTAGGAGTTTCTTGGCTAAGGGACTGTTTGTTAATTATGGCCAAGGGGGGGGGGGGGTGCTGGTGTTTATTTTTTTAAGGAGTTTATCAAGAAATGTACCCCCTAAAATTTGATGTTTTAAAAATTGTACCCCCCAAAAAAAATCATGTGAGAAAAATGCCCCCCCCCGACGATTTTTTCCTTAGTCCCAGGCCATGCACACAGTTTTACGTTTTTAAAACATGTTTTATATTTAATAATTCATTATTCAAAAACAAAGACGGAAATATGGAATTAGCAAGTTAGAATTAGTTGTCAGTAATAGTTTTAATTTATTTTATTTTTGCCCAATACTTTCTTTGTATAGTATCAAAGTCATGCAATGCATGAAATTGCTAGAACTAAAACTGTACCCCCCTTTTTTTCATCGACTCAAAAAAATGTACCCCCCACTTTTTTCTGATTTTGAGATTTGTACCCCCTACTCTGAAAACCATCCCCCCCTGGCCATAATTAACGATCAGTCCCTAAGAGCAATGCATTTTTTTCGAAATGCAGTGCCAAAAAGTGAAATACAGTGCAATAAAATGAAATACAGTGCAAAAACAATACAAAAAACCCAAACATTTGCGAGTGACAAAATATGGCTGGCATTTTTAGTAGATTTTCTAATAAAATTGTTTATATTAAATTAAAATTATCTATTTCGCATGTGAACTACGCACGCACATGAGTCATGACATGACATGATTAATAAGTAATAGTATGATTTCTCGTGGAATTTGGAAAAACATACACTCGTGAGTTTTTCAAAGACTTCAAATTGCATTCGTCCTTCAGACTCAATTTGTTTTCCCAGGACGAGCAGTATTGTACATTGTTGCGAGATCGAACTTCTTGAAAATGTACTTGTTCACAATACTGTAGTCGTATGAATTATGAAATGAACTGTAAGTCACCCTGTTTAAATATTTGCATTCATACGTAAGTTTCTAACCTATAAAATGCTTTTAATTTTCCAGGCTGGACCTATCAAAAATATTCATATCCCTCTTGATAAAGAAACTGGAAAACAAAAATCTTTTGCCTTCATTGAATTTTCGTCCAGTGCCTCAGCCCATTATGCATGGGAACTCTTGGATGGTATTATGTTGTATAACCGTTCATTAACAGTTAGACCTCAAAATTCTGAAAATGCTGAAACTCCCAAGCGTATTCCCAGCAACGTGATGTCAGCAGGTGATTTCTACAAAGATTTTTATAACAAATATGAAGATTTAAAACGTAGACCACAAAGTGAACCAAGAAGAAATCAATGGAATGAAGAAAGTAGACATCAAGGAAACAGTTCATTTAGTCATCCAACACTTAACAGAAGTTTATCTTCACCTGCAAACAGTGGCAATAATGCATCTCCACAATTGAAACAATTATTGGACATGATTAATTGGAACAATAGCACACCAAATAGAAGTTCACCTCCCCCCCTGAGATTACCATATAGAAGTTCATCACCATATGCGGGATCACCACCATACGCGGGGTCACCACCATACGCGGGGTCACCACCATACGGGGGGTCACCACCATACGGGGGGTCACCACCATACGGGGGGTCAGCTCCATATTCACGTTCACTTTCTTCAAACCCTTCATACAGGGGTTCAGCACATGGGTACAAATCACCTAGCCAAAACCATCATAGAGACTCTTATCGGCGCTGAAACCAACGGAATGATCCAGCAACGTGTGAAGCTAACGGAATGATCCAGCAACACCAGAATTATTGATACACAAGATCGGCACTGATCAACAACATAATTTGAATTTCAATCTACCTGTTTCACAAGCTTCTTTTGTTTCCAGTGTACTCCCCGAATTGGCAAGCACGTCGGAGCAGATGAAATATTGCGAAATATGGTAACACTGCATGGGCTATTTATTTAATGTTGAATGAACCATGCATGCGATGTTAACTTTTTTAATCTAACTTATTTTTTTGACAAGTGTGTAAATCCTCCATACTTTATAGCAAAAATAAAATAATTGTTTTACCAGTTCTAAAGTTTTTAATTTTTTTTTATGGAGTATAAATTAATATCAGCGTCAGAACTGTATATATAGTGTCCACCTAGGGCCAGTTGTAGAAAAGCAGGATAAGCGGTAGCCACCGGATTTTTCAACCGTTGTACAAAGGTTTAAAAAGCTATAAAATTATGGATATAGATCTCACAATTAATAAAAAGAAACTTCAATTTATAAATGCTAAAGTTTATTCAGGGTTACACCAATCAAAGGGTTATTTTAGGAAAACTGAACAAATTGTTATCCAACCTTTGTACAACCGGCCCCTCGTGGCCCTGGTTTAATTGTTATCTCCGGATAACATTGTTAAAACCCTGGGACTGGTCAAACGAGGATGAGAGTCGCAAGTCTCGTTCGCGTCAACTCTCACTGCTCTCAACCCCGAGCTGGTTCAAATTTTGCTGTGAGTTGACGAGAATTTTTTCTATGCTTGGTAGTATGTAGTCAACTTTTACAGGCCCTTGATTTATAGCAGCTTAGAACTTAGTGTAGCTGACCAAGCTAACCTGTAAAATATAGTTATTATTATTATCTTTCACAGCTTTGTTCTTATGCTGGCGATGTTTTTCCTTGGCAGCTGGCTAGTGGCTACAACCAGTAGCCTCATGCAAGTTCCAAAGATTTTAGCTCTCCAAGCTTCTCCGCAGCTTTGGCCAATTACTGTGATCCCAAAATGACAAAATGTACGATTCAACAAGTACTGTTGCACAAACACACTTACACTTACACACATACCGTACATTACATACATACATGCATATGTATATTCATACACACATATAAATATTTAAAAACAACATGCAATAGGTTTGGTCAGGTCTCGGGCCTAGTTACATTTTAAGCAAATCGTTTTCCATGATCGAGGATCATCGACGTTATAACTTTACGGTGTAGTAATATTCGATTAAAAGTTTTTCAAAGATTGTTAGAGAGTTATATTTATTGGTTATTGATCTCGTTCCAGATTCTTCTTGTTCTTATTCTTATTCTTATTGTATAAGTCAGTTGGTAGGTCTAAGACTAAGTTTTGCATTACTTAACTTGGAAGTTTAGGGAATTTGGATCCACTGATCTTGTAATTCGTGAGGTTTTATGTTTTGGAAGAACTGCATCTGAGAGGCACATGATACCACAATTTGCCTTGTAGAAAAATAGCATGTCTAGATATTCGTGCCAATAACTTAGAGGTTTTCAAGTCAATCCGCCTTTGGGTGTAGCTTCTTTCACAAAGGAAGGGTAGATTTAGGACGTATTTGGAAGCACGAGGTCGACTGTGTGCGGAGACCAAACTTGTGTAGCACTGCCCATGCATTTGCGCCGAACAAGTGTAATAGAGACCTTACGATTTAGGACGGCAACGCAACGGCTACCAATACAATAAATCATGATTGCAAATAATTACAATATATGAATAATTTAGACAGATTTTCACGTCTTGATACAACGGCTGCATTTCAAGCCGCAACAAGTGCAACTTCAAACTGGATTCAGCAGAACTCTTCCCAAACATAAAACCCATGTCTTCAACTTCTAAGACTGTATTAAATTCATACGATTGATAATATACCACGAATTATCTTTACTGCCATTTATTTGAAGGAGTTTGTTTTGGCCGTCGTCGTCGCGTTGCCGTCCTAAAATCGTAAGGTCTCTAATATACAGCGTCCGACGAGCCTTACAGTTCTTAATTGTTCTTGTTGATCTTTTGATGAAACCCAACATTTTATTTGTGCATGCCAGATCAAATTGTTTGATATCCATACGCCTAGATCACGCTCATTTTCAGAGTTCTCTAACATGCATGCTATATGTTGTGAAGTGGTGACCCGCAGAGCTTTACATTTAGAAGCATTTTTGTGAAGACCCACATCAGAAGAGCTTGATTCAAAATTCCTCATTTTTGAAGAAGTTCTGCTCTTATACATGTATCCAGTTTATTGCTACAGGCATCTACTACTATTGGAATCACTTCTACCGCTTTCTTCATTGGCATTGCCCATATTTTCCGAATTTCCCTTTTCAACTCCGGCATCAAACTTTTCCATCTTCCGCTGTTTCTTTCAGACCAATTCTGCCGTCCCCTGCATGGAACTGCGATGTCTATGACCATACACTCCTTTTCCTTCATTTAAAATCACACAATATCAGGTCTTTGACATTCAATCGTATGGTCACACTGAATGTTAAAATCATATAAAATCTTTACATCATCTGATTCCATTACTCCATTCAGTTGGTGTTCATACCATTTTCCAGCTTTCTCTAGTTGGTACAAACCACATTACTTCCAGTGTACACTGAATCATGTCTTCTTTTGTACTCCGTTTTTTGTGCTAGCTTCTTGCATTCACTTATTAAGTGTGTTATATGCTCTCCCTTTTTCCCGGGCAAGCTAAAACGTTTGCCTGACCACGGTGGGAATCGAACCCGCAACCTTTGGGATACTAGTGTCACTAGTCCAATGCTCTACCAACCAGGGCCGTAATAATGAGTAATTTCAGGTAGATTTTCAGGTAAATTCAGGTTGATTTCCAGTAGATTTTTAGCGGTAAATTCAGGTAATTCTCAGGGCATAAGAAAGTGAATTGGGAGAAATAACTATATTTGTTGAAAAAGTTTTCGTATTTTCATAAAAATGAAATTTCCGGAAAAATTTTTTGGAAAGAAAACGTTTTCGAAAATTTTTTAGCCAAGAATTTTGGGAAAAGAATATTAATTAGTGCAAAATCAGGTAAAAACGGTAAGTTGGATAAACTCAGGTAAATCTAACCTTACCCCCCCCACTAAGACAAAGTCCTCGCAATGGCCCTGCTACCAACTGAGCTACGCCTACTAGTGTCCCAAAGGTCGCAGGTTCGATTCCCACCGTGGTCGACAGGCAAGCTTGCCCGGTGTGGTGCATACTCTGAGTAACATCACAAGCATCAAAGATTTGCCGTAACCCTCATGCCCTCAAAACGTAAAAAAATACGAGAGTTATAAACTCTACGAAAATCATACTGACTCTCCGACTCCCATTTCATGATTGACTCAAGAGACTAGGTTAGTGTACATCAAGTATATCATTCAATTATTAGCGACGACGCTGGATTATTGACAGCGGTCTCGCGCACATGTTAAGAAAATTATTAAATTGCAAAGTTTCTTTTATTTATATAAATTTCTTTTAGAAAAAACGACACAAATGTTATAAATTATATCAAGCTGTAGTCACTAAACAGTAGTCAATTTATTTATGGATATGTTTACGGGGATTTTGTTCTTATTTTTGTGCGTTGTGGATAGTGTCTTAGCCGATGATGTTGTTGGTTGTGGAGGCTTTGTCAAGTCGGATATAGATATCAATTATTCTTTTATAGAGGTAAAATCTCCTTAAATATAGATTTTATTAATTTCCTAGGACCGTCAGACCATGGGGATCAGCGAAATAGTATATTTGTAATCGCAAGGCGCGTCCTACTATTAATACCCGGCTCAGCCTGACTGGAAAGTTTGAAAACTGCATGCATCACAAATATGCATGCACACTCGAGGTTTTGAAAATTTAATAGCAAACATATAGAAAACATCAAAACTGTGCACCACAGATCTTGTTTGTGCGATACAAACTTTCCACTCTGGCTTGGCTGTCGAAGACTGCCTGGGGCTGAAATTTAATTGCCACAGACCATTAATTGCATGTGAACTCTATGCCAATATTTAGTTTAAATGTTTGGTGTGGTTTTTACAAGCTTATGCTAAAGATCTTTGGCATATTGCATTTAAAATACCCCTGACGTTCTGACTTTGGGTAGCAAGAAATTGGGAAGTTGATCATTTCGCTGTTAATTTTTCAAACCTTTGTATTTTCAGGGTTCGAATTAACAATAGTGAGCTTAAGCAAGCGACGTTTTTGTCGTTTTTTACGTTGGAAATAATTTTTTTTGAATTTTTTTTTCATGGTTTTTTCAATAATTAGTGTGACAACAGACGCCATTTTGTGGCAGCAGCCCGCAACCACCCAGAGAAAATAGGGTCGCACGGTCAATCGCGTTGAAAAAATAACAGGGTCGGCAGAAAAAAATAGGGTCGGTCAGGAACCGGAACCACAGGTATTTTTTTTACGCCGTATAACTAATTTTGGCGGCATTTTGCCTCATGGCACTCGTGCAAGGAAGCAAAAAACTTTAAAAGTCTTATGTTTTGTCATATGTGTTGAAGATTACCACAAACTGACACAAACACAGTTTTTAATCCAGTCCCCCTCGGCAATCTAACGTCCGTCTTGATGAAAATGTCGCTTACTTAAGCTCGCTAGTGTGCAATTTGCACATCGTTCTGGACCAAATAGTGAAAATTGCACATCACTTTTCCAAATGATTTGACTTCCAATGTTTACTTGTAAATTTGAAATGTTTGTTGTAAAGTTCCGAAGTTTGTTTCGAAGTTCGTTCCGATGATTTACGATAATCAAGTTTAGTAAGTTGTAATTGGCTAGTTAAGTGAACCAGCCAATCAAATCGCTTGCTATTGAATCATCGTAAATCATCGTAACGAACTTCGAAACAAACTTTGGAACTTTACAATGAACATTCCGAATTTACAAGTAAACATTGGAAGTCAGTTTTGAAAAGCAAATTGAAATCGAGAGTAAAAATGAACATTCATCCATATTTATAGATTTAAACAATGCCATCTAGTTGTCTTATAATTTATAAACAAGTGCTTTTGCAAGCACACTAGCAACATGTTGCATGTTTCCAGATTGGAAGGTGTCAAATTTTAGCCACCATGACAGACAAACACATGACTGATTGTCAGGGCCGTCGCGAGCGGGGGGGGTGTGGGGGTGCTTCACCCCCCCAATAATTTTCGAAAGTCGGCCCCAGTCGGCAAATTGCTTCGTTACTGTTCGGCAAATTGCAAAATCGGCATTCAGCAAATTGTAAAAGTTAAGAACGAAGGCGATAAATAAAGCGATAAATTTTGGATTTAAAATAATGGTTTGTGTGGCCTTATGTCAAAACCATTTAAATGTATTTCTATTTTCTAGTAATACTATTAGTCTTTTATTTGTTGAAAATCGACGGGAGGCTGAAATGTGAACCCCACGTTTCCGGGCATGTTCTTCGCTCGACTGCTCTTATAGCGATGGCTCTTTATCAGTTATGCGCGGTTCAAACCCCCCCCCAAAAAGACTAAAATTTAGTGTCTTGAATGTAATTCGATTTTTGACGACTATAGAAACTTTATTATTTATTTCACGAGGGAAAACGTATTAACCATAAAAGTTATCTAACATACGGCCCGACGATTACCGTAATTAGAGGCACGAGCAAACTTGCCATAAGGGAAACCGAGTGCGAGTAGCACATAAAGACGTACCAGCTAATCTGTTTGAGACTGCAAAACGCAGTCAAAGCCAAAGAGAATATTTTAAGTCGTCAGAGGCGCAAGATTTTCAAGAAGACTCCACAGGCACATGGAAGAAGACCAAGAGAAAGACGAGCCATGCCATAAGAACGGACTTGTCTTCTTTAGTTCTTTAGCGAAATTAATGTTAACTCTGATCAGCCTACAGTTTTGAAAGACATACCGCATACAGCGATCGGTATCGTCGATCGGTTGCATATGATCATATCCGTTTTACTCGCTTTCTGACGCATAAAATTTAAACTCTTGGAAAATCGGGTCGTACAAAAGCCAAATTAACACTATCCGGCACTAAGAGTTTTAAGACTGCTCAAAATACAAAAAATATAAATTGTCTATTCGGCGCCTGGGGATAAAAAAGGTCAAATGCATCAAAGTGCCATGAAAATATTGAAACAAAATATCAATGCAATCACATGCAGATACTTGGATACCCTGGTTCCAGAGGTTTATTCTTATTATTTTCATTGCGAAGAGGAGAGGAAAAATAAACCTCTGGTTGAAAGCGGCAATTGATTCAATGAGCCGCGCCAATCGATCGATAGTTTGAATTAGGTTCAGATCCTGACTCTGTCTCCTGATTGGATGATTGTATTAAAGACTTAAAGTCCTCTGATTGGTTCAAATAGAACATCTATAACCAATCAGAGAGCTTTAATACGATCATTCAATCAGGAGACAGAGTCAGGATCTGACCCTAATTCAAACTGATTGGCGCGGCTCAATGAATCAATTCGGCCGCTTTCAACCAGAGGTTTATTTTTCCTCCCCTTCGCAATGAAAATAATAAAAATAAACCTCTGGAACCAGGGTAATACTTGGATAACTTTTCTGACTTTGCGGAGATGCGCGTCTGCACCACAGTCTAAGACACTCGTTACTCAGACTATATGCACACGGTACCGTTTCCGTCGCTTTCCGAGCGTTTTTCGGTTTTTGGTTGTAATGCGTTAATTTCTGAAACTGAAAGTACCATTTTCACGTACGTTCTGTTCACACGAAAACGTATGAAAGCGACGTCAGGAAGCAAAAACGTTTGAAATAGTGAAAACGATGCCAAAGATTCGATCACCATGTCTGAAACGTTTGGTCGTTTATGCACTTTGTTATTGTGTAAACAGAAACGTAGAAGGCGAAAATGAAATTCCGTGTTTGAATTTGGAAACGAAGACTATAAAAAACTAGTGCTTTGTCAGAAAATGTTGCGAGAAAAACGATCAATGTGAACAAGGAGCCTAAACGCTAAATTTGAAAACGGCACTGCAAAAACGAAACGTGACCCGTGTGCACATAGATTCAGTCTCGATTTAGGACTTATGAAAACACGGTATAAATTATGTTAAATTTAAATTTTTTCAGCTTTATATGTTTAATATAAATAAATTAAAATACAACTCCTATCTGAAATACGAAAATAAAATAGTGCTCATCATTGAGCTGTGGTTGCAGTTATTGCAATTGTGTGTTTCGATTTCGTGACCTTATATTTGTTTGTTCTTAGACTGATGTCATATTTTATATATAAAGTGACCCGATTCCTTTTTAGCAACAACCCACGAACAGGCATCCATTTCAAAACAAGAGCCATATTGGTGTCCCTCAGTTACTAGCACACCAATATAATTCTCATTACCTATATCTAATCTTTACAAACGTTTGAAAAACTCGGCAAATTCAACTAGCGTCACTCGGCAATTTGACCTTCGACACCCCCCCCCAATCCATATCCCTTCGCAACGGCCCTGCTGATTGTTATGTGTTATGTGTTAGGTTTGTGTTTAACTGTCTGTGGCAGTGTAGGTAGATTGTAAACAATGTTTAAGAAGTATTCAAATAATTAAATTATTGCAGTTTGGTTGACTAGATGTTTGACTGAGTGTCTGAGTAGCTAAGACAATCATGAACCATAGTTCGATATATTCCTTATTTAGAAACAAAGTTGGGAATATTCACAACACACTTGCAAACCAAGCTTTGAAAAGTGACCTGAAATGGACAATAAACATTATAAATTACTAATTATCAAACACAATCTGGAAGCAAAATTAACAGATGAGTGTTCAAATTAGTTGAGAAAAAATGATGTACATGAACTTTTTATAAAATTTGAACATAAACTCGTAATTTGTAGTGACTGTGTTTTACTAATATGGCTAATAAATTTGATGAATTATTTATTAAAGCTTTTAAGAAATATGTTTAATTCTTTGCCTACATTAATAAAACACTGCAAATTACAAGTTTATGTTCAGCACTTTGATACTTTAGTTCAATTAGTACTTCTGAATTGGTACTTTAGTGAACAACTTGTGAAGTTAGCTTTACAAGTTCCACGCCCAATGTTCCAAATTTAAAAACGTTGTTTACTTGAGTTGTAAATTAGACTCAGTTTTCACTTTCTACTTTTTGCACAAATGTCTGAGACATTCCAGTGAAACAGAAAAAAGCTGGCTATACTATAGTAAGAAAAAAGCTGGATACAGTCAGAAAAAGGCTGGATATCAAGCATCGCTAAATGAGCTTCGATATTTTTCACAATACTCAAAATTTGCTTTGCAATTTGCAATTAGATCTAAAGTATTTATATTTACCATTTTCGTTAGTTTTGTCACAATTGTCTGGTTTTACAATTATATTGTGATTTCATTCTTTTTTGTCACATCCATCCTTCAGTTATCTTTTCCTCCCAACTTCCAGTCTGTTGCCCCTGATTTGTACACTGATGACAATATGACTCATGAAAAAGCTGTTTAATTTACAGTTCGAATGTTGTTTTGATTCAAATTATTTTTTTGTTCAGATGAAGCTTTATACAAAGCAAGGCATCTTGAAATATAAAACAGATTGTGCTCCAAATAATGGCTATTTTCTTATTCCTTTGTATGACAAGGTAGGGACATTTCGACATTATAGTGATGAATAATGTATGTGAGGAAACCATGTTTATTATTAATAAAAGTTTAGTTAGTATATTATTTAACACATTAAATTGAATTGCACCCCAATGCACCCTACATTTTTTATTCATCAAGGGGCAAGCGCTGGCGCTCAATGGGTTAAACATCCTTCGTCCTCAGCCAAGACCTGGGCCTCCTATTTTTAGTTTCAGCACTTTTTCACTTGAGAAGACTGGACCTTCAATCATCCACAAAATATATTGAGAATACTTTGGAATCCACTCCCCCCTTCTCCCTATTTCAATATTTGAAAGGCTATTATCTTTCCAAAACGTTTATAGCATATGACACTAGAACTGGAACCGTCTCATTGGTAGTCAAAATCTACTGTTAGATATTTGAATTAATTAAACAAATGAATGTTACAGCAATTTAAGAATATTGGAAATGGGAGGAAGGTGTTTCATCCCAAATATTTGTGGATGATACTTACCAAATGCTTAAAGCTAGCCCAAAATTGACCAAACCAGCCAAAGCCACCAAGTAAATTAAGGGCCTTTGTATTCATGTTAGTAGCTAGTTAGTGGCATGCAATAATAAAACCAACACTCAAAGGAATACATGCATCTTATTGGCAGATGACATCATCCCTTGGGTATTTAAGAAGCCCCATTGCAACTTTAGATCACCCCTGATGAAGACACTAGACTAGAGTTTCAAAACGTTTGGTCTTGATTACAATTCGACTGGGGCTTTGTATTCATTTACCAGAGTAGCGAGCGAAATCATGATTGATATACCTGGTTGCTGTGAACAAACTTTATGGCGCTAGCAAGTATTTGCAAGGTTGACTGGTCATTTAGGTCGACTCCACGTTTAGGTAGTGATGAATAATATATGTGAAGAAACTTTGTTTATTCAAGTTTATGAAAGATCCTTCATCTGCAAGTTAGTAGCATGCAATTAGGAAACCAACACTCATCTAAGATAGAATGAAAATGTTATAATGGTGCTATTGAGTATTTGCGAATGTCAACCCAATTCAGCTCCACTGAAATAGCATATTTCCTCCATTCAGGCAGAACTTTTGAGGAAAACTGTTTTAATCAAAAAGGTTTTTAATTGATGGCAAGAAAAATGGAAACTGACAAGTAGTTATTTTCAGTCCAGAAGAAAGATTGAGTTTCAAAACTTGCTTGCATGATGATAGGGTTTTTACTACCACACATAGTAATAATGAATGATATATCTCTTTCACAATGACGTCATATAACTACAACTACAGGATTAAAGCAAGTAAAAATATGAAAATTTCAGGTTTCAACCTCACACAGTCTTCCAAGTAAACCGCAAATATGTGACTGGTCATGTGACAAGAAGAAATTTTTATTTATGCTCAAAATTAATTTTAAAGATATTTACACAGAAATAATTTAGTAATGAACATGCGCAAAGTTTTATCAGGAATAAATAACAATTTGCATGTGCGACATTTAGTTTTTCACTTTTCAATTAGGAGGACAAAATTATCCATTTCCCAAAGTCCTGGGTCTAGTCGCGCAAATCCCATGTTGGAGGGACAAGAAATATGGCAGCACACATTTAAATTAGAAGTTTAATGTAAAAAGGAGATATTTCATTTTTGGTCATCTAAAAAGTTGATATTTGATAGTAGATACTTAAACTCTTTCACCTATTTGACGCCTGTCACCATATATTTTGTCCCTCCCAACGATCCCAGAATGCACTGTGATCTCTTTTGGGAAAAGGCTAATTTGATTTGTCCTCCTAAATTCGTCCCTGACTAGTACTCCAATGATCATTGCCGCGTACTTGAGATGGTAGACTCAATGTGTACTTAGTCATTAAAATGAAGTACATAAAATACAGGTTTCTGAATGGTATTAATTAAGTAACCTGAAACAACTGCATACATAAACACACTAGAATCAACTCATTCCTTAGTCCCATCAGTCCAATATTTTTTCAAGGCAAGACATGTCAGACATCCCCATATACCGGCTTAATTACGGTTTGAATACATTGGATTTGGTAAAGTCATATGGTACCAGCAAAATGTAAGCACGCAATTAGCGAGAGTTCCGCATACCTATGTGGTACGTGGCTGAAAACAAAGACGTCCCAGACCGTATTCTTCAGTACGTAAGTAGGCGAGTTATCACACCCTGTCTACATAATATAAACATGTTTCTTGTGGTTTCATTGCAAACTTTTGCTTTTAAAGCGATTTTGTGCATAAATATGAGTTACTTTTAGCCATGACCACTCACATAATTTTTGTTTCCAATTCTAATTCGAAACCACGGCGATGTTGAAAATCAAAATTTTCATATTTTTACTTGAAACAGTATATTGTACGTGTTTTCCAAGATTCTTACTCAATAAGTGCTTTCATTCTGGTAGTTCTTATTATATGGCGTCACTGTGAAAGGGTCTATAGAGGCAAGCGTGGCATGTAAACATCCTTATTTTAGCTATTTTGTATTGTATGATTAAAGCCCATTCTCCACTAGGCGAATTTATTCGCGCGAACAGATAAAAAGTAGGAAGCGATCCTACTTTTTCGCCGCGAATTTTTTCGCCGACCAATCACGTTGCCGGATTTCGGTTTTCGCTTCGCGTCGCGCGAACAAATTCGCCTAGTGGAGAACGGGCTTAAGACTTCTTCATTTGTCCTTTGCAGGGAGATTTTGTTCTAAAAGTTGAGCCTCCCCAAGGATGGAGTTTTGGTAAACATTTATTATTAATGCGTTGTATAAGTTCATTTTTTCCTCAACTATTACATAATCAGTATTGCATTAAAGTTTTGTTTGGTGCTTTTCATTGGCGACAAAGAACATTTTACTATTCTCTAGCTTTCAACTATGTTTTAGTCATTATCAGGAATAACTATTCAACGTAAAGCCATAGTCATCATCGACACAATATATAGTATAGAAATGTATAAAATTACACTCGAAATTTCCATATATACAAAAACCCTCAAAATTTAGTTCTATCAAGTGAGATGCGCAAAATTCTGATACTTACCAAATATACCTTGCACTGCACGGCATCACCTTAATATTATATGATTATAGTACATGAACTTGCAGCTAATACTTGACAACTGGACAACAGTGGTGGACAACTGGACGATAGTTTAATCCAAAGTTGCTATGCGGTGTCTGACTTTACGTTAATCTTTGAAGTGCCTGTTACGACTGTAGTCACCGAATTGACAGACAAATCATCGAAAGTTTACGTACCATATTTATTTGTTTGAAAACCGTCCCCGATTAAGCACCACCCCAGATTAAGCACCACCCCAGTAAGCACCGCCCCCAGATTTTGCCCTCAAATAGCCGCCACACTGACGTACTGCTTAATCGAAACACCGTCAGACAGAATTGCTTGAGAAGCCAAACCAAAAAATAACAGCAGTGGATCTCATTCTTTATTCGGCTTTCAAATTTTCTTCTCCTGTATTTCTGTATTTTTAAGTTCAAAGTTCTTTCTCATTATTTAACTTGCTTATACTCACTCCACTTTGGAAATGCACATTTCTCTTGGGAAGGCAGGGTACTTTGCCAGCACAACAAGCCTCTCTTCCACCAGTGTCTTGCTGGCTTGTGTTCATCACTGCACCTCAAAATTTGGCGCCCATTGTTATAAAATTTCCAAAATATTTGTCGATGGGGGTGGTGGAATTTTTAAACATCCTGTACGACAGTTTAATAAATTTCCTTTACTCATTTGGCAAATTTCTCATTTATGTTTAATTGACAATTTTGGTTTCATTTCATGCATTTTTGGCGCCCCCTGAAACCTTTTGCGTCCCCCTAAAATCCATCGCATGCAGGGGGGAGGGGGGAGGGGGTGGCAATGGCCTCCCTGCCAGCATGCCACTGTCTTCTACCATCCAGATTCCAGAGATTATGTTTTTACAAATAATTTAATTTTTAAGCAGCGCCACCCTCGAATAGTCAAACGGGCAAATACGGTAAGCAGGCAGCAAACACTCTTCTTAAGAGCTAAACATTTCAAATATGGATCCCTCTCTATTCCGGACAGTGTCTATCTATTACTATACTGTGTAAAAAGTCTGTTTCTTTAGATCCTGTGAGTGTTGATCTACATATTGACGGTACAACTGACAAATGTACCAAAGGCGAAGACATCAATTTTATATTTACTGGATTTACAATGTTTGGAAAGGTCGAGTGAATATGCCGATAAGACTTTTTACTAAGTTTGAAACAGATTATCTTCACTTCGTTGCCCCCAATAGTGCACACAGTAGTTTTCACTGTTCTTATACATTAGTTATATCTCATGGTGCTCACCTCCACTTGCTGATTTGGGAGTAAGACATTAGTGATGGATCGATATGGACATTTACCGATATTTCGATAACCGATATTGGCCGATACCGATATTCTATTTCACTTTGAAATGCACAAACAACAATTTTATAATCATAACCATGAGAAAACTTACACATACATTGACAACATGCATATACATTGATAACATATGTATGACTATATATATGGAATATATATTCTACTTGATTGATACATTCGGGTCACTGCATGAGTTGTGTAACAATAAATTGAAATCCAAAATATATTTTAAATTATATAATTTTATATCAGGGAAAAAATACCGATACCGATATATTTTGCAAAATTTTAGGGCCGAAGTGGATATCGGTGATGCACTATAAGACATTTAGAAGTTCATTTTTCCAGTGTATATTGATAAGTTAGTATCACCCACCGCGCTCATATTATCTGTTTGTATTTATTATAGGTAGTAAGTAAAGGACGTAAGATCGGGCCATCTGGAGTTAAAATTTCGTTGAAAAGTGAAGGTTTGTGGTTATCTTTTTGGTTATTTTATCAAAATTATAGTCTGCTTGTGGAAACTATATTGAAATCTCCGTTAAAACTGAAGGCTTAGAACTATATATGTTGTGCGTTATATTCATAGCTTGGTAGAAAATCAAAAGGTATTGAGTATTCTATGGCGGACACTAGGGGGCAATAATTTCTTTGAATAATTTCAATAACGCCTTTGAATGATAGCAGGACAACTGTATACCATGAAAGCATTGGTAGGCTATAAAGTCAGATATTACATGCATGAAATGTAAGGCAAAAAACTTACAAAAGAACTAAAGATTTGCAGCTACAAAAATGGTGGTCATATAATGGTTGCAACGTAATTCGCCCCTTTTTTTTTGTCCGCTACTTTTTTTTACTACACATAAAGTATTAATCTTTACTCATTTAGGTTCTGAAAGAGAAACTGAAACAACAGAGGAAGGATTGTAAGTTAAAAAATAATTTTTTTATAAATATGTAAATAAAGCACATGGGGTTGATTAATATGTGCATGTGACCTGAATGGAACGTTTTAATTGAGTCTGAATTCAACCTCTAAAAGGCTTTACCTCCATTATTTGTAAACTTGATATTAAATACAGAATAAATTTCTGTTCCTTTTTGTAGTTTTACTTTCTCCAGAGTTCTTCCTGGCAAATATTCGCTTGCAGCAACTCATCCAACATGGACATTTCAGAGTGTATGTAAACAATATCCTACATTATCATCACTTAATGAATGACCCAACTTTAAAAGTTCTATAATCAGATCTAGATCTATTGTTTATATAATAATAATAATAATAATAATAATAATAATAATAATAATAATAATAATAATAATAATAATAATAATAATAATAATAATAATAATAATTATAATATATAGTTTTTGATTGGTTGAGAACCATGATCTATTAGAGGACTGACGCACGGATGACGCCATTTCAGTGACGTAATATCTTAGCCAATCATAGCTTTCTCAAGAGCATCAAGAACTACTTGAAATGGCGTATATATAAAATAAACTCCTTTTCCGTCGCGCTTCAAAGCCCTAAAACGTTTCGATACGGAGTGGGTTAAGGCAATTTTTCAACAAATGGATAATATTCTGCCGTTGTCTGTTCAAGTATAGTGGACGTCATAACGTGATAAGAAATTAAAAAAAAAACATGAGTGATTCACTCGGCCAGGCGGCTCTTGGGCCACTATTTGTTCTTACCACATTTACGACGTCATGCTCTATATCTGTAACTGAAACTAACGGCAAAATGTTATCTGTGTACTTGATAAATAGATGGTGGCCATAAGGCTGGTTTACTAAACATCCTTTTCTCTAAAAAAATTAAAAGTAAATGTGATTCTGTTCAAGAAATTCATCTTGCAAGAGTGGAACAACATAAAAACGAACCTTTCGGGTCAAACCTACCAGTTTACTTTTCGCATTTCGTCTATATATCACATGCAGTACGTAATACAGCCTTCCGGAAAGTACTTAACCATGGCTATAGAGCCTCGTTTTCGTGTTATAAATTCACTGATATAACTGCATGGTGGTGTAAATGTGTCAGCTGTAACAAGGTATAAGGCTTTAAACCCAATATCTCAATTACGAAGACGAGGCTCTATAGCCAAGACTGCATGAGCAATTTCTGGAAGGGTTGTGTTGCACTTAAAAACTTCTGAGGTGTTTAAAATACCGTAATAAACGACTTCAAATGTATGATACAACTTCTCAAACAACAAAACGCACGTTTATATCGTGATACCAAGAAAGGGATACGCTGCTAATGACCTTCGTGATTTGTAAATAAATTCTATATATTAGTAAATAAAATAGAACCTCTGAAACAAGTTGATAATTTGGGAAAAACTGAACGCTTGCCGAGGCTTAGTTTATGGGTACTTTTTAGTATATTCTCAAAATTGTTTTTTTCTAGTCTTCTACCTCAGTAGAAGTTGTGAACACTAATGTAGAGGTTATGGATAAACTTATTGTTGCTGGTTATGATGTAAAGGTACTGTGACTACTACTCACTTGCAATCCTACTGAATTAGAGGTTTTGAATGTTAATTATCCACTCTGCTTGCAAAGCGTTGACCCAAAAGCTTTGGTTCTTCATCAGCACAAATAGCGATGATAATAAGCGAGGCAGCACACTAGTCTTGACACTGATAAAATTTCACCAGAGTTCACTTGGCCCAGTCCTTCGCGCGATCTTTATTGATTTGTATATATATTGTTGCCATCTCCATTTTGCGTCGGTTTGGATGTCTTCTGGACGTTTTGCGGTAGAGCTTGTGGTAATTCCAGTTAAAAAACGGTTGTCCACTCCAATGGGTGATTCCAGCTATAGACTCAATTTTGATCTAGGCAAGAAGAATGAAATTCAACACCACAGCTAGAAAGAGCATCTTAGAATGAGTAAAACTGCAAAGTTTGGTTGCGAAATGTTGTAAAATGAAGACAATATAGCCCTATGAAGTTCGCAAATTTTGTATATATTTGTATTACGCGCGGTAAAAATAACCACTTTGGGCTGAAAAATGGTCATTTTTCCCGCGCGTAATGCAAATATATACAAAATTTGCGAACTTCACAGGGCAATATTTTCCTCATTTTACAACATTTCGCAACCAAACTTTGCAATTTTACTCATTTTAAGATGCTCTTTCCAGCTATGGTAATGGACTTCGTTCGTCTTGTCTAAATCAAAATTTCGTCTATGGCTGGAATCCATTAGCAAATTGCTATTGGAAAACATAAAAAAGGAAAAATAGACAGAAATCTTCTTCTGATGGATGTGAACGAATGGCTGGGTTGTGAATGTTCAGATGAGGGTACATATACTCTGCCTAATTCTTCATAATTTCATGATATTCTTCAGAATATGCATAATTCTTCTACTTGTTCACATTCATTAAAAGAAGAAAATCGCACTAGAAATCGCAGCAAAAATTGCACGTGTAAATGGCCTTTATGTTTCCTTTCGGTTGCTTCATCTGATCTCTCTGGATTAAACTATAGTCTGTCAAGAACAATGCGTGCAAAATGTTTTTGTTTATTCTTCAAAGAGTCGTATAATCAAGGCCACGAGCGTGAACCACACTAAATAGCCCAGTGCGTACCCAGTCGTTTTCCCCATGTATCTATTGAGAGCGTAAGTTTGAGGCAGCACTTCCTTGCGAAAGTAACTCCTATAGTTATAATATTATTTGTGCTGTTGAAGATGCGTGCTTACGGGTCAACAGCCTTGCCAAATACATTAGCACTCGTGAATATCCGAGCTTACGGATCGGTAGCTTTTTTAACGCTGCCGGACGTCTCTGTTGCACGAATCTTGGGAGAGCTGTAGAATTTTGTCCAAACCAAACTGACTTGCTTTGTTGACTAATTGGGATGTTTTTAAAAAGTTTTGTTCATTTCATCGAAACAAACGAACCCAAATATTAATAAATCATGCATCCTTCTATTTCTTCTATTTCTAATATGAATTATTATCGTCCGCTTGTTATTATGCTCGTATTGCGAATTGTACTTACTGCATGTATTGTAGCCTGTGTTCCTGTCCACTAGAGACACAGGCTAACTGTATTACTGCTTTAATATAAATATATTGCTTATATATTGATGAATAGCCACAGTTTTAAATTTATTTATTTATTACTTTTTGGAAAAAAACAGGGGCACGTTTTGAGTGAGCATCAGCCCATACAAGGAGTGGATTTTATTTTATTTTCCCTTGTACTTAAAGCCGAGGTAAGTGTATAAAGTAAAAACTACGCATTGATTTGCAGGACTGGTGTACGGTACAACTAGCCTTTCTGAAGTGATTCGGGTGGCAGAGAAACCAGACAAAAAATATCCAAATAATAAATGACAGGCCTGCTCCATTTACAGGGTCCCTAATAAATATGTATATATAAAAAAATAACAAAAAAACATTACATTATTTACAACACATTTTATCCACAAGACTGGACAACGGACGACACGAGTGACACTTGACACATATACTTTTAAATGTTTGTGGAGTATTAATGTTATATATTTGTTTAGACATTGCTTCATAATAAGTTAGCGGGTAAGATTTGAGTTGGCCGACAGTAACGCTTGCTTCTCGAATTTGTGGTGGTAGGGAGTTATATATTCTGGTAGCTCTATTATAAAAATTGTTCTGAAAAGTTAAAGTGTTAATTTTTAATGTTACACTGTTAGTTGTAGCGCGCCTGGTGATACGATCATTTGATACTATACTAATCTGAGAGTCATTCAATTTAATTGCCTTAAAGAGATACACCAAGTCCAGGTACTCGTGCCAGTAAGACAGAGGAAGTAAACATGTTTTCAATAGTCTGTCTTGGTAACTGGTAAATGATCAAAACTGACCTCGTACAGCCTTCACCAGGTTGAGATCGTTTTGTTTATAGTGCACCAGTGTTGCCATGTGGGCTTCGGTGGCGGCAGAGCAAGCGCCTTTCACGCTATGGACTCATGTGTGGACTCATGTGAAAAACACGTTCGAATTTATCTTTATGATAAATTGGGTGGGGAGTTTTTCAAGTTTTTTTAAAAAAGAGTTTTTAAAAAAAAATTAAAAAGTTAAAATTTTTTAAAAAGTTAGGGTTAGGGGTTAGTGGTTAGGGGTTAGTGGTTGGGTTGGGGTTGGGGTTAGGGTTAGTGTTAGGTGCCGCGAATTTATTATTATGATAAATTCAAAATTTGCCGCGAATTTATCATAATGATAAATTCGGACGTGTTTAAGAATTTACTCATATTATCATATAGTAAATTCAAGGATGGAGCTCATGCTGCTATAAGAAGCAGGTTCAAACCGCAAATCCTGCAAGTCAAAATATCCATCTTCAAGCAATTACATTTAACTGCATGCATGGAAGAGGGCAAACTGATATTAACTTCATGTCTCTTGTAAGATAATTTTAAGATGCTTTCTGTCCAACTACTCCCCATTATGGAACCTTTTACAACAAACGTCGTCCATATTACCATTTCGACGTGAGTTAGGATTATCTTTTCTCCTGACAGGATGTCCGTGGTTGCGAGCCAATTGAACCAAGAATTCTGGTGAAAATTTCCAAGAAAGCGGAAGGAGAGGCATTGTGTAAGACGAAATCTCAGAAAGATGGAACGTTTCAGTTTTCTAGTGTTCCAAGTGGTGAATACACATTGGTACGATTTTAAGAACTTTTCGAAATATACCTATTAAATCAATTTTACTCGATCCCAACAATGACTGAACTCTGTTATTTAGGTGCCATTCTACGAAGGCGAAGTAATAACTTTTGACGTTGTACCAACTAAACTGAAATTCAAAGTTAATTACAAAAGTGTTGTTCTGAAGGTAACCGTTTCTACGTCCGGTTTACTGGATATAAACTCTTTTGTAAATGTTAATGTCAATAAAATGTAAGTGCTAGTATTCCAAAGGTCGTAGGTTCGAATCCCGCCGTGGCCAGGCATATTTTTCAAGCCTGCCCGGTGTGGATATACACTCAGAGTAACATCACACAAACATCTTATTCACCTGAGTACATTACACCAACACAGCAGATTTCATAAATATTGATATAATCGCTCATCTAATTTATAGTCTCAGTACACACTTGTGTATTCACTTTTTTCAGTCGGCCAAAACTAATTTGCAGTTAGCCCCGCGTACATTGCGAGCGAGGCATGTGAACTAGGGTGGGGGTTGGGGGAAATGTTTTGAGAAATTACGCCTCAGAAGGTGTTCCGTTTAACTACGGCTGGGAGAAAATCAAACACATCTGACTACGAGTATAGAATTTGCAAAAGGATATTGAGAAATTTCTAGTATGCCTGTATACGCCCATGACTTTCTGATCCTGGTTTACAGTTAGTTCAGGTTATTTGCAGGTCCCAACATCTGACACCTGTGTCGCAGTGCTGTATCAGTGCTGTTCAGAAACATCTGTGACCTGTATATATAGTTAATTACTTTTATTTATTTTACGTTCTAGACTCCCTTCGAAGTGCATGGGTTCTCTGTCAGCGGGAAAATTGTGAATTTAGGAAGCGTAAGTTTGAAAGTTTGTATTTGGCCTTTCTTTGCATCCATCTCATTTACAATACAAACTCCATGTGAGTCTTAAGTCGTTCATTTTTTAGCCCATTATGTGCACGAAAGTAAGACTGGCTACATAATATATAAATAATGAGTAAGAAAATTAATTTTTTTCTGTAGGGCGAAGGAATTGCGAATGCAAAGGTGTCCTTAGATGGTGTTTATAAAGCTGAAAGCAATAATGAAGGTGTCTATGTGTTGGATAACGTCACATCTGGTCATTATACTATACTGGTAAGTAATGCCTAACAAACACTCACGAGGGATGTGCCAGATCCCAATAGTACAATACACGTATACATATCCGGCAGTATCTGGTAAAATACACCGGATATTTAACAGATAGTCCTGGAACATTTTTATAATTTATATAGAGAACCTTGAAAGTTATATGTTTCCCTTGTCTTTTTTATGCACTGTGAAACACGAACAGTTACCATTCGTGCGATGCATTATAAAACGGAATTGCCTGTTATAAAACTAGTGGAATTGTTAGTATGATTCTTAGGCATTGTTCTACAGACATTTCCCTTCTTGTTACAGGCAGAGAAACTAAACATCTTTTTCAAGCCAGTTAAATTTCAAATTAACCCGAACACGCCATATTTGTCAGATATTAAACCATCAAGGTACTGTTAGTAATCTATATTTTAATATACTTAAATATCGATCGTTATATTCACTTATTTCATCACTGCCACTAAATTTACCGCCCTTCATACATGCGGCCACCGACATACAGGACAGAGTGTCCATATTACGGAAGTGTTTCTGTTATACGATTAAAGCTTTTAAATTTCGTGCGGAAGCCATTTTTAGTTTGTTGGAAAAACCACACACCCCTGGGGCCGGTTGTATAAAAAAGTGATTAAAGTTAACTATAGTTAGTGGAAACGTCATCCAATAAGAAGCGCCTATTTGAGAGTTAATCACTATTTAACTACAAAATAGTGATTAAAAAAGTGATTAAGAGTTTTATACAACCGGCCCCTGGTTTACAAAATTTGAGTTTGAAAATTTTTTTTCACTATTCTACATTATAAGTACCCAAAGAAACTATATATATAAAAAACTGGATACTAATAGCTGATTTGCGGAATGTTCAGTTTTTTTTATACACCCTGTAGAGGTCACCACTATGACGTCATTTCCACTGAGAGTCCTAAGTGTTTATAAAAACAGGCCCACACTTCAGTGTTTATTACTTACTTACTATTACAGTGTTGATCTCAGTTATGTATACTGTACACGAACCGCTGTTTCATAACAACGTTGCACCGCAATGCTACAGCTAAATAAGTGAATAAAGCGTTGATGTTTGTGTAACTTATATTATCTACTCAAACTAACATCATCTGATTGCTGGAGTGTCCATAATGGCATACTGTAAATCCTCTATTTGGCCCCCTTCTCAAACAAGCTCCCTCTCTAATAACCCCCGCCACCCTTTTAAAGGAAGAAATTTATTAAGCTCTCTTCTCTATTAAGCCTCCCCCCTCCCCCATACAAATACATTAATATTGCATTGATTAGAATTGTTGTCATTTTAGAGATTTTACGCAATGCCACAGTTTTATAATTTGAGATTAAATGGTTAATTTTAAGGCTAATTTACCTGTGATTACGGAACTGCATGGTCAACAAGAAAAATATTTCTCTTTACCCAGTATTGAAGTATATAATAAGTACATGTGTATGTAATACATGTGTAATAATTATTATTAGCACTGATGAAGATCCGGGCTTACGGATCGAAAGCTTTGCAGTAATAAATTTATGTGGTGTTTCCACAAACAAAAGTATTATATATTTTCTCGCCATGCAAACCTACAAAGAACTTATTAAAATACTTGAGTTTCTGTGCTGTTTTGTCGTGAAACGTTTCTGACTGAAACGTCGTGTATCGAAGCCTGTCATGCTTCCAAAGTACTCAATGCCAAAACAGGTTACATTTATGTTTACTTTAGCTATAATCTCTGTGGTCAATTAAAAATCGAAGAACTCCCACCAGGTTGTTTGCAGGTAGGACGTTATTTCCTTGCTGGAAACGATATAACTAGGAACCAAACTAAACCAAAATTATCGAGATTTTTTTGCATCTCGTTCGATATGACTAATAGTATAGATGGGTTTCTTCACTTCTTTTAGATCAGGGTTCGTAGAAAACTTGAAAGTCCTTGAATGTCCTTGAATTTGAAAACAAAAATTCAAGGCCTTGAATGTCCTTGAATTTGTAAAGAAGTACTTGAATGTCCTTGAATTCTTCTTGCTTTAGTTTTTTTTGGATATTTTCTGAAATTGCTTGACATTCAAGACGGACATTTTGTTGAACTGATTTTGCATGTTCATATCTGACCTCATTATAAAGTTACGTCTTGAACAATTCAACGTCATATTTTGCTGATTTCTAACGCCTTCTCTTCAGTATTTAGTCGTTGCCTAGTGGCAGGAAACAAACCTATGGCCCTATTAGTCCTATCGAACGAGGTGCTAACATATCTCGATATTTTCCCTTCTACTGGCATCACCTACATATACATGAATTTGTGGATAATGTTCAGCAACTCGACTCTGTAACTCAGTTGGGTAGAGTGCTCCACTGGAATCCCAGGGCCGCAGGTTCGATTCCTGCTAGAGGGCCTAGAGTTGCTGGTCGGGTCTAAAATGTATACACATTTACGTTCGAAAATTCTTGATGGAAGAAAAATCCCATCTATACCAAACTTCAGGGTTCGTAGCGGTCTTTGAAATCCTTGAAAGTCTTTAAATTTGAATGCAGGTCTTTGAGGTCTTTGAAAAGTCTTTGAATTGTGTGAAAAAGCGAAGCAAGTCTTTAAAAGTTTTTAAATTCTTTAGTTAGTATTTGATTATTCGATTTCCTAGCTAATACAATAGATTGATTGAAGCAAGATTTTCGCAAATATCGACGAAAAGGTGCATTTTAGGATGTGATTTGAAGGGACTAATTACCGGGTAAAAATGGTGCTTACACTCGCAATTTTTCGACAGCTGATTGCTCTCAAAGGTCTTTGAAAAGTCTTTGAAAATAGGCAGAAAAAATCTTTGAAAGTCTTTGAATATTTTTGGTTTTGGAGACTACGAACCCTGAAACTTAATCTAACTTCATTTTTATTGGATCACTGCATCTCTTCTAAAATACATGCATGTTCTCCCTATGTAAGATTTTATAAGTCTGGTTATACATAAGGACCTTGAAATGATGTAAAGCTACAGCCTCGACAAATACTGTTGGTAAAATATTACAAAAACCCAACTTTGGTGGAGTGTGCTCCACAGTACACAATTTAGAAGTTTCTGTCTCGTGGCAACTGGACTCTGTATTGATTTGTTTGATTGATTTAGTCTTTATTATAAAAATACTCAACAACAGACGCGCGAGTTTACAATTCTATGAGACCTACATATATGCATGGTAAAAACTACAATAAAGCTACTATTTATACAAAGTTGAAAAGACTTCTGTTTATGAATGTGCGTTTAAAACGTTCTGTTCCTCGCTCTCTGGTATATCTTATCTTTTTCGGGGGAAGAAGATCGAAAAGGGGATGGTCTTCATTGGCAATGATATTCCACAGTTTCTCTGTAACTCAGTGGTTAGAGCGACAGCCGCAGAGCGGCAGGTTCGATTCCTATGCGAGTGCCTGTAGTTGTATTTTTCGAAATTGCTTGAGTCTGCATGCTTCCGGCTATATAGGTCTGAAATATATGTAATATAGGTTTCTGCTTGAAATTTCTATCTTTTTTTATAATTCTGCTACATTCATTTCACTTCAATGTTGTTTTCATTTCTTCAGATGGCGAAGAGAAAGGTGATTCTAACTCCGACTCAAGGGAAGAAAACAGATGCGATGTCTGCTACAACTGATAGTGAAGGAAAATTTTGTTTCCAAGTTCAGCCTGGAGCATATCGTGTTCAGGTTAGTTCCCTTGTATTTCTGGGACCGATTGTGTCAAGGCTGCATAACGTTATCCACAAGGATAGTGAGTTTTCAACCCTTTGTAAAAATGCCCGAGAAGCCAATTTTAGAAAGCTTAAAATATTCACTACCCAGGAAATAGCGCTATCTCGCCTTCATACAACTGACTCCTGCTTGATGTGCTCTGATCATTAAGGCTTATTTAAAACAAGAAAATGGACAACGGTTTTCAGTAAAAAAATGGAAAATTAGTAATGATCCTCTTTTTCATAAAATATTTTTTCATTGTTAAATAGAGTTTAGTTTCTACTATTGAGGACAAATCGCTCCTTGAGATATTAAAACAGCATTCTGAGACATTTTAGGCAAGAGGAGCCAGTTCATTGGGTGGGGAAAATAATTCCATAGAGGGCAGTATCAGCTCCTACTAGGGGGGGGGGGGGTGTTACTGCAGGCCCTCCCTTTCTAGGCATACAAATGATATCAGAAAGGGAGGGATTCAACAACCTGAAAAGTACAAGTAAAACTTGGACGTTTCGAGCTTCGTCAGAGGTTACTAACTTCCCGACGAAGTCCTTCGCTCGAAGTTGAATCGCTCTCAGTCCTCAGCTTTCTCTGGTGTTAAGGCCCAGTACAATTTGATTGGCTGACACAAATTTTCCGTCGGAAAAAAATTTTTGAAGTTGAAAATGTTCAACTTTTAACAATGATATTTTCGGAAAATTTTCTGTCCATGGAGAATTTTCCTGAGTGGAATTGGGCCTTAATTGTCACTGCCGACGCTGGAACACACCGTTCGAGTTTATATACAAGTGATATGCCTGCAAAATTATTAACTTTGATTTAGATAAAACGTAAAATATTTTATTTCTGGGAGGCCCGACCTTTCCAGGTATACAAATTAATATCCCATGCACAAAATGCCCCCAGCTTGTATGCTAAGATGCCTACCTTTGTAGTATACAAATAATTTACCGACAAGATGATCTTATGATCGTATCTTACTTCATGCTAACATTAAACCGAAACTTTCAGCCTGTTGTACTAACGCAAGAGCAGAATGCTGGCTTGATTTTGAAACCTGAAGAACACAATGTTCAAATTGTTAACGAACCACGTTTGGATGCAACGTTTAAGCAATTCTTAGCAAGTGTCAGTGGAACAGTACAATGTTTAGGTTGGTATGACTGTTTGAAACACGGCGTCGCGGTTACTTTGCGAAATTTTGAGGCTGTATGTTTAGGATACCAACATAGATATTCCTGCAGATTGCTACAAAGTATAACCTTTGAAAACTTTATGGCTCAAATTTCATGATTTTTAATAATAGGCTACTGTATTCACTCGTTTAAGCGCCGCGGCGCTCTTTAAATTTTTAGAGCTTCAGATGCGGCGCTCATTCGGGGGCGGCGCTAAATCGGAGGCGGCGCTCTTTAAAAAATATTTTATTTGTGAATTATGACAAGAACTCTTATCTATAAAATAGACAAGTTTTAAAAGGTTTTTGTTACTAAATGTCCCCATTTTGACGGCGGAAAGTTTTTACACTGTTTAAAAAAATTTGATCTCAAATGCGCGCTCAATCGGGGGCGGCGCTCAATCGAGTAAATACGGTATTGAAATTTCATGATCGAAATCTAAATTTGTAATTTTAGTTTCAAGGTAATGTCAGTGACCGCGGAGCCATGTTTGGATTTGGTGTTGGGCTCTAGCGAACACCGAAGTCCACGTTCTAGGGGTCCATGCTCCCCCGGGAAATTTTGAAATCTGAGACCTCTCAGAGCCCTGGAAATGCAATCAAATTTACTAGTTTCTGGTAAAAAGTTTCTTGAACAACTCTTAAAACGGGAAAATTTATTCGCTTAGTAATATGTTGGCAACCGAAATTCGCACCCCAGATATTTCGCAAAGTCCGCCTCAACAACATTGCAGATTGTGCTACTTACTGTAAAATAGTGCTGCTAACAGTAAAATATTAATTTTCTTTTTTCTTGAAATTTGTTTGTTATTCCTGTACACTCCTCCTAGTTCATTGTCAGAAAATATTTTTTAGATGGAGCATGTGGCAGTTTGAGTATCTCACTTGTGTCTCGACGTCAAGCTGATCAAAGGAAGGTCACAGCTATGGTAAGAACGAGAGATAAGCAGGCTGACTGTTAATACATTAGGCAACAATATGTATTGTTAACAACTACAATATAGGAAGGTGAAATACACAATATATTAGGCAAGTAAGTATTGAGCAACAGAATTGCTGCTGCATGTATGCAAGAAAAGCTGATTTTCAAGTACGTTAATTAAATGTTCACTGTTTTGTAACCTTTGCGTGTGAACTATGCGTTGAAATCAGCAGTTTTGAAATCAGAAATTACGTTGCTCCTATTACTTTATTTTCACACAATTCACACAGTACCCCTCAATAGTGATTTGTCGTAATAATTGATGAGGAAAACACAAAGAAAATCATAAGCGTGTCGTATCTTTATATGTGATAGAGATTTCCCTTGATTTACATAAACTTTAACGTTGATTTTCTCGACTTACACAACGTGTTTTTTGAAAACTACTTCGCCAATGAACTTACTAGATTTTCTGTTGTACCACAGGTCAAAGATGGATCAAAAGGAGGCTCGTTTATCTTCCCCAAAGTTCTTCCAGGAAGTTACAAAGGTAAGTGAGACTTTTCAAATGACGTCATTGCTATCCCTCTCTCAACTTACTTGCGCCATAAAGTCATCGGATACTGCATGAAGAACAGTCTATCCCATCAGTTCAACAACACTGAATGCAAGGTTTACTTTACCTTACTGTTGAATCTCTGAACACATGTTTACTGGGAAGAACCGATCCTTCCAACAACAAAATGAATCGAGTTTACTCTGACTAATTTAAATATAGGTCGTGAGAAGAAACTGGCACAAGTTAAAACCAAAACGTCGCCTCACTGGCGCGCAGTCTAGCAATAAATAAGTGTCCACTTGAATTCGCAAATTCCAATTATCACAAGTAAAAACGGAAAATAGACGCAAATTGTACGGAGCGTGTCATGTTTCGCTCGTGTTATCGCGTTTGAAGGTTGATTACAGGAGAAGGCACCGTTCTTTCATTACGCAATCAGCGACTTTAGCCCAGTTATTTACTTATTTTCCCGTCGTGTTTAAGACAGCACTTTCCTCTCTTTACTTCGCTCATTCCACTCCTGACAATCTGCCATCTTTTTGAGATCTTAGGGGAGTCAACTCATGAATCATAGCTACGTGCCTGCTATCCATTGATGGACTTTTCACTCAGTTTTTCATAGCTGAGCGGAATAGTACCTTCTCCACGGCTATGCGCTTCCTGTGTGCATGGTAATGACAGTCCAGGCTTCAATTTTTAGATTAACATATACCACCATACACACTACACGAATTGCAGTATGGTCACAAACTACTACGGTATATTTCACCTTGTTTTCCCTTTTATACCATATTTAGCTGTCGTACTTCAAGACTTGTGGTGTTGGAAGAACAAATCTCTAGATATTGTCATCCAAGATAGTGATGTTGATAACATTCAGTTTATTCAATCTGGTTACGTTCTCAAATGTTCTCTTACACACAATATAACACTGGTAAGTAAATGAGATATTTGGGAGGATTTATTTGTCTTTTAGTTTTATGTTTTATTTTATGAAGTTTGTCCCAACCCAGTGAGCTTCATATAAACCGGAGTGAGAACTCGAGTCCAAAAAGTGAATCCGAGATGAAGGTATCGGACGTCAGTTCCAGTCCCTTTCTATTGTTTATTGTTGCGCGGTCAAACACGAAGCTGCAAGAAGTGTGCCGAAATTTCGTCTTTTGACTTCGTGTTAAAGAATAACACTATGGTTTTATGAACTGATAAATTGTTTAGCGATACGGTCCGTTAGAAAAACTGGAAGTAGCTGGGAAAATGATATGAAAACTGTTTACGACCTTCATAGATTTGGACATCAATTTCCACTATCTTGGCTTAACTTTTCTCATGGACCGAATGACTGAAATTCTTGCTCCAGATATATAGAGAGCTAACTTTCCCAGCGCCAAAAGCTGCCAAATATGTAAAGCCTTCCCCTGGATACATTTACCCCAAGAGCTTAGAGCTCATCGAGGGGGTTCATGTTAACATAAATTACAATATTACATTACAATTACCACCACAAGTACAGACAAAAAAGGATCGCTTGGCAATTGCATAAACATCCTATGCGAAACGTGCAGAACTACCAATATATAGCATTGTACTTCAGAGAAAATTGCAGCATTTACTTCAAAACTTAGATTTCTTGAACCATGTAATAGAATGTCCACTTGTTGAGAGATATTCAAAACGTTCCATATATTTCCGATGTTTCTATTTGAATACCGTAGTATTATAAAGGTCAATTAAACTTTTTCTGAGGCGAAGCAGTGGGTGAAACAACGAGGCGGAATAATGAGGCGAAGCAAAACATGTGCGCGCTCATTTTAGCCGGAACGACGTAATAACTGGATTGAAAATTATTTACAGTATCATAAACTTGTTTTGTTTCAATTCATATTTGTGGAAATTGTCAGCTGGCCATGGTTCTTACCCCAATATCTGTTTTTGAGACGCATGATTTTGTTTGAAACGCTTATATCGTAGTCGGTCTGTGAAAACCGGTTTTAAGTCCGATTTAAACCACACCAACGTAGGTGAGTTGTGTTCTTGATTTACACAGTACAACTCAAGCAGGTTGCATGCGATAGTTTTAGGCAAAAGTTGTGTACACGGCTAAAAACGCACAGGTTGTTGCAAGTTGATATCGACAGGCGTGAACAATGTTGTGCGGCCAACTATGAACATGTTGTCAACCATGTTGTTCCAAGTTGTTACAGTTGAACAATGCTGTAACAACATGTTGACAATACTGTTCATAGTGGGCCGCACAACCTTGTTCACGCCTGTCGATATCAACTTGCAACAAGTTGTTGATTTTCGCAATTTTTACGCGTGTAGTGTCGCCATTTACGCAATTTTTATTCTGAGTCACTTAGCGTTTCATTAAATGATGTCACAGGCAGCATACTAATTGGTTACCCACAATTCCGTGTTCTTGCGCAAGCTATAAAAACGCTCTGATGTCATAATACAGTTTGTCATAATTGATTGATTCAGACTGTGCGCTTTTCATTACGTCTCGTGGAAATTTTCCAAACTTTTTTGAAATGAAACAAATATGGCTGATGCGGAGCATGACAATGCTTGCAATGTGAGAATTCTGCTGGAATGATTAAAATTCACAATTCCTAATGGTTTCATTGAAACCGTCAAGAAAAATTTAAACAACCCAAATCTCGTGTCGAAGAGCTTAAAACTTTATTGGGTGAACAGAATAAAGGTAATATTACAATTTATCTTGAAACTATTTTGTAATGCTTTTCAATTTATCATGAAACAACGCTAAATGTTCCATTTAATATTTTCTATTGATTTACATTGTTTTATTGACTGAATTTATTAGATGAAAAAACATTTCGGTATTGTCTTGCATGGGTTCTTCAAAAGCAAGTGCGTGAGTAATGGCTAGTGTGAGTGTTTTATTCTGCAACATGTGATATCTCCCTCGCCATATTGCGACGCATGCAGTCGTCAAAGTATCAATATTTTCGGTGACGTCATATGTTCAGGTTGATATGAGGCGGTCTGTTCTCCAAAGTAAGATATCAAAGTACGATAGTTCGAAATTCATTCAAGTTCACAATTCTTTGTATTAATTTAAGTGAAGTTCCATCAAATACAAACATAAAATCTGGCATTTTTTCCAGCTGCTCTAAATGTTCAAGGACATCTTTATGGTGAAGTCTTAATGCCCTTGCTGCCTTGCGAGATGCATTCCAGATCATGCATTTACTATATAGTACGATGGGTTCCAAACCATAAATTTCGATTTCCATTTCTCCTCTTCAGGTAGCATAGGCAATCATATTGTCGTTGACTCTGAGGGTTCTGAACTTCACTTGCTACGGCATCAGCAAATATTGCTTCATCCAGTCTTTATAATTTTGGTATAAATCAGACGACAAAACTTCATCTACTGGTACATTATCTACCCAAGTAAATCTTCCAGATTTACGTAAAAAACTCATTTTCTTCTTCTGCTTTTCTACTGCTTAACTCCCAAACAATACTATAACGCAAAGGTTAAAATTGCACGGCTGTTTCAATTTATAGGGAAATCTTTTGCACAATATTACTGCTTACTTTATACAAGAACCCATTCAGGTATTATGTTGGTCCGGTTAATATAGGCGCACGCTGATGTATTGCTCCGCCTTATTAATGAAAACTGTCTAGCTGAACAGCTACAGCGCATGTTCAAAAAGTGACCGTAATCGGAAAACGGCCTTTCATTTCGGGTTACTGCTTCGCCTCAGAAAAGGGTTGATCGGCCTTTTTGATACTACTGATGACCAATAGGATTCAACATTGGTTATGAGGGACATTTTTGGAAATAAAAACGTTAGGCGCCCATATGTGTTAGCACACGCGTGTTCGGAATATGTTGTGTCGTTTTCTTGAACATTTTAAATAACACTGGCCTTATCAATTTTTTAAACTATTTTTACATTTAAAACTATTTTATATATAAATATATATTTAAGAAGTTTAAAAACTTCTTCAACTCACTAATGATTTATACTTGTGCCGACTTGAAATTCGCAAGTTTTCTCGTGAGTAAAATAATAAGAATAAATTCATCTCAAACAACAGTTCTCCAACGCTTTTGCTTGTCTATTAACATTCTGATCTTTTTTGTTTCATATCAATCTTTTTCTAGCATTTTGCTCTAGAAGGTAGCTCTGAAGTTGTTGGCTCATTTAATTTAACAAAAGGAGTTAATATATTCTGTTTGAATGAACCAGGTACAGTACTGAAGAATGGGACAATGTTTACTCAGGTGTGTCAAAACGTCTCGAGGTTTCTCAAATTGCTATGTTGTATTTTCCTTGCTTCGTAGGAATATATACACTGACTCCAAGGTCTTGCCACCGCTTTGATCAGGATTCCTATAAATACAATACGTAAGTGACATTTGTCAGAGCTTAATTTTTGTGTACGTTATTGTTAGCTAATATAATTTTTACTTATGTTAATATATGGCTTTGATTTTATGAATGTAAGAGAAGTGAAATGGATACCTGCAGATTAATATTTTTTTGTTATTTATTGTAGTTCAGCTCAGACCGTTTTAACCTTTACCGCCAAGAAACATTTATTGTCAATGACAGTTCGTGCAAGTCAGCTTGCCAAAGATATCAAATTGAAGATTAAGTAAGTAACCACAATATTGTCCTCAAGTACCTGACGTTTTCAGCATCGCCATACGTTTGTCATAGTATTTAGTTTCTCTTCCTGTTTCACATTAAAATAAGTTTCAGGAAAACACATGATAACAATATATAGCACCGTTGAATATACATTAATGTAATATGCCGTAAATCCTCGTGTAAGTCCCTTCTCCATTAGGCCTCCCCTCTCTTATAAACCCCCTTCTCTAATAAGCCCCTTCTCTAACAAGCTGCCCATCTCTAATAAGCCTCCTTCTCTAACAGGCCGCCCATCTCTAATAAGCCCCCTTGTCTAACAAGCTGCCCATCTCTAACAAGCCCCTTCTCTAATAAGCCCCTTCTCTAATAAGCCCCCTTCTCTACTAAGCTCCCTTCTCTAATAAGCCCCCTTCTCTAATAAGCCCCCTTCTCTAATAAGCCCCCTTCTCTAATAAGCCCCCTTCTCTAATAAGCCCCCTTCTCTAATAAGCCCCCTTCTCAAAAAGGCTATTTTCCCAATTTATGTCATGTTAACGTGAATATTTTCGAGGAAAATATCTTTGATATCATTATGTTTGCAGACATCTAAAGGGAAATACTGAAGAGATTGTTGAACCAAAACTGAAAGTAAATAAACGTGAGTCGGGTGGCAACGATTCTGAGGTCAAAGAAGAAGAAAAGAAACAACATTTGTACGAGGTTTCATACTGGGCAAAGTAAGAATATATTTAAAATATTATTTAACTCGAAAACGATATGGGGGGTCACCGATGTCGTTTACGCGTTAAATTACTTTAAAGCCAAAATATCCACGATGATGAAACGTCATTGTTGCCACTGCAACGGCATTTGCGTAAACATTTATGAAAATAGATATGCTGTTTTGCAGAAATAAGATGCTTTTTGTTTTTCGACAAGTAATACTTGTCCAAAAATACGGATCTAAATCGCAAATTTTCCAATTTTAAAAAACTGACTGTATCGAGCCATCTTAACTTGTTACTAAGAAAGACATGGGTAAAAACGTATATGAACAGTTGGTAGGGTATTGTTTTGTATTTTTTGTCATGATAGATCTCTTGTTTTAGTACATTTTGATCCTAATTTTTCGAGAATCAAACCAAATTCATTAGTAATGTGTGCTTCTTTTGTGTTGAAAGGAAAGATGAGCAACTTGAAGTCACGCCTGTTTCATCAGATTTGCTCTTCTATCCTCCTGTTAAGACTGTCACAATGAAAGGTTTGTTAATGAAGGCATGAAACGCTTTTCAAACTTACCATAATTCCGCAATATTGTAAATTAGTATTTTTGCACAAGTGAATATAACAAATCCTACAAGTTGATTGGTCAAATTTGGCGTATTAAGCTGTTATATTCACATACAAGTGAATATAACAAAACCGAAATTTGCAAAATGGCGGCTAGCCGTTTTGTAGAAGTTACTGATAAAGAAATAAGAGAAATTAAAATAAATTCAATCCCAAAAAACACAAAAGACTTGTGTAAAAATACTAAAACAATTATTCGCCTCAGGCTCGGTGATTATCGGGGACTAGTCACCTCGACTTCGTTTTGGTGAATATTCTAAAACTGTCTGTACCAGTGTAGGTAGTACCAATGTAAAAATGCTGTGCTGAGTGGTTATATTACTACCTTAAAAAATAAGCAAAAGGCCCTTCATTCACTAACTCTTGACGAAGGGCCTTCGATCGAAACGTCGAGTTTCTGCTTATTTTTTAAGGTAGTAATATAACCACTCAGCACAGCATTTTTGGTGAATATTCCCCGATAATTACAGTACCTCGCCTTCGGCGAATAATAGTTAATTATTATGGCCTAGATGTGCTGCTGCGAATTTAAATTGCCATCAATCATCACATGTTTGACTTTTAGATGCTTCAACTTTAGTCCCCGGAATTTTTGGATTAAATATGTACAAATTTGCCATCTTTCCCCGTTACCAGCAAACGACTGGGGACCAGGCAGCAAATTTGCTTTAGTAATAGGCAATTACACTTTCATGATTAGAAAAAGCCTTGTTTTATATAGCGCAACTATTCGGTACTCTTCCTCCCACATGTGTCCGTCATTTTCACAATGTCCTGTTTCACGTGACGATACTTGCATGCAACTGCACCCTTAACCTCTTTTCTAGGCTCTTCCTTCGTTCCTCGGCTCTACCCTTCTCCTCGAGAGAGAATAGCTTGGGATCGAAGTTGCTCTACCCTTCATGTGTACACTATACACTGACTAGCGGTGTCTTCATTCCTTAATATATATTCATAATTTATATATATAAAGGACTTTTTATAAAATACTTAAACTTGAATGGCATCAGAAACGTTTGGGAATAAATATTTTCACGGAACTGATCCCTTTTGATTCAACGTATAATTCGCCCCTTACTTTCGGGGGGAGCTCAGGGTCATTGTGGCTACATATTCGTGGGGTCGCTACTTACGGAGGGGCTATACTTTTCGTTTGTTAAATTATGTGACATGCTGTTGAGTATTCCTCTTTGGTCTTTTTTATCCATTGTCTATTTACCACATCTAATTTGCTTTACTGATTTTTTCTCGTACAATTTCGACTTCGACTGTTTTCCACTAAACACGTAAAAAGTATCACTTTCGAGTTAACAAATAATCCGTGAAATAATATCTTCTATTACAGACATTGTGAGGGTACGCAAAATACTGATATTCTGACTGTACTCTTTGTATTTACAGATGCATGTCCTGGAGGAAGTGTAGAATTTGATGGTCAAGTTGGTGTATTTATTGATGGACGTATTGATCCACCATTGGAAAATGTTCAAGTATTAATTCAATCTGATTCGAAAGAGGAATCTAAAGAGACCTTGACTGTGTATAGTAACGCTCAGGGGATATACAGGTAATCTCACATACTGTTAAGAGAATCACTCATGCTTCGAGACCTGCTTGTTCTTCCTGCACGTAGCGAGGCAGCACACTATTCTTGACAGTGGTAACTTTTCTCCGGAATTCACTCGGTCGGTCGATTTGGATAGATGTCTGGTCGATGGCTGTCTGTTTCAATAAGAGAACGTAATAAACGGATGTCCATTCCAATTAGCAAATTCAAATTAAATGTAAAATAAATAGAAAGATAGACGGAAATTCTACGGTGCGCGCGTGTTATGTACTTATGTTTCCATTTGGTCGCGTTATCTGACTATCTGATCTCAGTTATATTCTAGGACTAAATTATATTCTTTCAAGAACAGTACATGTAAAATGTATCTGTTTTTAAGCGCTTCAGCGAAAAGCAGTCCCCTTCATGATGTTATTGGCGTTTTATACAGCACCATTGTGTGCTCAGGCTTTTTCCTGATTTATCTTTTGAGAGTGTCATGTTTTAGAAATAACTACCGTAAACTTCCGAATATAAGCCCTGCATGCAGGGCTTTTTTACGGGGGTACTTATATACGGATGACATGTTAGTCATAGTATTTATTGTAAACTATACCGTGAATGAAAAGAAATATAAACTTACAGTATATAATACATAATGAAGCAAGTTGGTTAACACATTATAATACTGTAAATGTTAACACCACCTGAGTCAAATGCCAGCTTTGCTCGATATACAGTGATCCCAAACCGAAAGTAACGTACAACAGAAATAGGCCCTAAATCACGAGAGCATGCATGCATTAGCATTCATTAACATGTATGCAAAGGCTTGATCCTATGCTCTTTTCTGGTTGTTTTTAGAAAATTAATTTGCTAGTTCGACGTTAGATTCTCTGATTGAAAACCGTAATTTCCTAACCTAAACAGTTTTCAAAACGTCAACTTGCTTTTTCCATTCCTGGTATTCATAGCAAATTCAAAAGATGTTGGGGATGTGTATTGTGCGCGCTCAATTTTATTATTGTGTCATTTCCAGAGTTGGCCCTCTTCATGGAAACCTGAGATACGACCTGGTATGTAATATAATGATAGGTTTTCTACATTGGTAAGCTATAAATTAATTAAGCTATATATTGCATGAAATTTAAGGCCAAAACGTTTAAAGAACTCAACAACAAAGCAACCTAATTCCCCCGCCCAAATATTTCGCCAAGTGTCCGTCACTGAGCTGAGCCTCCCAATAACGTGTTAATACTGTACTTCTCTCAATGACGTGGTATTTGTTCTTGTTTCGTATATAAAACCAGAACTATTCGTCCTCAACCATTGCCCGGGTTATATAGCAAATTCTTAATCCTATTTAAATATACAACTTCGCAGAATAGTCAAAATCAAGGAGGGAAAATTTGTTCCTAGTGGCCTTCAACATTGATTTCGTGATGTATTCCTATCTTTCCCTTTAATTTATTATCAATGATGTGAATTAACCAAATAATATCAATTTTAAGGTTTGATCTTGTTATCGTCGAATCTAGCTCCGTCTGAGTAGATAATGGCGTTGTGTATGGACAAATAAATTGTTTAGAAGTTTATTATATAGCTACCTTTAATAACAAAAAGGTCTACTTTGTTTCACATATCGAGATTCTGCCGGCTTCTCGTTCGACATAACTGAATGTAGATGGTTTATTGGAAGATGAAATTTTCAACGAGTCGTATACGATTTGGTTCCAAGGGTGGGTAGTAGCGAAGTAGTTGTAGTTCGCTACTGTAGCGAACTACAATTTTCAAGTAGCCAGTAGTTTTTGACTACTTTTGTAAAACAGTAGCTGTAGTTGTAGCGAACTACATTTTGCCTAAAAGTAGCCAAATAGTCGACTACTTTTCAAACAGTGAATCGCTATTCGCTACTTTTTAAAATTGTTAGCAACCGTCCATAGAATAGAATGATGATAAGACACGGTTTGCTTAAAAGATTATTTTATACAGTAAAGATTATTTTAGCGCAATGAAAAGTGGTACTCCTGAACACTGTAGTACTTATAAAAATGTTGCTTTGAGCCTTTTTGTTTACTGTTGCTACTCGTAAGTCGATTTGTTATAGGTTATATTACAGCCTGAGCTAGTGGATGCTTAAAATACCGTAAAACTAAAAAATATAGAGTAGCGAAATAGCGAAATAGTTCGCTACATTTTTTAAGCAGTAGCTGTAGTCAGTAGCGAACTACCTTTGTTCAAAAGTAGCAGTAGTTGTAGCTGACTACATATTTTTGAAGTAGCTGTAGTTATAGCGAACTACAAAAATTTTGTAGTCAACCCACCCTTGTTTGGTTCCTACCTGCAGAGGGCCTAAAGTTGCATTTTTCGCAGATGCTCCCAGTTAGGTCTAAAATTGAATATAAGTTTTTGTTCGAAAATTCCATCTACTAAAATCCGATCTGCATTCTACTTTGTTTTGAAGTATTTGTATTGAAATGTTAAGTAAACAGAAATTCATTTGTTTATTTTTCTAATTGGGTTTAATTTTAGTCGGCGTCAAAAGAAGGATATATTTTAAATCCTGTACAGGGAGAGAAAGGCCATTTCAAGGCTGTCAAATTAGGACAAATAGAAATCAAGGTACATTTGTAAGAACATTTCTGTTTATTTTTTAAATTTGGTTTTTAATAATTTATGTATATATAGGAGCCAGTACATAATTTAATGACCCAGCTTAAATTATTTTTTGTTGGTATGATATTTTACATTCAGCTTCAAACAGTTACTGGAACACATTTAAATGTAATCCAATGCGATTTTGATTAAATTGACATGTCCTAGAGATAAATTGAATTTTCGCCCAATGAAGGACTGGATTAAAATAATGCACCTGGCTGAAACTTCGTGGATGAAACTTCATGTTTCCGAAAGCGGTGGTAGGTTTAGTACCCTACTACCTCCTGATCAATGCATTATTACTGAGTAGTTCTAGAGATTCGCTACATAATTGACTCGAGGTCCATTTCAACCTACAGGGTGTATAAAAAAAACAACTGAACAGATTTGAAATTGCTCTCAATTTCGCAAAACAGCTATTAGTATCCAGGTTTTAATATATATATAGCTTCTTTGGGTACTTAAACTCAAAGTTTGTAAACCAGGGGGGGGGGGGTGTCTTTTCCAACAAACTAAAAATGCCTTGCGACGCGATTCAGGAGCTTTAATTGTATTTGGAGTTAATGGGTGAAAAATGTGTTGGGTGTTTAATTGCTGCACGAAATTTCAGACAATTTGCTTCAGTTTAAGCCCTTCAACTATTCACGCAAACTTACATTTTGCATAATTAAGCATGCGAAAGGCTGATTTTTTAGGAAAAAATGAATAGTTAAAGGGCTTAAACTAAAGCAAATTGTCTGAAATTTTGGACAGTAATTAAAAACCCAACAAATGTTCCATCCATTAACTCAAAATACGATTAAATCTATTAAATTTCGTGCGCAAACCATTTTTAGTTTGTTGGAAAAGAAACACCCCCCTGGTTTACACAATTTGAGTTCGAGTATTTTTTCATTATTCTACATTATGGGTACTCTAGGAATCTATATATAACAAAAACGTGATACCACGAGCTGTTTTGCGAAACTGAGAGCAATTTCAAATCTGTTCAGTTTTTTTATACACCCTGTATATATAGGAGCATTCACACAACGTTTGTCAATTAATACATTTTCATTTTCCTTCAGGTGTCTGATGAATCACGCAATCTCTTATCGGGAGTCTTGGTATCATTAAGTGGAAGCAGCTTTCGTCAGAATCGTATCACGTCTGAAAATGAGTCATTAATATTTTCTAACTTGGTAAGCCATGTTCTTATCTAAAATGTCTTGGGGGTAATAACATGTCGTGGCATCCAGTTAGAGTCAGCCTCTAAATTCGCTCATCCCGCGTTGAAGGAGGATGGAAGATCAGATCTGCGAGCATTTTGTTTTAATAGAGCATTCCTGTTTGCTTTTGCGTCCTATTCTTCTGTTAAAACTCTTTATCGGCAGGCCCAAATTTCGATTCAATTGTTTCTAATGTAAATGTATCTCGGCAACTATTTACCCCCCTTTACCCACCGTTGAAATCCTCACAACATAATCTTTTCAACGGGGAGTTTGAATGCCATTCCCACAGCGCGAGTTTTAATATTTTTTATGAAGCGAATTTGCGAGACTGAGGATGAGTCGTCAGCCTCCAAATATGGTTTAACAGATATAACTCGTATGGGAACGTACTCAGATATATGACATAAAGGATTTCAGGACCTTAAAATAATAGAAATTCTTGCATGTCACGCCTATACCAAATATTCATGATGTTGTGTGAAGGATTGAACCAAGTGAGAAATACAGACTTTGTCTTTGTCTGGATATTAGTAGTGAATAGCTGCACATGTGTGAACTGAAAGAACACTGAAGGCAATGGGTAAAAATAGGGGTTGTTGAACAAAAACGATGCATGAATTTTGATCAATAATTTTAGGTTCCAGGTGAATATTTTTTCAAACCGGTACTCAAGGAATTTGTCTTTTCTCCAGTATCTCAGGTGAGTCAAATATCTACACAGTGTTGATTATATAGTAATGTTAAATGTGGATGATAATAATGGTATATGTGAATGATAACGTTATATGTGAATGATATTATACTGCATGAGTGATAATAATCAATGGTATGTGCACGATAATAATGGTATGTTAGAATGATAACAATCAGTTTAGATATCTTTCATTCAAACATGTTTATGAGCAGGATTTTTTCTCAGATATAAATCTCTGTTTCTCTCATGAATTATTAATGCTCTTTAACTGTCTTCAGATCGTTCAACTAAAAGAAGGAACAACGGTTGTTGCAACTTCCGAAGGCAAGAGAGTGGCATTCAGGTATTATTTAGTTATTAAACAAGTCTCAAACGGATTTACATTAATTTTTTGAATGTACTGCATGCGGTAGGTCCAAAGTTATCATCGGGTAAATATTTCCATTATTTGTGTTACCTTGGTTGCATGTGATTATAGGGATGGATTTGGAGGGATGACCTGGGATGGGTTTGCAGGGGGGCTATTTTTCATGATAAAGCAAAAAATTAGAGACAAAATGAGATACAGTAATTTGAGTAATAACATGATGATAAGCGAACTGTGAACAACAATTACAATTCAAATACAATAGTCAAGCAAGACTTTGCAGTAGTCAAGCAAGTTGATGGCCGTGCGGCACACATGACCGACACAACTCGGCACCAGAGCTGGCAGAGCACCCCCCTCATCATGCTGGATCCAATGGCCCTGTTCCCGACGAAGGGCCTTCGCTGGAAATGTAGTTTTAGGTAGTTGAATCCCTATCCATCTCAATTTTCTGGTTTTTATGGTACTACCTACGTTGGTACAGATCGTTCGAAATAATGATCGTGTATGTTGTTTTCCCTTGGTATATAATTTACGATTCAATATTTGTAAAGCTTAACTGCTGTTGGAAGCCATGCTATACTAGTGGCTTTCTTCGTATATTTTATTATAAAGCGTTCAGTTGGTTATTGCTTTCATACACGGAAACAACATCGCAAGCCAGGCTCTTTACTTGCGCTTCCCTCCCAAACACGCTGCTGGAGCGTGTTTGGGAGGGAAGCGGAAGTACACACGCAAAAATCTCACATCTTGTAACAAGTTTGTCAACAAGCCGTCAACAAGTTGTGTTCGCACTGCTTGTCACAAGTTGCCAACAAGTTTGGAACAAGCTGTTAACAGTTTGTAACAACCTTGTTGATATTATCAGGCTTGTTACAAGGTTGTTCGAACAAGTCCGATACAGTCATGATATAGCAATATTGTTACAACCTTGTGTCGTCAACCTTGTAACATTCTTCTTTATCATGACTGTATCAGACTTATTAGAACAACCTTGTAACAAGTCTGATAATGCCATCAAGCTTGTTCCAAGTTGTTAACAGCTTGTTCCAAACTTGTTAGAACAACTGGGAACAAGCAGTGCGAAGACAACTTGTCAACAGCTTGTGAACAGATTTGTAACAACTTGTTTACAGACCTGTAACAACTTGTGCGTTTTTACGTGTGTAGAGAGCCTGTCTTGCGAGGTTGACACGGAAACATTACCTCTTGTAGTTGTTATGGTTCTGTTACGACACTTAATGGAAGACCTGAAAAAGATGTTGCTTTAGAGGTGAGATCTTATATTGCTTTCTTGAAAGTGTTCAGACGGTGAATCATTGACAAAATCCTTTCAAACCGCCCAGCTGAAACAATAAGTGAATGGACTAGGGATGTATAAAACTGCTGTTGAAGGACACATGCACTGCCACAAAAGGGAGATGATTCGACAAAACACTGACAGATTACAGATATTTCACAGCACACTCCCTATCAGGGCTTTTCAGTGACTGGTTACATTATGAATAGATAGATAGAACCGATTATAATCTTCGCAATACTTATACTGACCTTACCCTTGCTAAGCCAAAACGAGAATTTCTAAAAAAAAGCTTTAAGTATAGCGGAGCTAAATTGTGGAATAGTCTTCCTTCTGATGCGAAGCTAGCGCAATCAATTTATTCTTTTAAAAACTGCCTGAAAGTTTCACGCTAACATCTTCTAATATACTGTATATGCATGCTTTAGAAATATGGGTCACACCGTTTGGAACTTAATTCTTGTATTGTAAATAGTTGTATATAATTCTTTATTCTTTTCTATATCATATTTGTAATTTTTAATAGTAACAGACGTCCCTCGTGAAAATCAACAAATCGTTGACGAGGCTAACGTCTTTAAATAAAGTTTACATACATACAACCGGACTGACGTGAAGCAGACCGAGGTAGACTTTGAGCATACAAATGGCGCTTGAGCAGTCGCTATTAGTTCATACCTCATTAATGATCTGCCTCAGACCTATGTGCCTAACCCACCCTGTCAAGTTTCCCTGTGGGAGGAAACACGGAGTACCCGGAGAAAACCCACGACTTTCGGCAGAGCGTTGACTTTTTCTCTTTTCACATGAGTACTGGGTTCGAGTCACATTGAGAAGTTCTCACTGAGATTTGAACTTGCGGCCTTAGAGGTGAAAGGCAAGTGCGCTAACCACTTCGCCACCGAAGGCCCATCAATACTACTGACATCAACCAGTTTTAATTGGTTATATCTTGTACGGTCTAGTAAAAGGTTAATTTGAAAATATATTCAAATAGACCAGTTTTGCCCAGTAATTACTAATTAGATAGTAAATGGTAACTTCCCTGACATTTCAACGGTAGAACAACTATCAGGCAGGGACGTGGCGAAATTGGCGGGTGGGTGCGAGATGATAATGACTAACTTTCCCAACGAAAATGACCTTTTTTCGGGTGGTTTTCTGCGGTCTTGAGATTCCAATAATTTATCACCGAATACGTTAGGCAGTGGTTGTTGGGTATGTGTTTTCCAATAGTTGGAAAATATTTCGGCACATTTTCTTTCAAAATTTTTTGACCCACAGCAAGTTGGTTTTGACCAACATTGTAATATTTTCAAAATTATTTGGGGGTCGAGGGGTGGGGTCGCATCCCTCCACATTCCCAGGTCGGCACGACCCGCTGTTAGGCGATTTAGTTAATACTCACTTAACTCCATGACTTTTCAGGCAGTGGGTCTGGACAGTTGTGAGGGCAACCAAGAAGAAACAGTAACTGATGCGGAAGGACATTATAGACTTCGTGGATTACAGGTACTTCATGTATAGAGTACCTACGAGTACCACTTCAAGCGTACTATACCGAAACGTATCAACGTATTTTAAAATTTAGTGAATGTTGATTGGTTAATAGTGCCGTAGTACGCCAAAAAGTTGACTTTGGGGCGAACTTTTCGCGAATACATCCGGAAGTACGTGAATTTTTCAACCTATTTTCAACCTGCGCATGCTCACCAGTACGTTTTGGTACGGTACGCTTGAAGTGGAAAACGGCCTTTAGTAGTGCTTCCAAGTACGTACACATGAATCTTGTTCTAATAATTTAGACTAATATTCCATGTTACCTTGTCTCTCTCTTAGCCTGGTTGTACATACCGTGTGCGAGTAAAGGCTGGCGAAATGAACGCTCAAATTGAAAGGTCTACACCTCAGTATATTGATATTCAAGTGAGTAAACTTTTCAGAGAAAACTTCAGAAAAAAATGCTTCAAGATACAAGCTGTACCTCTATTCCTGCCGTTCCTTTCTTTAATAATACAAATAAGTTGCCTATTAACATGTTATGTGTTGAAACAGTTTCTATAAATTAATGTACGACATTAGTCATAATTCAGCACCTAGAAATGTAATGGATCTCTTTACTCAAGTTGCTACTGTTCATTCCTATAATACCAAATCCCTCTACTGCTGGTAATTATCAGATAAAATCTTCTCGTACAAATCAACAGCATAATGCTTTCTCTAGTGTTGGTGCTAAGGTATGGAATTCTGTCTCTGAATATCTCCGCAATCTTAAAAAAAAGGATTTCACTAGGTCTAGATCTCTAGGAAGATTCATACTTTACTAATCGAAATTATGAATAACGAAGATGACTATGTTGATCTCCCTATATGATTTTGCAGAGAATGTCTGTTTGATCTTATTTTTAATATTTCATGGGTACGTTATTAACAGTACACTATTCATCAATCAGATCCTACAGCACCTTTCAAATTACACCACTTTTTTTTTAACTTTGGATAGTGTTTCTATTTTTTGTCTGCACGTATATATACAGTAAAATTGTCTGCAATTGAACGTATAACTGTGTAAATTTATTACTGCATAAATTTATTACTGCATTTATTACTGTGTGTAAATTTATATTCCATGCCCGCCTCTGATTAGCTATTGCTATTTGCGGATCATGGTATTTCTATCTTTATGTATTTTATTTTATTGAATAAAATTGTATTGTATTGTATTGTATTGTATTGTATTGTATTGTATTGTATTGTATTGTATTGTATTGTATTGTATTGTATTGTATTGTATTGTATTGTATTGTATTGTATTGTATTGACTTGTATTAGAGTCGAGTACGAATCCTTCTTAGAAGTTGTCCACCATTTGAAGATTACCACAAACTGACACAAACACATTTTTAATCCAGTCCCCCGTCTGACGTCCTTGTTGACAAAAACATCGCTTACTTAAGGCGGTTTTCCACTAGGCGAAATTTTTCGACCGAATCGAAATTTCTCTTTGTTTCAGAGCTCTCGAGCAGAACTAATTGTAAAAAGACAAAGAGAAATTTCGTTTCGGTCGAAAAATTCCGCCTCGTGGAATCAGGCCTTTAAGCTCTCTGATAATGTGCCTAACGTTTTTTCCACGTGGTTGGAGTACGCAAATGGGTAGCTGCAGTAAAAGAGGTCGGAGTTTCTTCAAGTTTACATCTATTCTCCAATATAGGTATTGAGAAATGATTTGGAAAATGTCCGTATGATTGTGTTTCGAGAGACTGGATTGGTGGATGTATCAGGAAATATTCTCACTGACTCGCAATTCCTTTCGTCAGTGAAGGTAATTCTGAATTACAAGACTGTTTCGGTTGATTTTTCATTAATCGTGAAATGACAGTTAGGTTAGAAATCGATAGAAATTAAGATAGAAATCCGCGCTAAGGTAAATGGTTCTTGACCCTTTTTTTTAAATGTCTGGAAAAAATTTTACCCCCCCCCCCCCTCCCCTCGAATTTCTCTGATAGGCCCTGGTTCTTGCTCAGACTGCAGTGGCGGCGCCAGGCTTCCAAATTTGGGGGGGCATTTGAGGGGCAAACTCAAATTTTGGGGGGGCAAGATAGAATTTTTAAAAAGGTCGCCCCCCCCCCAGGAAATTCGCCCCCCCCCCTCAAAACGTGGCGATATTCCTAGGAATATCGCCTCCCAGGGGGGTGGGGCGAATACCCTAGGAATATCGCCCCTCTTTAGGACATTCGCCCCCCATATATGCGATGTGGTTTATTCAAATAATTTCGTGATACTTTCATCTTATTATTGCCTTACACGTTTGAGAATTTAACTCTGCAAAACTAAAGCTTTTTTGTCTTTTTTTGAAACGTGTTATTGGAGTATTGGCAAGTTTTACCATTCAGAGATTTACAAACTAATATTGAAACTGTAAAAAACAGTTTCATATGAGTATATGCGCATTCACTAATGAGTAATGACAACTTATAAGCCATACATTTTCCGATAACGACAGAACGCTTGTGTAGCCTTTAGTCGCTCTTAGTGACTAATAATTTTTTTTGAGGGGGGGCAAAATGGGGGGGCAAAAAATAATTTTGGGGGGGCATTTGCCCCCCCTTGCCCCCCCCCTGGCGCCGCCACTGTCAGACTGCGCCACCGAAGCCCCATTTCGTATTGCATTAAGGCTTGATGTTATATTGTCCTGTGTATACCATCCTATGTGCAGTCTGTTCAGACTCACTCTTTCTTTAGCTTCTCTTGTATCGTGAGAAAAACTTGGATTCACCAATTCACTCAACTACTGCGGGCTTGACTGGTTTCTTTCAATTTCCACCAATAGCAAGTGATAACCAGGTATTGTTGCTATGGCATCCATTACATGACACATTTGTACAATTCAACATTCTCCCTGTTTTGGAGTTGAGCTGAAAGCTTTTATATTGCATGCTTGGCATCATCAATTATCATCTGCTGCCAAAGTGTTCCAACTATACTACAAAGTGTATACGTACTACTTTTGACAATTAGTGCTGTTGCCACCTCTGCATGGAAACTTAGTTTACTGTTAACAATTAACTTGAAAGTTTTGATTTTTAGAATTATGTGATAAAGTTAGAATCAAGTTTATCTTCTCATCAATACAAAATGAGGTTTCCCGAGACAAGTTTTGCAGCTTCAGGACACCGAGTTCACGTAAAATTAGAATTTAAACCACAGGTAAACATTTAAAATTATATCAGTAATTCTAAGTTACTACCTAACCTGGGGACCTCGCTCTCCTCAGTCAAGACGAAAGACAATTCGCCCATGACTCACGAGAATAAGGCCCCGGGTAGCCTGCGTGGCAGGCTAGGCCCCGGGCAATTCTGGCGACGCAATTATGGAAGGGTATAATATTGGTACTGCGTGTTCTACTGTAAATTTAAAAAGTAGTTGTGACGTGCAAGTAGGGATTTTGCAATTCTTAATTACTTGTTTTACACTCACTCTGATCATTTTTTACATCAGGAGTTATTTCTCCCCCCCCCCCCTTGCCCCCTTCCAAAACATTGCTGCATATTGGAAATAAATAGCATGTCATATATATTCAACACACTGATCTGTGATTCAACATTGGATGACCTGGGTGGGTGGAAATTTTGGGGGTGGAAAATTTGTGCATGTGTGGCAACTGTCCCAAAACTAATTGTAATTGAACACGAGACGTTTGTTATATATGTGATGCTTGAAAATTTGAACAAAAAGTTTTGATGCAGCATAAGGCATGTCGAGGCTAAATTTATAAAACTAAATAATGTCAAGGCTTCGTCCTTCTATTGTCAAAATGAACTGCTGTCTAAACTAAAATATGGTTGACCGGACCATGTACATTGCTTGCAGATTGCAGAAAAACTGAAAAATCGTCTTAGCAAAGTTGGCCCCCGAAGGCAGAATTTTTTGCGTTTGGAGATCATTATGGTATAGATATATATTTTGGGATCCCCCCTCCCCCATATTCAGAAATCAGAATGTTTCGAGTTTAGTTTTTTTCAATTTGGTCAAGAAAAATTCGTCTATGGCTATACGCTGCATGCGCACAACAACGAGGTTTTTCTACAACCATGCATGCTGTATAAAAAGACAATAATTTAACTCCTTAACATTATATTACTCAACAAGTTTTCATATAGCCTGTCTCGCGTTACATCAAGACGTTTTGATAAAACTCTAAATGTTATCTAAGCAGTCGCAATGCATGGCCTCAGGTTCGATGCCTGCAGAGGTCCAGCTCCTAGAGTTTAATTTTTCAACTGCATGCTTCTGGTTATGTCTAATAATGTTTATAAATTTGGGTTCGAAAGTTCCATTTACGGAAGTTTTTGCGTGGATGGAATTTAGCACTATCGAACGAGATGCCCAAGATCTCCACCCACGTGTTCGGGGGGAGGGCAGCATGCAGTTCATTTTCAGCTTGAGCTTCTTCGCCAGCTAAATATCTTGCTCTCGAGCTTGCCTATGTCAACTATTTTACTAAATTTATAAATATAATTTTTTTCAGAAACATTTCTTAGATCAGGAAGCATCTCACACCTCCTTTTTGTTTTTACCAATTCTCATTGGTGCACTTGTGATTGGCATATATTATACAAAGGTAAGAACTCCACTGGATTATCGCCTTCCCTGCACCAAGTTCTAATGGATTTATATATATATTTGTAGATTTCAATTTTTGTTCGCGATACATTCCAATATTTACAAAATGAACAAATACCAGAGAATGGTGAAGAAATGACCAGAAGTAAAAGAAAACGAAGATAAAAAGAAATGACCAGAAGTAAAAGAAAACGAAGATAAAAGAAAACTCAGTACACCGCGTGTCAAACATTGATCATCATCCACTAGGACAAACAGTGTTTGCATGCCTAGATCTTTCTAGGTATTCTTCAGTACATGCGAAATATTGTAAAACAGTGGTTTTCACTGTCAAAGTTTCTACAAAAAAGCTTTGACAGTTTAAATATCAGTTTTAAACCGGCTTTCCACTAGGCGGAATTTTGTGGGCGAAGCAGAATTTTTAAATCACAAGACAAAGAAAAATTCCGTTCCACGCGCAAAATTCCGCCTAATGGGAAACCGGTTGCAGCCGATGGAAGTCACACATACATAATGAAGCCATTAATAACCTCAGCATTTCTTGCTTGAAATGAGAAGCGATGTCGATGATTTCAAGCAAGAATCATTGCATGTCATCATTAACGGCTCTATTTTATACGCATGGCATCCGTGTTGGCGAACACATCAACTGCTTAATAAACTCACGTATTAAATACATTAAAGTCTTCTACACTTATTAATCGAAGCTGTTGATCCAGACGAAGTGTGGTGCCATTAGCTTATTAAACGGGATGGGACGCGGGAGGGAGGGGGGATGCGAGGGGGAGGGAATGCGAGAAATATATATTACTTGTAATCGTGCAAGTAATTAGTATCACAGGAAGCCCGCGTCGACCCCACACCCATATACTCACTGGTGAATACTATTTTATTCCTCAACTTTCCTTACAGTAACGCCCCCGCCACTTGACACAGTTTCATGAGACAGTTTTTGGCCGTATATAGAGAATCAAATTGTGGGTGTAGATATAAATCATATTCCAAGATAATGGTTTTTCGGTATTACTCTCAGCATTGCAGCACATTTCGAAGCTAAACAAATAATTTGTTTAAGCAAGCACCTGTAACTCTTACGTTGCAAATTTAAATACATTGTTACTTGTGTATTGACAAAGCGGTTTTGTGTGGGCGAAAACGTTTACGTAGCTAGGACGACATGATATAATTTATACAAATCACGTGACTGAACGTTCGCTGTCAAAGTCTCGAAGATTGCCAAATAATCAAAGTACTATCGGCATTCTAGAACTAGAAGCATGGTAAAACATCTGAAATATACGAATACTGTTAACGAATTGGTGCAAAACTTATGATTCGACACGAAGAGGTATTATGTACAATCCGTACAACCAAAGATACAGGACAGAACTTGAAAGTTCCCGTGGGAAATTAAACAGTTTAGGGCGGACTGAATTTCAAAGTCATCGTTTAACTCGAAATACAAAAAGTGCTATATTGCCCACCCAGGATTTACCATATCTCGTTGAAGATATGGGAAATATTAGTCTGAAAACTGTGACAGAAAAGTCGCCAATAAGGAGAAAATCTTCGTCATCAAATAGCGTAAGCCGCCAAGGCAAGCGTAGTGATAATTTTGAACATGGAGTCGTTTCGTCAGACCCAAAGTTTGCAGGAAAATCATTGTACGATCCTACTTTGAACACTAACGATAAACTTCGACGTAATTCTTCAGATAGTGGGTATAACAGTTCTGGAAAAGTTTGTGAAACTCGAACTGGAACTGGCTCGTCGAACGGTTTACAGCGGTTAAATTTATACGATAACAAATCATGCGGTAAAAGCGATTATAGCCAAATTATTAATAAAAACAAGCCATATACGAGTGATTGTACATCACTATCTCCTAATAAACCTGAACTTTGCAAGAACACTGCAGTTAGTGGAAGCAGAGAAATCCTGCCTGGCAGATCTAGTAGCAGAACAAGTTTAGACTTGGACAATACGAAACCTCGTTCATATGTGAATGATAGGTCCATATTACCTAAATCAGTAAGTACTCAGAACTGCCTTTATTATACCTCTGATAATGTGATTTATACTTAATATCAGTACAGTTGTTTAGAAAAAGGGACATGTCCATATTCATGTTGCCAGTGACATTTTGGTTGGGTAGGTGGGTCAAAGTGGTAGTGTCAGCTGTGATGTTTTTTATGATGGCAAGGTGAATATTTTCAGGATATCTTACCAAACAGGCCTCCCCAGGGGTTTCAGGTACTTGGGGATACAGTATTGTTAAAATAGGTTTAAATACAGGCATCAAGTGTCCAAGAGAGTCAATATCAAGTATATTCCGGTAATGCCGGGAACCCCCATAGCTATAGGCCTGACCAAAAGGTATAGCCATGCCTTACATTTTCAAGGCTTGGTGGGTCGCTGGGTTTAGATAAAAATATCAAATGAATATGATGTTTGTTGGACATGGCCCCTTAATCTGTCTTTATCAACTAAATTGTGCAAGTTGTGATGGCATGTTTTTGTCGATGTGGCAATTAATCAAAACAAAAATACAAATGCTCTGTGTGGAATCTCACCAAATAGTATTAAAACTGGAAAATATGCTTTGTCTTAAGTTGTATAGGGCCCTAAGCTAGAGAGCATGTTTAAGACAATGTACATTAAAAATTAATCTTCAATTATTTTCAAAATAGAAGATGCCTTTATGAACAGAATCTCTAAGATTAGGACCACACACTAATAACAACTCCAATGATGTCAGCTTAATGGACCTATTCTTCCCTAGACTTACCCAGCTCTAGTTTAATTGTTGGCATTGGGGACACTGATTGGTGAGATCGAGTAAAACAATAAAATGGGAAATTGCATGGTTAGCTTAATTACATTGTTGGCTGATAGGTTGCATAAGGGCCCACAATTGTCACTAGTTAATAAATAGATCAATTTACTGACATACATTGCCAGAGAGTTTGGTTAATAAGAACAAATTGTAATGTCAACAAAGTAGAGTGTGTAAGGGCATATAAAATATACAACTTACTGTTAACCGATTTTAAACTGCAGGTGCCATTGTCAAAATGTTGGAAGTGTGGATGTTGTCAACTATTATTAATTGTCTAAAGAGGCAGGTTGTAACTGCAAATAATGCCTGTTTCATACGACGCACTATCCGTATCGTCAAATTTAATTCAGACAATATATTTAATTCATATGACGTCTGTTTCTGTCTTTCTGAAATGAATTTGTCTGAATTAAATTCATCGTTTGAAACGAAACCATTTTAATGTCGACCAATTGACAAATTTAATAATGAATTAAATTTGTCTGAATTAAATTCGACGTATGAAACATGCCTAATAAATCTTTTACATTTTATTTTAGCCAATGAGTGCATCAGAGGGCCTTGTTGGGCTGCAGAATTTAGGAAATACGGTAAGTTGTCGCTAAAGTCAAGTGGGAGAGCTCCAAAGACCAAAGGGCTTCTCTCCACTTCTTCTCCTTGGAATATTCGAGCTTTTTAAAAATGCTAGACCCCATTTGACTTTTTCATGAATTGGTCACATCACCCCATTTCCCCTAAAATGAGCAGCTATGTCAAAATGAATTACAGAAATGAAAAGAACATCTTAGTATTTACTTAGTATGGAGGAAATGGCAGTAAATTTAAGATTGGAAATTTTCTTAAGATTTTTATGGAAAAATGCTCTGTTTTGCCATCCAGTGCCAGATTACTCACCAAGGGGGAAATGCTGCCATTGAATAAGTTAATAATTGAAGCTAGCTGATAACAATTTGCAGGAAATTTAGGTTTCTATAAGTATAAACTGAACTATTCTATTTGTGTTTTAGTGTTTTATGAATTCAATTTTACAATGTCTTAGCCACTGTTGGCCTCTAAGAGACAGAATGTTATCTGGTGATTCTCTTCAATATAATAGACAAAGTAAAATGAAAGGAAAGCTAAGTATTGGTAAGTATATTGGTGTTTGTATAGGCTACTTTATTTCTTTTAAAAGATGTGCCAGCTGATCACCATTTAGTTTTGTTAAACATTTTTATTAAATTCCACACTTTAGTTCAGTTTATTTCATTTCATTTATAGCCTTTGCAGATTTAATTAAAGCCATGTGGTCGAAAAACAGGACGAACACTGCAGTATCTCCACACAGTTTCAAAATGCAGATTCAGAGGTTTTCTCCTCGATTTGTGGGTTATGAGTAAGTTTGAAAATCAAAATGTTGATTGTTCATTGTTCTTAATTGGAATCGTCATTTTCACAGCTGTAAAAATATCAAAAGAACCATTGAAAAAGAGAAAGCGGCTTTTTGTTACACTTTACTGATGAAGATTCAAATTGTGATATCTAAAAAACAATTTACTGAAAACTGTACACATATTTTTTTGTTTTTATGGAATACCCATATTTCTGTTTAGTCGGCCGGCAGAAGTTTTGGTAAACGTCCACCAAACGTATTTGTTGTTAAATTAATCAGTATTTTTCTGGCTTTCTTCACTGAAAATTTGATAAATTAAATTAAACTATGTACCTAAGATTCGTTGTGCAATGTCCAATCTACCAGAACACATGTCTATCATGTGATGTAGCATTAAATATTCTATTGTAGCTTACATTCAACTTAACTATCTACAGTAGTCAAACTTTTGCCTTGTTATTTGTAGTTATTTCAATTCTTTAATATCATCCATTACAATCTTCTATGTATTGGGTTTATTTGTGTACTTACAGCACTTTACTACTTTACGCAAAATTTGCTGAGCTATGTTTTTGTGCAGGCAACAGGATTCGCAAGAATTTCTGCGGTTTCTCCTGGAAGGACTAAATGAAGATCTCAATCTGGTTGTGAACACTGCCAGAAGATCAAGTCGATTATCTCCTGATTTAAATAAACTGAGGTAGGGAATCGGGGTATAAAACACATGCAATGTTGAAAATGCCTGGCAGCAGTATACTGACAATTGACATGAATTTTTTTGGAAAAAGCCATTGTAACAATTTTTCAATATTTATTTAGAATAGGGCTGGTAATGGAATACCATTAGCTAAAAATGCCAACGCAAAAAAAGATTATATACTTCACTCTCAAATTAAGATTTGACTATAATCTGTATAATATTTTTTCTCATTTTTTGCAGCGAAAAGGAGTTGTCAGATCACATGTGGAAGCAGTACAAGTCAAGAGACAATAGTTTAATAACTGGTAAGGAATTTCTTTGATTTGTGCATACTAATATTTCTTTGATTTGTGCATATGATCACATGAAGGTCATTTTATTTATTGGATAATTGGCGGTCATCACTGTATTGTTGAATCAAGTTTGTTTTGTTATTAAAATAATATATACAGTTCGCTCCGCGCGTTCATAAACAAATCAATTAATTCGACCAAACTGGTACATGATATACTTTATATTTCTCAGCTTATTGGCCCGATCACAGTTACCTATCTTTGCTTGTCATAGATGTATGTCCCTTATGGTAAAATTTGTTATTTGCTTTGCTATAAACCGCCGAAATTATTCCAGATAAAGACAGTGGCGGACATTTCGCGAAATATTGGGGGACAAATTTAATAGATTGCCAATATATGACTACCTTTTGTAGCTGCTTAGTTATTTATTAAACTTTTTACCTTAAATATCACGCAATATATAGCCTGATTTTAGCCTATCAATGTTGTCATGGTTGAAAAATTATTGTTACAGATTTTTACACAGTTGTTCAGCTATCACTAAAAAGCTTTCAGAACCTTGGGGGGGGGGAGGGCTATGTTTATACGTGACCAGACGAATTTGGCACGGTATAGGGCATTCGTCCACTCTCATCGGTTCACATCAGGCCAAAAAAAAATATGTGGGTTTCCGGTTTCTTCTTATAAAAACTTAGGTAGGGTAGGTCGGTTTTAACTTTTTTTTTAACTTTTTTTTATTTTTTCGAATAAGCGGACGCCATTTTGTTTAGTCAGTGCTTCCACATCCAAAGATAAATTTCCCTAATATTGCCTCAAATTTCAATTTTCCACAAACTTTTTCCTCTAAGTGGAAACACTTACAAGCATGATCCAATAAAAAAGTTTAGGGTCGGGATTTCGACGTCCAAAAGCTAGGTAGGGTCGGGAAACCGGAAACCCACATATTTTTTTTTTGGCCTCAGGGTTCACATGGGAATTATTACGGTTAGCTGGGTTCGTATTCGTCCAGTTTCATGCGTTTCGTGTGAATGCGTCGGTGAGAGTCGTGCAAATGCGAGTTCCGAATCCGTCCAATCCCGTGTCAATTTTCACCTACTTTGTCCTTGATGTATCTGAATGCATAGTTTTAATTCTTTGAAACAAAATATGCACACAAAGCACGCACGCGTGAGCACAATGGACTTGAGCAGGGCTTGAAATAACAGCCGGATCGGCAAGAAATTGTTTATGATCGGCGGAGAAGCAAAATTACCAATCACCGTTGACCATTGTCACAAAAACATGCTTACCTGTGCAGTTAATTAAAAGACAAATAAATCACACTCAAAACCACGCGAAAAGCTCTTGTTCAGTTGATACGACAGGAAAGGGTAGGGGTACTTTTCTAGTTTTCTCGCTGTCATTTAGTATAAAACAAATTTGCATGAAGTACTTTAAATCTCTTCAACAGTCAACCAATTTTGGATTAATTTTCAGTTCTTAATTGATAAATACTGCTGTTTTGCTACGAATAGCCATGACAAAATGAAATACTGATAATTGAAATTTGAAAAGTGTTATAATAAAGTTATTGCTTGGGGTTGTTGTTCTTATTATTATTAGCAAACTCAGGAAAACGCTCCTGATTGGCCAGATTTTCATTAGTGATCGGCAGAAAGTCGTGACTGCCGATCACCATGATCGGGAACTTTGGGAACGTCATTTCAAGCCCTGCTTGAGTATCATTTTAAAGAATTCACTGCTTATCCTTTCAGATTTATTTTGTGGCCAAATAATGAGTACGCTGACTTGCACCAAGTGCAATCATCGATCTGTGACGTATGATCCATTCTGGGATCTTTCTTTGTCAATACCAAGGGTTTGTATTTTCTTTGCTGTGTTTGATATATCTTGACCTGTTTCAAACGTCGAACTTTTCATGTGCCGAACCTAATGCTTTAAGTAAAACGTGTTCACAAGCTCGTTGCAAACGTTTGCATTTAGTTTGCGAGTTGAATCCAGCGAGCTCTATATACACGTATATATATATCTGGAGCAAGAACTTCAATCATGAAGGTCGTAAACAGTTTTAATACCTAACCATTTTCCCCTGTTATCAGTTTATCAGTTCATAAAACTGTAGTATTATTTTTTAAATCGATGTCCAAATAGAAAATTTCGGCACACTCCTCGCAGACAAAAACAATAGAAGGGACTGAAACTGACATCCAATAACTCCATAGTTTCATTTCTTGGATTCGAGTTCTCGCTCCAGATATAGGTACAGTGTATAGAGCTCAGTGGTTGAATACAGTGAGAACAATATATATTATATACCATATTTACTCGTTTGAGCGCCGCGGCGCTCTGTAAATTTTCAGATATGCGACGCTTATTCGGGGGCGGCGCTCAATCGGGAGCGGCGCTCTTTAAAAAGAACTTTTAACAATAAAATAAACAAATTTTAAATGTCTTTGTCCTAAATGTTCCCATTTTGACGGGCGGAAAGTTTTTACACTGTTTAGTGAGGCGCTCATTCGGGGGCGGCGCTCTTTAAAAAAATGTGATCTCAAATGCGGCGCTCATTCGGGGGCGGCGCTCAATCCGGGGAGGCGCTCAAACGAGTAAATACGGGAACCGCACCAGTTGTTTGAAAGGTGATTGGCGTAAACCTACAGTAGGATTTAACCTACGAGAGAATAATATAAAATTTTTAAGCATTTATTTTGAGGGCGTGTGTGTGAACTTTTAAATCCTTATTGCGACAAAACTATCTTCTATGAATTAATTTGATCGAAGTTTTGAAATAGAGAACCATGCGGAAATACACAAAAACAAAACAGTGCATTATAACTTAAACAAATCTTGGCATTGTGATTGGTCAGCGAAAAAATTCGCCGCGAAACGAAAAAAAGTTCGCCGCGTTTACTGTTCGCGCGACGTTCTTGACAACACGGACGCCGACCGAAAGTCAATCGAACCGTTATAGATGGCGAATGATGGCAACAGCCGTTCTTGTTTGAAATCACGAACGTGAAAATGCATCGACTGCCGTTCATAATTCCAAGCAAGAACTTCTGACGTTATTACTCTCCATCTATAACGGTTACTGTCAATGCAATGGAAGTGTTGATAAAATATTGTACCAATTCCTTTCCTCAAGTTGATCAATTCATTTGATAGAAAATTGATCAACTTCCTGTTACTTTTAGATGAGCCATTTAGATTTCGTTTCAGAACCGATTGACCAATTGGAAACGCACAGGAAGTAAAAAGAAATTTGAATTCGTATGAATTGATCAACTTGAGGAAATGAATTCATGCAATATTTTATCAACACTTCCATTGCATCGACAGTAAGCTTTATTGTATTGTGTTATACTTGGTCTGAAAAAAGAATCTTCTATTTTCAGAATCCATACTCCTCCTATTCGAGCAGCAGATTTACGGGTTCTTCTGTGACATTATCGGAATGTTTAAAGCTCTTCACGCAAGAAGAAGATCTGGACGGAGATGAAAAACCTGTGAGTAATAAATTCATGAACCGTACAAATCATATGCAGGAGTGACGTGACCTTCCTTAAAATAATGCTCTGCTTAATAATCTAATCCATGTCGAGTAAAATCTAGTTTGTTTATTACCGATAATTAAATTGTCGTTTGTTTTCTAGAAATGTGAGAAATGCAAGACGCGACAGAAATGTCAAAAACAAATTAAGATTCATCGGTTTCCTAGAATATTAGTTATTCGTATCCTTTGTTGAACTATAATTTTTCAACTTAACCCACGGTAAACCTAATCGTATTCTGACTGGTAGTAATAATGGTATTGTTGTGGGAGGAATAGTGCCAATCCCAAGATAAGCTTATTTGTTTCCACATTGTATTGTCATATCAGTACATCTATATTTATTTTCTAAAAAAATTGTCTCCAATGGTTGTTTTCCATTACTCGTCCCATGCGGGTCGAGCGAATGGGAAACGGTTTGAATTGGCTTACAGAGTTGCAGTGGCAGTTGTAAATGACTGAATAGTAAAATCATACAATGAATTCATAATCGTGGAAATACTTAACTCAGTCTGTTCAGATTTAAAACGATTTTCTGGATTTGGATTCCGATCAAAACTCCAAACTGACGTGGATTTCCCGTTGAATCACTTGGATATGTCTAATTTTGCTTCGAAGTATTCACACGAATTCTCTAGTAAAGGTAACGGGAACTCTAGCAAAAGGGTAACGACAATTACGAGAGTGTAAACTCAGTATAACTTCTTCTTGTCACAAGGAAAAAGTGATAAAATTCCTGAGCTTTTTTCTTTAGCCGTTTCCTTGTAGTAAATGCTTGTCTTTTCTCTTATTTACACCTATAATTTTGGAAGACGTTTTTCCTGCCATTTCCGTAGACTTGTGCATGCGCTTGACGTTTGATCGCGGTGTTTTTTCCACCTCCATAGGCGCAACCTCGTTCCCAGGCTATTCCCATCGCCGTTGTGTTAACAAAGTTTAATTCCGCATCCATTCAGTACCATGCATATCTTGCACAGTGAACTCCATAGATATCTGGAGCGATAACTCGAGTCCAAAAAGTGGAGCCAGCTTCGTGATAAGGTTACAGAACACCTTTGAGTGTTAATTTTGCCTAAAAATTTTTTTATTGGTTTCCATGAAAGCATTAGACTAGTTCTACTATCTGACCAAGTTTGAACGAAAAATGTTGAAAACTCGCAAAGTTATTTAATTAAATACATTTCGCTGCAATAAGAAAAACATTGAAAATGTAATATTCAAATTCAATTTTCTCCCGAAAAATTTTACGGTAATTACTGATTTTCAAACGAGTTGTGCTCCTGCGGGTTTTAACCAATTTTTCTCAAATTTTCACAGGACATAGCTAACGACGTCAGTTTCAAAATTGTGTTCGGCTTTGTTCTAATTTTGTATATTTTAATAATAAAGAGCAATTCACTCAAACAATTCAGAAATATATTGCAGTCGTCAAAGAAATCGCCATATCAGCGGAATGACGAAATAAACAAAAATTTCCGAACACAATTTTTTAGAACTATTTTACTGTATAAAAATGATATTTTCATAAATATAACTTAAAACCAGCAGGAGCACAACTCAAAAGCGTAACGGTACCGCGATTTAAGATTTTCTTGAATAATTCTTACATTATTTTATTGTTTGTTAATTTTACAACTTTACCATATTTTGCATGCACTGGCGAACATTTGGTGAAAATTTGATTAAAATCGGACTGATATTGAGCGCGCAGTAGCAGTTTTCCGCAAAACGCCAAAAAGGGTGTCCTGTAACCTTAACCGCGCAGACCAAAACAATAGAAAGAACTGGAACTGACGTCCTATATACCTCCTCAATTTCTGCCATCTTGGCAAGGAGTGTGCCGAAATTTCTTATTTTGACTTCGATTTCAAGAAACTTGAAAGAATTAGAAAGAATTGCATTTATGGGAAAAATGGCATAAAAAACTGTTTACGACCTTCAGAGCTATTGGACGTCAATGGCCGCCATCTTGGCTTCATTTTTCTGACAGGCCGAATGACGGAAGTTCTTGCTCCAGAATAGATATATATATATAGATATATATAGAGAGAGCTCACTGCTCTTGCCTAGTTTGCTTTGGTTTCTCTTCAAATAGTTTAGTGTACGTGTATCTTACTAGATTCTTCCTGTGTCAAGTATAATTTGTTTGCTGTGTCGAATCATAGTGGTAGTGCATTTGGTGGTCATTACACAGCATATTGTAAACATCCTGAGTCTAAGGAATGGCATAGTTTTAATGATTCCAGGTATGTGATACGCGTTTCGAAAGCCCCGGTCAAACGAGAGAATTGGTTAGAGTTATTAAGCGAGTGTTTGCATGACAGGGTTTCCTCAACTCTCCGGTCAAACGAGAACAGGGGTTGCTCAGAGTTGATGAGAGCTTTCTCTACGCGCGCGGTAATATCCAGTCAACTCTCATCAACTTTTACCTCAAAGTTGGTGAGAGTCGATGAGAGTTAGCGGTGAAACGCGAGCGAGAGTAGCAACTCTCATACGTTCGACCGGGGCTTAACTTTACATCCATAGTGCTATTACCGTAACTCTAGCTCAGACGCACTCTTATGACCCCATGGCCGCCAAAGAACGTTATTAATAGATTAAAGAACCATGTTGTTCTTCGGAAAATGTGGTGTGTACATTTTCACTGAACTCTATATAGTGTTTTCAACGATGTTCATTGCTCACACTCACAGCCCAGTTATAATTGTAGTCCATGTAGACAGTGGCGGAAATCCACTTTTTCCGGGGGGGGGCAAAGCCTCCCAAATTTCCGACGAACCCCCCTATTTGCACTGGAAAAGGCCGTTTTTAGCCTTATTTAGATCAAAATTTCCGAAAATTCATCAATTTTCCGTGAAGGTGGGGGGAGGGGCGGTCGCCCCCCGCCCCACCGAGATTTCCGCCATTGCATGTAGAAACAAACATTTCTATTATTATTTTCCATTCCTGTAGAGTGGGTGCGTTATCTAGTTCCAGTGTCCGTGGTTCACAGGCGTATGTTCTCTTTTATGAAAGAGATGAAAGAGATGAAAGTTAGGTGTAGTTGATCTACACTCTGTGACGGTGTATGTTTGGATATACATTTTATTGTAATATAAATTTTAATATCAGTTTTAAGTAAGTAATCAATTCTTATCTAAAAATAATTAACCAAGTTTGTAAGTGTGTAACATAATTTATTATAACTGCATATAATAACGCCGTAGTGTATAGATCGACCTGAGGTCATTAAATTAATACTTGCATGTATAAATTACCATTCCTATATATAGGAATCTAGATGTCACAATATACTTAATATTTAAATTCAAGACAATCATGAAACTTTGATATTTATGAACGTCCTTTCGATAGTATTTATTTTATTACTACGACAGGATTTAATTAAATGTGTAGAAAAATGTGACTGTTGTGTATTTCTGAAATACTCCCTTGAAAAAGTATAGAGCGTTTGCACATGACGTCACAGCCGCCATGTTGGTGTCCAATTCAAAAGAATTTTAATTAGACTCTTTTGTCTGGAACACCAACCATGGCCTATCGAAGGGGAGATGGCTGTGAAACTCATTAGAATAACAATATAACTCATTATCTGTGTTAGTCAACGTGTATTCATATAAATATGGTCCACCGTCACGTGTCTATTGTATTTCTGCCAAATCCACCAATAGCAATTTCCAGTTTCCCTATTGTTCGAGTCACGGATAGGTGACTTTCCTAAAACATTGCTATTGGTTAGTTGGGTAAAAATACAATACTCACGTGACAGTGAAGGACCAGATTTATGAATAAACGTTGACCAACATAGAATACGAGTTATATTGTTGTTCTAATTGAGTTTCACAGCCATCTCCCCTTCGATAGGCCATGGACCAACATATGGCCGCCATGGCTTTTGTTGAGTTGGTCCCTGGGGAATGAGTGCAAACGCTCTATTATTATTATTACTGCATGGAGCCCAGTTAAAAATACGTTTTGCAATAATGTACAGTAGTCCACATAAAAATATTAAACATTTATAATAACTTTGCTTATATATTTTTCGAGGGTTCTTTTTAATTGTGTACGCAATAAGAAACTTATTTCCCAGCAGCTCATGCACAGTGATTGCCCACACTCCAACTGTATATGAATTGTAACTTAAAAACCAATGTCCTATAACCGTGGTCCTATACGCCTATAATGTAAACCACCCGGTATTACAAAGTTAGCTGTCATGGTTTGTGTTTGAACTACCTGAAAGAATGACAAAAAAGGAAAACGATTTTAAAATCATTTTCAGGTTCAGACACGGAACAACATTTACTGCAGAACACTACACTCATGAATTCAATCGATTCGACACTTTAGAATAAAATAAAAATAGCAAAACATGGAAATTTCCTGGGTCTCGGAACTTTACAGACTTATTTGTTCTGCGTTCATATCAGACCGAAATCCGTCAGGCGAGTTTCCCCTGTCGTCTTAGACGGAAATGCGTCTTTTAATATGAATTCAGCTATTTTTATAACATATTAACCGACAACATCGTTTTCATAAGTTGGCATAATTTATTTACAACTATTGTATAGAGGAGCATTTTGATTAAACGCCACTCAAGATAGCAATGACAGTACTTGATCAGGAGTTCGTACTACGATTGATTTCGGATCTGTATATTTATTAAACGGATTCAACACAGCATCGTATATTTTTCTGTACGCAACACACACCAGATCACTGGAACGTTTATTCACGGTATCCCTACAGTAGATAAAATTATTTGTGACCCCAACAACCTCGTAGCGAGGGGAGAAAAGATCTTGGTAGACGCTGGTCACGTGATCTGCTACACGCGTTAAAATTATGAGCCTGCTGTTTTAATAACAGGATTGAACAATGTTGTGCGGCCCACATTGTTCACACTTGTCAACAATATTGAACAATATTGTCGAGCCTGAATCGGGTGTAACAATATTGTTCAATATTGTTGACAACTGTGAACAATGTAGGCCGCACAACATTGTTCAATCCTGTTTTCATCAATATTGCAACAACCTGATCGTTTTTAGCTGTGTAAAATCATGGATTGTAAAATAACTGGATAGGAAACTTCCTGACGTCATCGACTGCATCCTTGTTGAAAAACGTGACGTCACGCGTATTGCGAATGTTACCAAAGTTCTCGGCATTTTTGTTGTTTTGCTATATTTTCCACTTTAAAAGGGTGATATTGAGATTTGAAGCATAAACTGGTCTAATTGTTTTAAAAACATGCCTAAGCCACGACAAAGTATTCAAGGTAAATGTTTTTCGTCTTTGTTTTGTATTTTTTACATTTGTAGCTACGAAATTAGCGTCACAAATTTGCGATGTATTTTTCACTGTTTAGTGCTTGAAATATTTGCTAAAATTGATTGGGAATACTTAGAGTTTTCATCGTAGAATGGCGTGGTTATATTTATTTGCTCTTTGACTAAAATGTTCAGCTGTATTATTGCTAAACATGCCGTTTTTGAGAATTTGGTTTTCAACTAGGTTGAGGCATCTAACCACGCCATCAACCCATTGAAAACATTAGGTCACGTCAGCTAGTTTCCTATCCATTTATTTTATTATCCATGGTAAAATCTAGCAGATTTTTAATTAGCAATCCAAGATAAGATCAAATATTTTATATTTGGATGATTTGTATAGTTTAATTTATAATTTGCATTTTGTATGATTCTCGTAAAGGAATCCAAGATATTTAATTAAAAATCTGCTAGATTTTAGCAGATCACGTGACCAGCGTCTACCAGGGTCTTTTCTCCCCAAGAGGAAAGACCCTGGGTACGAGGTTGGGTCGCCAAGAGGTTGCCGGCGGCCTGGGGCAAAATTTTTCCAGAGGGCATATGACGTCATAAGGGGTCCAATATGACGTCATAATTGTTGTATTAGCGATTTTAATTGGAATCGTCATCATAATCTGTAAAAACAACACGGCCTATCAAAAGAACTATTAGAGAGCTTTAGATTTTACTACCAGTGTGACTACGGCATTCGTTTATTTGGATACGCCATATTCTTACGCCGTCAAGTATACCGACGCCTTTTAAATCTCGTAGCCGTGGCCAAATTGACAACGGGATTTTTGAAAAGTCGCGTGGTAAAACAAGCACATACTACGAGTTAATCGCGTGCGTACGTAATGGCGTAAGAAGACACAAGAGACCCAGGCTCTATTTGCCCGCACCCGCCTGTGACTTCCTTATAATGATGGAAGGAAGGTAAGATTGAGACCAAAATAGCCCAGACTCGGCATACATGTCACACAAAACTATCCTCGACTTTTCGCCTTTAATGCATTTCTTTCAAGATTAATCAATATCCCCCGCAAGAATGATAAATCAAAGAGCTTAAATTCGCTCTAAAATCCGTGAGGGAATGACGAAATTTGGCCAAAATATATCCGCGTGCCAGGCTTGCTGGACAAAAACCGGAAGTCGTTGAACAACTCAAAATACACTCAACCCTGATTGGACAACGAATATTAACAAACATTTCAAATTTTTCTCCACTGGGAGGGGGACAGTAGTGTAATAATTTGAATCAAAACAATTAACAAACGTTGTCGGGGGAAAACCAGTGCAAATTTATTTATTTTATTTATTTAAATTTAGATGTTTAGTCAGTAAATACGGATAGTTTACCCTATTTTGGTCTCAATCTTTCCTTCCTTCCCTCATTATAAGGAAGTCACAGGCGGGCGCGGGCAAATAGAGCCTGGGCTCCTGTGAAGAAGATGGCGAGCATGGGCAAACAACGAATCTCGTAGTCGTACTCGTAGTAAAATTTAAAGCTCTCTATTCGACCCATAGATATCTTATATACACTAGATAGCGCATCTATATAATTATTCTGCAATTCAAAAATTGAAGCCGTGATTGCATATTCCCATGAAATGAGAGGACTCGTATGTTCTCTATTTCTTAAACAGGGAACTTAAACATTAAGTTAATTAAACCTATTCCAAATACATTTTCAAACTATTCAAATGATGAAAGTTATTGTTGTTTTTTAAGCGTTACTTGGCGAGCGGGAAACTCCAACATGGCGGCCATCTATTCAAATGGAGGTAACCGCTGGAATATTCTTGGCTTCAATTTTACTAAAAGAGATGCGCTATCTAGTATATATTAAGCCTGTTTTCCACTAGGCGGAATTTTGCGCGCGGAGCGGAATCTTTCTTTGTCTTTTCTAATTAGTTCCACCCGAGAAATCACAAGACAAAGAAAATTTCCGCTCCGCGGCAAAATTCCGCCTAGTGGAAAACCGGCTTAAGATATCTATGATTCGACCGCACACGTACTTTGCTTATGAAGATTCAAAATGCGATATCTAAAAAAGGTTTGTGGAAAACTGTACACGTAACTTTGTTTAGTCGGGCAGAACAAGAAACGTTTTATAGGTAAACGCCCACCAAACCTATTTTTTCTTAACTCATGCATTTCAGGCTTTCTTCGCTGAAATTTGATAAAACTACGTGCAATGTACCAGAACGCATGCCTATCATGTGATGTAACCTTATGTATACCGTCTAACGTCAAGTATAATGAAATACGCTATATATGGACAAAGACGAAATGTTTGTAACATGCATGTATAAAACAAGCAGCGTAATAGCATTCGTGTAATCTAAATTTTGAAAGTTAGACTTTGAGTGTAAAACCGTTTGATAGTATATATAGTACCTTAAACGTGTGCTTCTGAGAAGATCAACTTGAGGTAACACTAAACTGTCCGGGGACGAAAGATATTTGTCAAATTTACTCTGCAAAATAAAAATATGTATTAAGGTGTACTACCAAATTAAAATAATTGCGTATTTACAATACAAGCGTGCGTCTGCTTTCTTGCAAGATTTCAGCAAGTGTTGTCACGGGAATCAGATGATGGTTCCCAGAGTATGCCTGCTCCTGACACTTCCAGGAGCAAACAAATCATATATCTCACATGTTTATTTACTTGCCACCACTACAAGACATCTGATGAAAAGAAGAGTACTTTTCCGCTGACTGAGGCACCAAAGAAGTGGAAAATCTGCCGGTTTTCCACTAGGCGGAATTTTTCCTGTGTTTTCTAATTAGTTCCACCCGAGAAATGACAAGACAAAGAAGAATTCCGCTCCGCGCGCAAAATTCTGCCTAGTGGAAAACCGGCTTGAACGACTGGGGGGGGGGGGCGATGGAAACTACCGACCCACCCTTTGTTATTAAGAAAATTTAGGTGGAACGGACAGCTTAGATTATGATGTGTATTTGTTTGTAACAAAGCGAGCAATGTGTGATTAATTAAGGCCGTTTTCCACTAGGAGGAATTTTCCGCGCGGAGCGGAATTTCTCTTTGTTAGGGCCTGTTCATATGGGCAAAAGTTATCCCGGTTAACGAGAGAACTTTTCGACTAGCCAAATACTTTTGTTCTGTTCATATGGAGAAATATTATCCCACTTACCGGGAAAAGTTTCCGGCTGTAGGTAGGTAGGTAGGTAGGTAAAACTTTATTTAACTACGCTAACCCCTACAGCGAAGGCTGATTTCCAAGGGGGCGTAGATTTAAATAGTTAAAAAATACAATTAATACAAATTATGGTCATACATTACATTACATTACAGTTAGCAACAATTACAATACATTTACAAATACAACTAGTATACAATTATTTACAAATTAAATTAATGTTAGTACTGTTCAATATTTTAAATTAATGTAATTATTTTATTAATTAATTAATTGGCCAGGTGTCGTATACATGAATTAAACGAAGCACTGAACATCAATTGAATTGAAAAGTTGCTGACACGACAAAAAGTTATCCCGCTAAGCGGGAAAGTTGTGTTCATATGGGGAAAACATTATCCCGGTCACCAAGATCTCGCTTGTCAACAAGCGAGATCTCGGTACACGGGAAAACTTTTCGTCTCATATGAACGCAATGTAACTTTTCATATTATTTTCGTAACAAGGCGAGATCTCGCTCGTAAACTTGTCGAAAAGTTTTCTCGCTAACCGGGATAACTTCTGCCCATATGAACAGGCCCTTAAGCCGGTTTTCCACTAGGCGGAATTTTGCGCGCGGAGCGGAATTTTTCTTTGTCTTGTGATTTCTCGAGTGGAACTAATTAGAAAAGACCAGGGCGCTTATATAGGCGCTAGACCTCTACAGGGTGTCCCAAAAAAACGAAAATTATTGAAATCACCAATAACGATTTAATTGTTAGAATTTGAATGACTAAGCACTCTGTTGGTTCCCACGAGTGCATAAATGATTGACGTAAGTAAATTTTATGCATACAGAAACTATTTAAGAAGCTGCTTTAAATTCCCAAAAGCAGAAAATCGCGCACTTTACAAGGAGATGTTCTTAACTAAATTTTAATACATGCACCTTGTCAATATTTTACGCATCATTACGTTCAGCTTTTTGGTAGGGCATTCAAAGTGATTTCAATAGTTTTCGTTTTTCTGGGACACCCTGTATATAAGCGCCCTGGAAAAGACAAAGGGAAATTCCGCTCCGCGCGCAAAATTCCGCCTAGTGGAAAACGGCCTTTAGTTCCACCCGAGAAATCACAAGACAAAGAAAAATTCCGCTCCGCGCGAAAAATTCCGCCTAGTGGAAAACGGCCTTTAAGACCAGATTCCACGAGGCGGAATTTTTCGACCGAAACGAAATTTCTCTTTGTCTTTTTACAATTAGTTCTGCTCGAGAGCTCATGAAACAAATAGAAATTTCGATTCGGTCGAAAAATTTCGCCTAGTGGAAAACCGCCTTTAGTTCCACCCGAGAAATCACAAGACAAAGAAAAATTCCGCTCCGCGCGCAAAATTCCGCCTAGTGGAAAACCGGCTTAAATTAGTTCCACCCGAGAAATCACAAGACAAAGAAAAATTCCGCTCCGCGCGAAAAATTTCGCCTAGTGGAAAACAGCCTTAAGGCCTGATTCCACGGGCGCTTTATCTCGGCAAAATGCGAAATATTTCGCCTGTTTCTTTTGAATTGTGAGCAATCAAGTGGAAATAATTTATTCGAGTAGTCGCAATTCAAAAGAAACAGGCGAAATATTTCGCATTTCGCCGAGAAAAAGCGCCCGTGGAATCAGGGCTTTAAATGTCAAGCTTGCGGCCGATGCTGCATGCCAGCTCCCAGCGAATGAAATATTTTTTAACTATAATAACTACCGACTGACTGAATGTAACAATTGTGTATGTATTTACTCCGGTGAAATTATTTGAAATTATTATGCTATTCTGAGTATGTCCTCACCGGCGGCAAGTATAAATTTTTCATCTTGCCCGGTGTGGACAAAAATAGAATACTGAATAGTGAAACCCACCTACAACATATCTCATTAATAACCGCGTTGGCAATAGTCATATACTTCTCTAAGGCACCGGTCATTAATTACAGGGGAGGGGGGGGGGCTGGTGGAAATGAAAAATTAGATGCTAAAATTAATCCCCCCCCCCCTTGATGATAACACAATTATACATGACCCCATGGCGCATTCGTAATTTAAAGTTCTTATAAAGTGAAGCTACATTTGATCATACTGCCCCATCATAGTTGCCAACATTGGGAATAAAACATCCGTGAGATTTTGCTTTGGGGGGACCCACAAGGTGCCACCATAGTTGGCGTCGAGCAGAAAAATTTGAAAATATGGAGTCTCTAGATCGTTGGAAATGGCATTTTCAGAGTCTTCTAAACCTTATACACACAAGTTTTGGTAGCTTTTCTTTAGATATACAAAACCATATTGTTGAATACCCATGCCGGTACGAGGTTGCATGAAGTGATGTTTTGATTATCTATTTTTGGCTTAATGGCGTGAATTTTTTCAGAAGAAAAAAGTTTGATGTAATTTGACGCAAATGAAGTCACTTTTAATGGTTAAAATGTGCAAAAAAGCCAACATATTTAACTGAGAACCAGTTGGGTTATATTCGAAATCTGATCACTGTGAGGTTTTAGTAAAATCTGCGATGGTGATGGTAGATCTGTGAGAGTTGGCAACTATGCTCTATATACATGTATCGTAATTTATATATTCTTTACCATTTATATATTGAGTCAACGGCTGTTCCAATGTACATGTTTACGTTGAAATCAGTTTAATAAATGGTGTTGTGTTGGAGTTTACTACAGTTCTACTACTCTCTATTTTTATCTGTAGGTTTTATGGTACAACATGGTCATGCGGGGCAGGTATTTATACTGCACAAAAATTTTTGCCCCCCCCTTTTCGTGCACGAAAATACCTGACCCCCTCGTTTTCCACCAGCCCTCCCTCCCCTGTAATTAATGACCGGTCCCTAAAATACCTGAAATCCACTTCAAAACACGAGTCGAGATAATAGTAGACATATACGTCTATGCCTCCAAAGAATTTCTATACACATCAGCAAAGCACTCACCATACAGTCTTTAATGCTCTGTGCGTCCATTCCGCTCACTGTTGATAATGGGACCTAGAAAATATGGGGACATTATTTAAAAGTGTGGTCGCGGAACTGCCTGAAAAAGTTTTCCCTTCGTCCCTTCAGTGGCACGATTACAAAACATTGCGGTTCAAACGTGGCCCGAAGACTTATACTGTTTAAATAAGCATAACTGAAAAAAAGTATTATAAAAAAATGAAATCTAAAAACCTAATATAAAACCTAATGAATAAGCTTTGACATCTCAGTTACATATTAAGCCATATATTAAAAGATCGGCTGTATATCTAGTGCTTGTTCACAGTAAAAATTGTTGGTTTCAGATACAATAAGGTATAACCTTTGTTTTCCGGCGTTGATATTTTGATCGTACCCGGCCGTGTTATTCAACACACTTTCGCTATTTCAAATCACTTTAGTAAACTCGTGCTGACGTCATGTGCAAACGCTCTATATTGTGTTAAAGAGTTTGTTCTTTTAAATACATTTTACAAAATCGATAAACAGAAATGTGGGTTTTTTATCTGAATTGGGTAATTGGGTTTTCTGTCGGAGGGGATTTTGTCGTCGGGGGTTTTGTCATGTGGAGGTTTTGTCATGAATTCGCGTAATTAGCCCATTGTATAATTTATGCAAGATACATAAGTCTCCGTGGTGCCCTCTAGTTCCTTCTGCAATCACGGTCTTGATCATGTTACAGTCATGGTTACAGTCATGGTTACATCTTGGCTCTGGCATCTGATTCAATACCTTGGTGGTATGTGAAGGATCCACATATCACGAAATTATTGAACCTGATTACACTTCATATAATCCGTATATACCGTCTCAAAATTTGCCAGCGTCACATCCACCAATTAAAGTTGTATTATATTGATGACAAAGTATTTGTGAACATTGACATTGTACGTTATTGCCATCTCCACAGAAAGCTCGATCCAATCTTTATGTTCCCCATTAACTTTCAATATCCTAATAATGCTGTCAGTGAACTTGGTCTCATCTTAAACCTAATCTATTGTAAAACAATATAGTAACTGTTCATTTCGTTTAGATTGCTACATGCCGTTGTCGTCCTGGCATCTGCTAAAACATTCTTATAGCAAAAGCAATAAATGGTACCATATTTGCACTTTGCTATTAGGGAGCACTAACCAACCCACCATAGCATGGCCCCATTGCCTTAAATGAGTAAACTGTGCCTGTGTAGTTTGATGCCATCAAAAAATTTTAATTCATGCATGTTTATCGTAAAATAGACTAGACCATAGCAGCAGTAATAATTGAAATAAGTATTTTAACTAGAATACCCCTTGTACTACCCGTCGCAGTTAAATGTAAAATAAACTTTATTTCTAAACTATAAACTATAAAATATAAGTTGAAAGTCGTTATAAACGTGTTTTTCGATTCGATTCATGAAACCAACAAAAAGCGTCTCGTTTGCGCATGTCTGACATATTGTTCGCTATGACAAAAATAGCGGCGACAATTTAACCGTTCACAACACTCCCGGGGTTGATCAATAAAATTGATCAATTAAACTAATACTAAATTAATGTTAACGTTAATCAATGTACGTGTCAACGTCCATCACGAACTAAGTTGTCTTCTTACGATTTCGCCAACTACAGCTGCCTTACGTCTCGGTGTTCGTCTTTGTAGTTGGTCGTTATCTTTTATTTCTGTGTTCTGCTGATCCGCACGGCTCTGGACACCGTTGTCATCCGTCGCACTTGCCTGTACTTCGAGGGGAATCAAATACTGTATTGGTCGCCGTAATGTGATCCGTTTACCGCTTTCACCGTTAACCATAACTTTAGCTGACCGTACTGTACCATCGCTACTGGGAAGCAACATTTCCACTTTAGCCAGTTTCCAAAATGTGCGTCGTGAATTGTCATTCCGTAAAATTACCATATCTCCAACTGCTATTTGCACATTGCTGTTTGGTCGAATCGATTTGAACGATTCTCTTAAACTCAACAAGTATTCTGTTCTCCATTGTTTGATAAACTGGTTTAAAACGCGTTGATGGTACTTTGCTCGCTTGGTGAGAGACTGATTTGTGCTAATAATCTCGTAATGCTTGTCATTTGGAGCGCTTGAAATTTGTCGTCCGTAGATCAAATGCGATGGTGTGAGTGCGTACGATATTCCCTGTTCGTCATCATACATAAACGTCAACGGTCTATTATTAAGGGTGCTTTCAATCTCGACTAGTAGGGTGCGTAGTTCTCCAAAAGATAACGAAGCGCGTCCGATAGCTTTCTTTAGACAACGTTTAACACTTCGCACCATCCTCTCCCAGAATCCACCGTGCCAGGGAGCTTTCTCAGTAATAAACTCCCATGTTATTCTTCTATTGACAAAATAACGATTTACTTCTTTCGATTCTCCAATCATCCTCACTTCTTTTGATGCCAACTTAAATGTTTTTGCATTATCCGTCAAGACCTTCGTTGGCAGTCCTCTACGACTTGAAAAACGTCTAAACGCTTGAAGAAAGGTAGCTGCTGACATGTTTTCTACTAGTTCTAAATGCATAGCCCTCGTAGATGCACAGGTAAAGAGCGCAATGTATACTTTGTCTTGGTCGTTGCTGTTAATTGCTCCAGACGATTTTTTTACGCAAACTGGACCAGCGAAATCTATACCGGTATTAGAGAAGGGTGGTTCTTCGCTTACTCGACACGCTGGGAGCTGCGGAGCTTTAGGTGTTGGGAAGGGTTTCGCTTCGATCTTTCTGCACACGACACATCTTCTTACTATTCGCTTCACTGCTTCTCTACCTCGTTGGATCCAATATTTCTGACGAATCGAGTTGAGAGTGTCTCGAATGCCATTGTGGTGTACAACTTCGTGCTGCTCTTTGATAAGTAGCTCTTTGAAATAATGTGTTGCTGGTAGGAGAATCGGCTGTTTGGATTCTTTTTGTTGAGACGAATTTCCAATCCTTCCGTCACATCGTATTAAACCATCGTCGTCGCGGAACAAACCCAATTGAGAGACCACGGGTGTCGGAGTTTTTGACACTCCTTTAAGGTAATTTAACTCGTGTTGAAATTCGTGTTCTTGAACGGTCTGGATCCATCGTATTTCGGCTTCCTGTAATTCTTGCGCCGTCAACTCAGCACTTTCGAATTTGTGTCGAGGGTTTCTCCATCTTTTCACATATCTTATTACCGTTGCTGTTACTCGTAACAGTTTCAATTTAGTGCTATATCGATTTATGTCTATTATATCGCCGATATCGAAACTTTCATGATCGTTGTTGATTGATGGATTCGCCATTGAGTACACGATGGTTGGTGAGGTCTTCTTGATTTCAGCTAATGCTTTCTCCTCGTTATCGATGTAGCTTTGTTGTGGCTCTTGAGGCCAGTACTCGGGTGAATGATTCAAAAACTCGGGACCTTTCCACCAACTATGGTTTCTAACTAGTTCCTCTGCAGAACAACCTCTTGAGGGTAGATCGGCAATATTGATCTCTCCCGGACAAAATCTCCATTTCTCTCGGTCGAAAAGTTCCCTGATTCCCTTCACTCTGTTTTGAACATAAGGCTTCCATGTTTTGTCATTACGAATCCAACACAAAACGGTGTAAGAATCGCTCCACAAGAACACTTCAGGAGGCGTTTTTAGAGAGCTCATCGCTTCTTTGACAGATTTGACAAGTCTAACTAAAATAGTTGCTCCAAGCAACTCTAAACGAGGTATAGACTGACGCTTTATTGGAGCTACTCGTGTCTTGGACGCCACTAGATTAATTTCAATATCGCCATTTGCGTGTTCTGTCCGAAGATAAACAACTGCTGCAAATGCTTTGTTGGATGCATCAGAGAATCCATGTAACTCGTGTTTCACAGGGGGTTCTTCCTTTCTTGTGAAATAACATCTCGGAACTTTGATATCTTTCAAGCTGTTTAAGTTATGTACCAATCTTTTCCATTTTTCCAGTAGCTCTCCCTTTAACTCATCGTCCCAATCCACCTTTGCTAAGCATAACTCTTGAAAGAAGACTTTCATTTTAATTGTGAATGGGGTTAACAGTCCGATGGGGTCGAAAATTTTGGCAGAGAGCCGAAGGACTGATCGCTTTGTAGCAGGTAGGGTAGTGGCATCTTTCGACCATTTAACATAGTCATGGAAAAGTGTGTCCTCGTCAACATTCCAGGGTATTCCTAGAACCTTTGCTGGGTCGTTTCTTGTTTTGCATTCCTGATCACTCCCGGGGATATTATTTGCTTTATCGTTGCTTTCGTGTTGGTTTTCAGCTCTATCTGTTGCTATCTTTTCTTGCAAGTGTTTGGAATTCGTATACCATTTTCGTAAGGTAAAACCCCCCGAACTCATTAACGTCTGGGATTTCTCGTAGACTTCACCTGCTTCATTATCGTCGAAAGCACCACCAGCGAAGTCATCTACATAAAATGATTTCCGCAGCAAAGACACCATTTTGGGTTCCTTTTCTTCATTCACAGTGAGATGATGCTGCAGTACGGACGTTAGAGTGGGCGCCATGTACTGCCCGTCGCAGTTAAATGTAAAATAAACTTTATTTCTAAACTATAAACTATAAAATATAAGTTGGAAGTCGTTATAAACGTGTTTTTCGATTCGATTCATGAAACCAACAAAAAGCGTCTCGTTTGCGCATGCCTGACATATTGTTCGCTATGACAAAAATAGCGGCGACAATTTAACCGTTCACAACACCCCTCGTTCAAGGTCTATAACTGATAAATAAACCAAGAATACTTAACTATAGAAACATTTGTGAAGCATATTGTAATTTAGCTGTCTAAGCTACTAAATGTATATCCTACAAAAATATTAATAAAACTGTTTGTATATCGGCTGGAAATGCTAACGTTGTATACATAACATGAAAATATGTATTTTGCTAAAGTCTTGTAAGAATTTTGATTTATATTCATTTCTTTTGTGCTATATGGAGTGTCGTCCTTGCGCTTGCTCAAACGTCCTTACAGCAAAAACCATGGCACATTTCCTTCAATAAGTAGACAGTAGTTCTTCAGTGTTCTTGATGTATTTTGACGTCATTCAATGAGATCATCGACAACCAGGTAGTGGTTGTTAACCACTACCTGAGAAGGAATATATCATTCCTTTTGTAACCATTGCCTGAGTGTCAATTATCTTATTATCATGAGAGATAAGAAATCACGAGAACCACTACCTGAGAAGGAATATATCATTCCTTTTGTAACCATTGCCTGAGTGTCAATTATCTTATTATCATGAGAGATAAGAAATCACGAGAACCACTACCTGAGAAGGAATATATCATTCCTTTTGTAACCATTGCCTGAGTGTCAATTATCTTATTATCATGAGAGATAAGAAATCACGAGAACCACTACCTGAGAAGGAATATATCATTCCTTTTGTAACCATTGCCTGAGTGTCAATTATCTTATTATCATGAGAGATAAGAAATCACGAGAACCACTACCTGAGAAGGAATATATCATTCCTTTTGTAACCATTGCCTGAGTGTCAATTATCTTATTATCATGAGAGATAAGAAATCACGAGAACCACTACCTGAGAAGGAATATATCATTCCTTTTGTAACCATTGCCTGAGTGTCAATTATCTTATTATCATGAGAGATAAGAAATCACGAGAACCACTACCTGAGAAGGAATATATCATTCCTTTTGTAACCATTGCCTGAGTGTCAATTATCTTATTATCATGAAAGATAAGAAATAACGAGAACCACACCGAAGAAGGAACAATCATTACAATTTAACCATGGCATCTCGTTTAGTATCTTTGTAGGTTCAGATTAAAATTTATTCTGCCATGGTCACGTCCATCATGGGCATAGAATGATTTATTGATTTGTTAATGAGGAACATATAGAATGGATCGAGCTTCCAGTCAGGATGCCAATCATGGACACATAATGATATGCCATGAAACAAACGTGACATAGATTGTCCGCTTGATCCATGCTAGATGTTTTTCATCAACATTCAATATCCTAGTCCTGTCAGTAAACTTGAACTCAGTCCATCTCCCAGACACAATGATTCAAGGTCGTGGACAAATGATGAAGCGAGTTGATCGTTCCTCTTTCGTTGCTGGCTCTAATTCACTCTAATTCATTCTCTCTTCACTTGAGCCACCATTACGTGTTTTGCTGATCAAATATCACCCATTGAGAATTTCAGTTCCAATATCAAGGTCATCGGTTAGCCATTAATAGAGGTCTACCGGGGCCACGCCTCTCGTATTTTCAAGGGATTACAGACAAAGAAATCTTTAAACCAATTAACTTATAGCGACCTATTACCAGAAAGTATGGGGATGTCCCACGCCCATAAAGCACCAGATAGTAAGCCTGCCAATGACTATTCATCCCTTTCCCAAAGACCTTTGGAAATCTGTATCTTACCAACAAATTCTGAAAAGGATGGGTTGTCAACCAAATAACACACATATATCTCATACCATTCACCGTTCGAAACCAGTAAAGCCTTGACGAAAGCCACCGATTGAGCAATACCGCCAACAAAAGCTACTGCAATTCCAACAAAAACAATGACAGCAGTATCTATGCACAAATACACGTACGCTTAGCGTATTTAATCTTCAATAAGTTTGTAACCATGATTGTCAGATCATTGACAACAAGAGAGTTGTCTGTCATCTACCCAATCTTGGCGCTGACATCTTGTTATTAATTTTGTGGTATATGAAGGATTCGGTCAAATTTCATAGATCGATTATTGCTCCAGCAGTTAAACTCTTTCATTTGCGTCGTCTGGGTAACAGTATCGCACATGACGTCACCAAAATGTGAATATTCACGATTCATATTTATTACTTTTCATGCAACAACGTGACTAAACTTGTGAGTGAAAAATAAGCAAGCGTTGCCCTCATCAATGTTTATTTGGCTGAGAATTTCGTTACTTCTACTTGTCCTTGCAGACACGGCTTCCATAGAACACTACAGACTTCTATCCTCACATTCTAATAACAAGGTGTTCATCCTTTGGTGAAGGTGAAATTCAAGGCCCTTTTTCAGTAAATTCAAGGACCTAGAACTGGGCAAAATCTTTGAAAATGGCACGGATTTGCCGTAAATAATTCACTTTATTCAGTAATTTTAATCATAATCACTTCAGGACTTTCAAGGACTTTTACTCATTTTCAAGGACTTTCCAGTCCAGGACTTTGTGCATACAGTATTATTAATTTACTGCAAAAGAAAACGATATTTTTGTTGTTTTTCAAAGAAAATCGCAGTATAGGATTTTTCTATTTTGCTGTTAGATACACGAAAAACATGTGTGATATTACCCTGGTTGTTTTCCAGTTACACGAAGTAACAGGATATAGAGTGATTATTGTAGATAAAACTAACAGAAGCTAAACGTTTCTAAATACACTGTATCTGCTTCAGAAAACCTAAAAACACGAAATTCAAGAATAAAAAAAGCCAAAACCTAAAAACTCACTCCAGCCACCTCTCTTACCTTTTTCACTTATATATACAAGGGAAGTTTTCACTGATTTTCACACACAAACCGTGCACGAACCTTTTGAGCTGGTTGATCTTGAATCATATTATAGATATTTCCAATACCAGATCTTTCAAGAATAAATGAAGCTTGTTCACTGACCAAAGTATCTTGGTGCGCTTCTGTCTGTAAAATTAATAAAGAGGAGACTAGGCATGTAACTTATATATCGTTTGCGCCTCTTTTCAGTTAATTTTGGGAAGTTCTGAATGGTCACTTTCTGCACTTTTAGAGTGACATTCTTGCAAAGAGAAAAAAAAGAAAATCCTATACACTGAATGTTCAGTAATTATTATTATTTTCCTTCAATTTCTTCCTTCCTCTCCCCATACCCCGACAGTTTTCCGCGCACCCACCACCAGAGGGGGGAAGCAACTGGTAATTACACACACCCCTGGGGCCAGTTGTTTAAAAGCCGGTTAGATTAACCCTGGGTTAACGTGAAATCCGAAGCACACTTCCCAGCAGCTTGTTTATAAACTTAGAAATATTTTTCCAGAAAACTTGTCTGGATCATCAGAAGTTTAATTTTCTAAAGTTTTGAAATAAACAAACGTACAGGTATACATAAACCAAAGCAATGGGTTAAATTTAGGGGCCACGTCCATATTCATGTTGCCACGCAAAACGTCAGATTGATGTTTTGGTGCTAACCCCCCTTTTGGTGCCCCTAGTGAAAACGTCAAGCGTGTCATTGCCAGATTTATTACCTAATAAAGAACCAAGCAGACCAGACCAAGAATACATCGACATCTATCAGAAACTGATTTCAATACTCGCCACTTGTATATTCCGTGATAATTCCGTATATTCACAGCTTGATAGAAACATTTCTTAAGAATATTCAACAATTTTTTTGAAAATATTGTTACTTACCTCTGGAAAAGAAATAAAAATGCAAACAAATCGTTTTGTTTTCAAGTTGCTGCCGCCGCCATCTTGGGAAACCCAAAAATAGCCGCGCGGCGGATAAAAATGTTGGCGGAAATATTTTCGGCGAATGTTTCACAATTTCAGCGGTAAAAGCTCTTGGAAACTAATTTCGGCGAAAAGATACGAGTAACATAAAATAAAAGTACAAAAAGTCCACAAAAACGTAAGTTCTAACAAAATTTTTATATTGTCACGGAGAAAACGTCACACCATTAGAAAATTTACCCACCCACCCAAACGTGGCAACATGAATATGGACGTGGCCCCTTAACCCACGGTTAGCGCGAACCGTGCCTTGAACAACCAATCCCTGGTCTTGTTATATTCCTAATGAGGACCCGTTTTTTGTGCGGGATTAGGCGGGAACTGCAGCAGTATATGAATCGACCTCGCAACCCTACCCGACATATACATACCGATACTTATAAGTAAGTTACCTGTGCTGCAAGCATTTCAATGTGTTTATCCGTAAACTCATACACAGCTAACGTTGTCTGCATTTGATAAATACAGTTGACCATATAGGCAGCCATATCACATGCACTTAAATGACTTGCGGACATTGTACACATCTGTAGTAATGGATCAATGAGACAAGAGATAACCTAAACAAAAATGAAAAAGACAATCTGAATAACGAAATATATGGAACTTGTATTAGCACAAGTAGCTGATAAAGATGGATGTTTGACTATTAATTTTCAATTCCTCTTAGATTTTTAAAATTGACTGTCAATGAGGAGGTTAGGAAACATTACGAAAAAACATTTCATCACATTTTACTTTATTGCACTTCACTTTATTTCATTTCACTTCACTTCATCACATTTCATTTCGTTTAACTTTATTTCATTTCATTACATTTCATTTAACTTCACTTCATTTCACTTTATTACATTTCATTTAGCTTTAGTTCATTTTATTTCACTTGCTTATCACATACTAGTACCTTTAATATTGACTACGGTAATGGAGCTAAAGTATATTATATAATATATATGAGGCCAAAAAAGAAATATCTGGGTTTCCTATTTCTCGTTGCAAAAACTTAGATTGGGTAGGTCGGGTTTTCTTTTTTTTTAAATTTTTTTTATAAATGCTCATGCATGAGAGCGATATTCTACGTCAATTATGGCAGCACAGATGGAACAAACTGTTATCAACTTTGAAAGAAACAGGTTGTACTTTATATAGATAGTACAAAAGATCAGGGTCGTTGATTTCAGCGGCCAAAAGCTAGGTAGGGTCGGGAAACCGGAAAGCGAAGTCCCAGGTATTTTTTCTTTGGCCTGACTGAAAAATCATTTCTTCCATAGCCGAGGAGGACTATTTTCCTAGTTCAAAAATAAAAATTGCAGGCCATAATTTATTTGAAAACAACTCAATCACAATACTAGATTCCCCTTATTACGTTTTCGTAGCGCTTTGCATTGTGGTTATAGTACTATCACTGATATTCAAGATGGCTTATTTTTGCCCTGACCCGTGCAAGAACTTTTAAAAAAAGCTAGGGTCAGGTGCGCGATAGCCAACAGCAAAATATTCGCGAGGCCACTATCTTTATCAGTGATACCACTATAACCACAATGCAAAGCGCTACGAAAACGTAATAAGGGGAATCACAATTGCCACTGCATACTGTACCTTTGAGTAATCCCCTTGCCTAGCATCAAGCGGAACGACAGACGCATCATGAGACGACAGAACTTCACGCAGCAAAGACAAGGTTTCATTCAGAGAAGCTGTTGCCCCAAGATCTGACGGCGGGATTTCAACCTAGATGAAAACAAATTTTAAAACGTAACTTTAAGAACTTATTCTTTCAAGTAGTCATACGAAAACTAGTCATATGAAAATAACGTGGGGAGTAGAGCTTGCATTACACAACTAAAATTTGTCCTCCAAAGGTCAAAACTCAGAGAACCTCAATCTATAAGCACGAAAAGTACAATGGGCGTGTATATCCTTTCTTATTTTTCATCCTACTCGGTTTCCTTTGTTCCTATCGGGGAATATATTCAATATATTCCCCTCTAATCAATTTCCGTTTAATAATCCCCTCTAATATTCACCTGCAATGTCTTTAGAGCACAAAAAAATGAGAAAAAACAACATCACGAAGGCAATATTAAAAATTATTTCTATTCTGACTCATTAACGCGACCTCGCAATGTGAAAAGTAAGTACGTTAATTTGGCACGAGGCACCTCGAGGCACCTACGAGGCACCTCGGGGATATGTGTTCATTCACCTCGGCGCTGCGCGCCTCGGTGAATAAGTCACATATCCCCTCGTTGCCTCAAAATAACCTATACTTAATTGCGGTGCCCAAACGAAGTTTGGCACCGTTCTATATTTGTTCAGAATCATAAACCTTGGTATTTATTCAAAAATAATACGTCTTCACGCTTGTGGTGCATTTGTTTTGCGCATGCTCCATGGCACCGCACTGTAGTACTATGTATGGTTCTTCTATATGATCGCACCATTGCATGTTCCTTGCTCCTACTCACACTCGAGTACATCTAAAGTCCATTGTGCTTCTCGATGTTTTGCGGTTTTGAGTTCTGGCTAAGTGAAGACAATTATGTCGTACAGTACAATGGTACCTTGTCTAAGACTTTGCTTGCATGGAGACTGAGACTATTGAAAAACATCTTCATTGCCAGAGTATGCAACTCTTCAATTGTAAAAATGAACAAGGATTCTTCTCCAACAATAGAACTATAAAAAGGTCAGGTACATAGCAATCATCGCGATTTTGGACATCTCGCTCGATAGAACAGTTGAAGGATTTTGTAGATGGAAATTTTGAGCGGAAGATTATATAGGATTTTAGACCTAACCAGGAACACCTGCAAATATAGTTTAATTTTTTGCAGCTGCTTACGGTTAGGTCTAAAATTGTGTATAATCTTGCTCTCGACATTTCCATCTACAGAAACCCTTCAACTACACATGCATCAGTCTAATGTAGACCCATTGCACATGACGTCACAGCGCCGGTGACGATGCATCTGGAGGACAAATTAGCAATCTATGCATAATATAACTTTTGTAAACAAAGCAAATTTTGTAAAACTTTATAATAATTTTGTATTAAGAGAAGATTTTTTTGTATGTTATGTAACACGCGCTCAAAACTACCACTTGCTGTTATGACTACACATCCAAAATTTCTATTTTTCGATACGTTTCTCAATCGGCAAATAAACTTATAAAGTATGTTCAGTCCTTTATCTGTAAAATAATGCCAAAATGAAGAGATTTTAGATGGTACGCCAAAGAGAAAATGATGTCTGAAGTAATTCCACCAAGTGAAGTGCAAGAATCCAAATTATTGTAAATATGGCGTCACTTTTAAAGCGTCATTGATAATTGTATTTTAATTGACAATTTTTAACTATGATTTTATGTTTCTCAACCGGCAAATGCATTTAAAAAGGTAGCTAACCGTATAAACTAGAGAATAAAGCTAAAACATTAAACAAAGCAATTTTCGGTTTTGAATACTTTTCATCGTAAATACGTGACATTGAAAAAAATTGCCTCTTAAAATGGTTAACTTTTGCGCTGTATTTGGTTGTTGTACCCGAACAGATATTATTAGGGAGCATCTGGAGGACACCCTAAGGATTTGTGACGTCAGTGCAATGGGTCTATAGCCTGCATAAGTGGAGGGGTCTGAGGGGAGGGAGACCAAGTGGGAAAAAATGGTTAGTACATGCATAACCAAAAGTTGCATGAAAAAAAGATGGATTAAAATACACTACGCTTTAGATACTGTTGTATGGGTCGAGCAAAAATCACCAGAAGATAATTTCATACGGCAAAATATAATAAAAGACCACTTTTTATTTGTTGGAGAAAAACATTCAGTCTTTAATATTTGTACGTATACTTGACAGTTTAAAGACTAAAAAGATTTTTTAAGGAAATTTCAAGCGAAAACTATATACATATTTTAAACCGGAAGCAGAAAAATGAAAAAAATCTCTTGTGTACCATTTTAAATGTTTTAGAAAGCGTTTTAGATCATGTAAACAACGTTTCAAGATAAATTAGATTACAAAACTCACCATGGTGACACACAATATCTGTATTCATTTTTCACTGGCAAAAGAGCTATTAAGTTTTGTATCGCGAGCCAGGGGTGGATCCAGCAAGGTTTTTCTAGGGGGGTGCTGGGTGAGCAGCCGAGTGTTTCTTTATAATTCTTTAGGGGGTGGTGGGAGAGCATTCAAATGAATTGGCTTCATAACGACTTGAGCGCCGAAGGCGCAAGCTCCCTAGGGGGTTCAGGGGTATGCCCCCCGGAAAATTTTGAAAATTAGAACCCTAGAAATGCCATTTCCTGCGATATGGGGATTGAATTAGGAGCTTCAGTTTGACTTCAAAAAAGGAAAAACCTTGGAAATTGTGCCATATTTCTGAATTTGATTTTTTTGCACCCCCGTTGCACCCCTGTTGACCAAGGCCAACACAGGGGTGCGCACCCCCTATAAATCCACCCCTGTCGCGAGCGTCGCATCTTAGCGGTCCCTACTGTTGATTTTCAACCGCGCTCATGAAGAAATTAAAATGCTGCGGATGAACTGCATAGACATAATAATAGAGTCATTCATTATAATACTGTAAAAAAAACTCACCTGATTGTAGATCTATAAAATTTCAGAACACTTGCAAGTTTAAAAAGCACGACCGAGCCTTGTTCTGAGACTACCACTTGCTCAACACGTACCTAAATGGATTTACGGTAAGTTATAAATAGAGTACTCAGGGACGCCGGAACTGGGGGGGCAGGGGGGGCGGCTGCCCCCTTGCCTTTTGCTAGGGGGGGCAGGGGGGGCGGCAGAAGTGCCCTTTTAGTTCTAAAATAATACGTGATAAATCACATTTCCAACGATGCTTTTTGTAGGAAAATCACGAGATTCAGGTAATTTATAGTTTATATTTATAAAAATTTTGGGAAGTTTTTGGAATTTAGAAAAGTATCTTGAAGAAATGGTGAAAATTTAAGATATCCGGAAAAATTTTTGGCTTCACGGAAAATTTTTGTATGTCCGGAAAAAATTTTTGACCCCTAAAATGGTACACTAACCGAAATTTTTTTGGCGACGGGGGGGGGTCGCCAAAAAATTTTGCAGTGAAAAAATTTTTTTCAGTAAAGGTGCCCTTGGTGTGCGTCCTCCCCCCTTTGCCCTATTATCGTTCCGGCGTCCCTGAGAGTACTGCTAATGTTTAATGATCAAAGAAACTAAAAATGTTAAATAAAATTTGCGAAACCTAATAAAAGTCAAACCTTGAATGGTCGACAGACACCTTCAGATATATGAGCCAAAAGCTCAGAACACAGCTCGTCGGTCACTGTTCAAAAAAATATTACATGATAAATTACATAGTTATATATGTCTCATGCGCAAATTGAAATACAGTTTGCTCGTGAAAATTAGCCTGCGAAAACAGACACCCGATTGTCGTGGAGGAACAACAGAATCGGGCGCGGCTGTTTTCGCAGCCAACGTGAAAATCTAGCTTGCTGAAGTAAAAAATAATCAGTGCAGTAAAACGACTAATACATATCAATGACTAAGCACCATATACGTGTACAGGAGAAATTTGTAAGCTGCGCAATACTTACTCGAGGATTGTGCATGTTTCAATAGTGAATGTATGGATTCCTTTTCAGATGCAATCCCTTGATGAAGCCATGCCAGCATGTCCCCCAAGTATCTAAAAATAAACCAGCGTCATGTTAATTGAATAGACCTTTCCCCTTTTGAGTGAAATTTTGATCTAGACAAGTCTGGACAAAAATTTCATCACAGCTTGAAAGAGCATCACAAAATTAGTAATATTCCGAAGTTTCGTTGCGAAATGTTGTAAAATGCGGATAATATAGCCTTGAGAAGTTTGCCGTTTTTCAGTCATTTTGTATTACAAACGGGAAATTGATAAACAGATGATCAAACTGATTATCAATTTCCCATTTGTAATACAAAATGACTGAAAAACGGCAAACTTCGCAGGGCTATATTATCCGCATTTTACAACATTTCGCAACGAAACTTATTACTAATTACTAATTACTAATATTACTAATTTTGTGATGCTCTTTCAAGCTGTGCTGAAATTTTTGTCCAGGCTTGTCTAGATCAAAATTTCACTCATAAGGGGAAAGGTCTATTCAACTAACTATGGTTAGGTTTACACTGTACAGGTTGCATTCCGTACACTTCTGAGAGTTGTACATTCCGTACACTTCTGAGAGTTGTACATTCCGTACACTTCTGAAAGTTGTACATTCCGTACACTTCTGAGAGTTGTACATTCCGTACACTTCTGAGAGTTGTACATTCCGTACACTTCTGAGAGTTGTACATTCCGTACACTCCTGAGAGTTGTACATTCCGTACACTTCTGAGAGTTGTACATTCCGTACACTTCTGAAAGTTGTACATTCCGTACACTTCTGAAAGTTGTACATTCCGTACACTTCTGAAAGTTGTACATTCCGTACACTTCTGAGAGTGGTACATTCCGTACACTTCTGAGAGTTGTACATTCCGTACACGTTTGAAAGTTGTACATTCCGTACACTTCTGAGACTTGTACATTCCGTACACTTCTGAGAGTTGTACATTCCGTATCTGAAAGTTGTACATTCCGTACACTTCTGAGAGTTGTACATTCCGTACACTTCTGAGAGTTGTACATTCCGTACACTCCTGAGAGTTGTACATTCCGTACACTTCTGAGAGTTGTACATTCCGTACACTTCTGAAAGTTGTACATTCCGTACACTTCTGAAAGTTGTACATTCCGTACACTTCTGAGAGTTGTACATTCCGTACACTTCTGAAAGTTGTACATTCCGTACACTTCTGAGAGTGGTACATTCCGTACACTTCTGAGAGTTGTACATTCCGTACACGTTTGAAAGTTGTACATTCCGTACACTTCTGAGACTTGTACATTCCGTACACTTCTGAGAGTTGTACATTCCGTATGGGATAGGTGTTTTTTCGCGCCGCTACGGAAAGCTATCCGGCACTAGTGTAAACTGCCAAGCATTGTGATTGGAAAAGAGCCTGAAAGTTGTACATTCCGTACACTTCTGAGAGTTGTACATTCCGTATGGGATAGGTGTTTTTTCGCGCCGCTACGGAAAGCTATCCGGGACTAGTGTAAACTGCCAAGCATTGTGACTGGAAAATAGCCATTAGTGAATTAAATAGAATCTCCATACAATAGCAGAGGTGGAAAAAAGTATCGGAACCTGGGAACTTCCCAGTGGGAACCTATAATTTCTAGAAATTTTGGGGGTCTACAAGTTAGCAGAAATTTTCAGACATTTTTTGATGCTTGATCGCTAATTCTGAAAATTACACTGACTATCTAAATTACTAAAAAAAAGAACCAACATGACGTCATTGGTTGGGTAATAATTGTCACGGACAAATTCATTCTATAATGTATTCATGATTACAAATTCGTATTGTTTGTTTTGGCTTTGGCTAGTTATTAAGTAATACTGGCTGAATTGTTCCAGTATTGCGACCCTGCCAATAATGTCCTAAAAACAGATGTCTAAAAACCCCGCAAAAAATAACCTTTATAAAATCGCGAATATAGTTTGTCTGCATGGGCTGACAATTTTAGCACCACTGTTACACACCTGATGGGATCATGTGCACTTAATTCAATTGGTCTTGGCGTACCACCTGGACCTACACATCAGATGGAAAAATATTATTATTCCACATGTCATAATGTATAAACATGTTTTGGACCATACGGTTCCTCGAGGCAAAACGTGAAGAATTAAACAGTTTGATTGTATACGGGGTCTCCCTTCTTTTCTCCTGCTGCCCAAAAGAAGCTTCATTATATATTGAAATTTACGTCATAACCATATCATCAATAGAGGCTCATGAATCAATCCCATTTTACAGGGGGGGGGGGAGGGAGGTGAAAGACAAGATTTTGGGCCCCTATAACATGCAATTAGGTTTTCGACCCCCCCTAATGTAACATAGAGGGTAACTTGCCCCAACCGGACAGGGCATGAATGTGGTACCAAAAATGGGCCAGTGGGGCAAATCCTATCTTCCCAGTGGGGCAAATCCTATATTCCCAGTGGGGCAAATCCTATATTCCCAGTGGGGCAAACCCTATATTCCCAGTGGGGCAAATCCTATCTTCCCAGTGGGGCAAATCCTATATTCCCAGTGGGGCAAATCCTATATTCCCAATGGGGCAAATCCTATATTCCCAGTGGGGCAAATCCTATATTCCCAGTGGGGCAAATCCTATATTCCCTGTGGGGCAAATCCTATATTCCCAGTGGGGCAAATCCTAATATTCCCAGTGGGGCAAATCCTAATATTCCCAGTGGGGCAAATCATAATATTCCCAGTGGGGCAAATCCTATCTTCCCAGTGGGGCAAATCATAATACTCCCAGTGGGGCAAATCCTATCTTCCCAGTGGGGCAAATCCTATATTCCCTGTAGGGCAAATCCTATATTTCCAGTGGGGCAAACCCTATATTCCCAGTGGGGCAAATCCTATCTTCCCAGTGGGGCAAATCATAATATTCCCAGTGGGGCAAATCCTA